GCAAATCATACAAAGTTATTGCAACAGTCCTCAATATCATATTGAAGGAATACAATTTATTTGTTATGTATGGGTATATGTGCAAGTTTGAAATTTAATATTTAAGTAATTATAAATTGCGATTTTGTTGTTGAAGTTGATGTTGTTGTTGTTGATGATGTTGTTGTTGTTTTATTGTTTTGGTGTTGTTGTTTTTTGTTGTTGTTGTTTTGGTTGTGTTGTTGTTATTATTGTTGTTGTTGTTTTGGTGTTGTTGTTTTTGTTGTTGTTTTTTGTTGTTGTTTTGTTGGTTTTTGTTGTTGTTGTTGTTATCATTGGTGGTGGTGGTGGTGGTGGTTTTGGAATGCTATAGGTAAATAAGATATATTTATTTCCTAATTAATTACTTCAAATGAAAAAAGAACATTACCATTCATTAAAAAAATTAAAAAATATATATATATGGGAGCGTTACACAAACCAATGAATGATATAACTACATATAACGATATATCATCTGAGACAAGGCCAGTAAAACAGACGCCTTTACCATTATATATCCTAGTAATTTACGTAAGTAAATATAACTATACATAGAAGGAATGAACAAAAATAGCAGACCAGTAGATAATGAAGATCCACTTTAAATTGTAACGCCCATAAAGCCATTGGAAAGGAAATTTTTCCCCGAATGTTCGACTTTTGTGTACTGTTGTTAAAGGCTCATTATGCCTCAGAAAACAAAGAATATTTTCCTTTTTTAGAAAGGGCAAACATGAGTTTTATAACATCTGAATTGTGGTATTAGAACGTGTAGGATCCTTGCCATTGATGTAAGTAGCGGTAAATGTAAAATTATTTGTCAAAAAGTAGCAAAATGTAAATTAAGTAATATTTTGACTTCCATACAAAAATACTGAATCACTATAATTGTCCTTATTGCCAAAAAGCGACAGAAGAAAAAGATGGCTTGCTGATTAAGTTGAATTTTCCAGTACGTACTTTCTAACAAGTGCGAGATATTTCATCTCTCAAAATCATTTTTAGTCAAATTCTAAAATAACAACAAGAACATCAGAACTAAACTAACAAAACAACTGATTCAAGCTGATGCATTTATAATAAGATGATTGGATTGGGCATCAATTTTTAGTTTATTTTATCGTTTGTTTAATTTCAGACGCAGTTGCAATTCTTTTTTCTTTTACAAGCTTTCAAATTCACTTCTAACAAAAATTCATGAATTCCGTGCCGCGTCTCGTTATACGGTTATTGATATTTATGTCCAATAATTGCTCCGGAAATAGGAACATTCTCTCCAATATGCATACATGTCTCAAGGGACTATATTATATAGGTCTACAGTAAATAAGCATGCAATAATGGAATAATACCTCGACCTGTTTATGGTATATGTTATGAAGGATATATTTCTTTCGGAACAATAATTTCAAAAAAAGTCTAACATTTAAATGAAAGCAAATTAAATTCTAATTCTTTTTCAAATAAAACAGCACCGTTGAAATAGTTCATAATCGGAAATATAGTTATATGCGTATTTACATTTTCCGTATTTTTACTTTAAAAAAAATATTTTTCACTGCAGTTAGCTATTTTCCGTATTTTCATCGATGTTTTGTTGGACTACTTTATTTAAATTTCAGCTAATACACAAAATCAAAAGGTTATTCTTTCTAATCATAGGGTTAAAAAACATATATATAATAAAATGAAAGTTCAAGTTTTTTCTATCAATACAGGATTTTTTTTCATCTTGTGGTATAAAAAATGTCATAATTTACTCGTGGCTACTCGTCTTCATATGACTGAATGAGAATAAATCCTGAATTGATAGGGAAAAAACTTGAATAATCTGCATTAACAAATAAAAAAATGAAATTATGTCCCTTAATTATTCTAGATAGATATGTAATTTAAAAGTTTATATTTTGGTAGTGCCTATTCAGAGATAATACATGTATATTGGCGAGTCATCAACTACTTTCATTTAATATGAAAATGACATGTAAATACTTTCAAAACATGTGTGGAGAAAGATGGTAAAAACGACAAACTATCACATCATCTCATCTCAAATGTCATTGAACTGACCCAAACTTGACCCTAGTCATTTTGTATCGGATTTATTGAAGGTGACGTCCGTTCATTTGTAAGAATATTATACTCAATTAGAGATGGTTCGTTTAACTGTAAAGAAAGTTATCTTCAATTGGAAATGACTGACCTGTTAACCAATTATTGACAATTTGATTTGGTTGTAATGTGATCCTGTTTTCAAGTTTTGTTTCCATGTTGTCACTTTAGAGGTCGGAATAGTCGTTGTATATTATAGTGTAGAAATACGCCACCGTATACTACAAATAAAGAAGTAAATAGTCCGTTTTGCGACAACAAACTTAAATAATGTATATTTCTCACTATAGTGAATTTTATGTACCGACAAATTTTTGCCGAAAATAAGTTTCGAACACGTAAGAAATATAAAGAAAAATATTGTCAAAGTGGTCATCTGTGGGTATATTGAAGAGTAAATCAAGAAAATATACATGTATAGAAGATCCCATATTCCAGTTTTTTCTATAAATACATGATTCATTTTCTTCGAGTGGCATAAGATCATTTTCATACCACATAATGAAATTAAATCCTGTATTTATAGAAAAAAAACACTTGAATTTTGTTTTACTGTTTTCTATTATTTTTCGGCATTACAATTTGAAAGGCTTCCTCTTAAATTTTAGGTATTGAATCTAGAAGAAAGTAGTCGGGCCAGTGAAAATACAAAAAATATGTTTCACTGCAGTGAAAAATAATTTTTGCAGTGAAAATACGAAAAATGTAAATACGCATTTTATTTCATCAATATTTTCAATATTTCATTTATAAGTATATAATAACGTGTTTATCATGAAAATGGAGAATCTAGTTGTTCGATTGTCTTTTCTTTTCTTTCTTTTTCCCTGGTTCCGAATCATCTGTGCAAACGCTCCATGTAGCGTCAACATTTTAAACTTTGTTTCGAACAACAAACTCATTTCGCCAGGTAAAAGTAGGACTAACAATGTGCCACAGCTGTTTCCATCTGTGTAGCATGACTGAAATTATCTTCACGGTGAGGTGACAGCTAGCTAAAGAACACTCATGTCGGATTAATAGGGCATAAATCGGGCAATCATTTCCAACTTGATCTTGTTAAGCCGGAAACAATATCAGTTACCGATACTCCACATAGCTGCAGGCTGGTGTTCTTATTGAGTTAGCTGCGCCTGTTTCTTTGTGACAGTAACCATGCACTATTCTTGGCGACACACTTTCAGGTTTTACTCTCTAACAAAGCAAATTATAGCAAACTGACATATTGCGCCCCAAATTTGTAGAAATGGATGCGTGCGGCACCACCTGCAAAAAGATTGAGCTACATTCTACGTTTTATTTGATCAGAAAGAGTTTTTCAGAAATAAAAATGTATTTATGTCTCACAAGTTTGTCATTTGATTACATTTATTAGACGTTATTGTGTTATTAGGTTTCGCTGAAAATGTATTGACAACGATTCTAAATTTAGATGTTCGTCCTCACACTTTGTTAACACTGTTAGTTTGATATTCCCCTTTATTCCTTTGACCAAAAAATTAAAACTTTTTTTTTAGAAATTAAGCAAAGACATATTCATTTAAAAAAACTGTAAAACAAAGGAGAGGCCCATTTTACAATTTCTTCCCACTTACAACTTGTGACCCCTTCCGATGGATCTTTTTTGCACGTCCGATTTGCTCCAGGGGTTGTGGACCTCATGTAAGCTATATAAGCGAGTACGAGGCACGTACGTTTTCAAAGAATAGAACTTTTCGTCAGATACAATCTTTTCAATGAGCAAAACAATCGGACTGAAATCATGAAATACAGTAGTTCTCAAAAGCATTAAGAATATATATCCTTCCGCGGGAGGATTTAACTGATTTATTCCATTGTTTAATCTATCAAAATGACTGATATATAATGTGCGGGGTTGGGGGGGGGGGGGTAGTGGTCGAAAAAAAATCATACGAAGAGAGACAACTCGTGTTGATCTTTGTATTAAAAAGGCCCAAAGTATTGCCCTTGCTTTTTAACAACTTATATCTAAATAGTTCAACGTAAGAAGCTATAGTGAATATTGGTATGTCGATGATTTTCGTGTAGACAAAAAAATCTAATGGTGATATTTTCACTCAGTGCTGCCGACGAAAAAAAGACAGACTAGTTTTTGTAAAGAAACATTTGAGAAAGGACGACTATCTTGGATTGACACATACCAAGTCTGGTCGATATCCATCCAGCGTCTCTATTATTAATTCCATTAATATAAGATTGTAGTCCTAACATCAACAATGATGATGTGCGCCACAAAACTGAAGATTTTAAAGGCACTTTCGAGCTCATGAAGCCAGCGAAAAAAATATACATGTTTTGTATAAATAGTTTCAACTCAAGTTGTTTACTTCATTTTACGTACGATCCATTACCACCCTAAATATCTTAAATGGACGTGTCTATTATTCAGTCTAGACAAAACCACTCATCATTTTCGGGAGAAATTTCAATACAAGTACTGACGGAAGAGACGTGCCGGCTAGCTCACTAGTTGGACTGTGAATCGGGCGACCCGGGTTCTATATTCCCATACGGTGCCTGTCACTTTCGTTGTGATTAATCATGAAATCCTTTGTACGGTCATTCTTACTGTATCTCTGCTCTGGCATGTACAGAAGTTATCAATTCCTTGCAAAAGTGAAGACAACTAGTACCAGGAAACTGCTTGACAATCTGCACAGAAACGATTCCGTGGCTGAACTGTGCTCTGGTAAATTCAATTTTGCTTAGTTACTTTCATGATCCGGAGTGAAAACTACCAACACCACCACGTTCTGGCTGATCTTGGTCTACATCGGTCGCAAAGGTAGAAACAGTTGCTGCCAGTGCATGACAAAGTTTAGGGTTAATCAAGAAAAGGCAACACATTTACAGTTTAATCATTTTCCTTTAATATTTAACCATTTTCTTTACAATTTATTATGCAATTAACTTGAAACTTGAAATAAATCATGAAATATAAACAAGTAAATAACAAATAAACAGGTTTTTTTGTAGAAACAAGTTACATAGATTAACCCCCAGATATACTCCCAGATGTTATCATTAATTGTATCTAAATTAACTATTGATTTTATTCATTGTAACACATAGTTTAAAATTAGGTATCCACAACAATATACTATATCTTAAGTATTCTATCAAAATATTAAAAGAAAAGCATTTCCAATTTGATCATAAGAAATGTTTTACACAAAGCATACTGCCTGACTATTAATACCCAAATATAACGCGAAAACAGATCCACGATTCATAATTTGTGACCTTTGACAATTCACACAACATAGGGCATGTGCCTATGAAAAATTAAACAAATAATTCTTTATAGTTTTGTAGCTGTAAGCAATAATTTCTAAATTCAGAATAAACTGATGTGACATTTTATGTGTTTATTATTAGAAAATACCACCGACGTCACTAATCAAACCACATAAATAATTTTCTTTTTCATGCAAGCATTCATCTTAAGGAAATTTTATAGTAAAGTTAAAACAAAATTGGTTACCCGATATAAACAAAGTTGTGTAGTGTACAGACAGATAGATAAACAGACTGACGGTATTTAAAACATGAATAAAATAATAAATCCTTCATTAGAAGAAAGGACCATAATCGTGTATATAAGATATAAAATGAAAAATAAATCCCCAAAATTATGGATTTCATACCAATATAATGGTGAATCATGGATTTTACACATAAGAAAGACCAATTCTATGATGTCAGTTCAACGCCCAACTATTTACATATATAATATTTACATTCACTATTTACATTCCAAAATTCTTGCTGATTAATTGATTAATACTGAAACATTTTGTTCAATATCTACATGTATATAACATGTATTTGATTTTGTACCAGTAAGCGTAGACATTTAACATCTAAATTATCAAGAGAATTTTATTAACCATTTACAGCCACCAAGATCTGTTTCTGGAAGACTACGGTTCAACTGTAGCAATTTTGGTCAGAAAAATAGCAAAATGGACAATACATTGTTATGGTTGTTTTTTAACAGATTCCCTTACCCATAGACTAAACATTGGTTATCTGTGGGGTTTTTTTTGTCATTTTTAAACAAATGACAAAAATATTTTACAGTCTAATGTTTGAAACTAGCATGAGCAATTTAGGTTTAATTGATTGTACTAAATATTTACATGTACAATACATATCGCCCATGTAATACAACAAATGCATGAGGTAACTGTAATCTGCAGCAAGAAAATGGTCACAATCATAATTGTGAATTTGAATATTAGAATATAGCATGAGAGGAACAAAAAATGGTTTAAATCATCATGATGCACATCACCATTTCTCCCATACATCTGATTTTCGTAAGATATACTATGCTCATCCTTGAGTAACATATTTTAATCACAGAAATTTAGTGAAATCTATGAAATTCTTACTGAATTTGTCAAATTTGAATAAAAGAATAAACAAACTATGTATGGGAAGCTGCATTCCCAATTACAGGTCAAGTAAAGTCGGTATGTTAAAAAAAAAACTGCTAGTTTTTTTAATGGCACTATATTCATACTGTGACCACCTATACTGTGTAAAATTTGGAACATGACATATCTACTTTGTGTGAAGTCAAAACATGTTTATTTTATATTTACAAAGAAACTGTGTAGCAATTACCAACATTTCCTAATATCAAATTTGAGCATGATATATCTTTAACTAGAAATTATAACAGAAATGTGGTTACCTTCCCTTCTGGTATTTCCACAGGGTTACTCCTGAACAAAAATTCTTAAAGACAAACACCTTAAAAAAAACCCTCTAACATAAATGCATAACAGTATAAGATCTTATAAGTAAATTAAAATGTACATGTATACTTAAAATAAGGTGGATAAAGTCTATGGATTTCATGTCATAAAAAAAATAAAAATAAATATATACATATGTATTTAATGCATAGATTTTTCAGTTTTTGCAGTCTTATAAAATACATATAATAATTAAGTACAGTATTTCCAAACTTAACATTTAAGGAGCTCCAATGAGATCCTAAAGCAAAGGAAACCCCATGAAATTTCAGTTTTTTCCATAGATCAAAGAATTCAATTGTATTCAAATCAACAAGACAGCTGTTTTAAAAACTTAAAACAATGTTTAATGTATTAAAATCAAATGTTTATGTATTAAAAGACTTCAAAAAATATTTTACAGAGTCTACAAAAAATTATATTCAAATATGGATTTCAATGCTTTGTTGTATACATCATAAATTGAAACATGAAAAAATATTTTTCACATTAGTGGATATTTTCATACATGAATTAAACACAACATAATGCAAAACTGTCAGAAAATGTATAAAAAAAATACATTTTAAATGACCTTGACCTGATTTACTGCAAAATTTACCCAGGGTAGAGAGATTTACACGCAAGGTCACCACAAATCTATTCTTGCTTGCATATCATATTTGCACCATTAGGCTTGAAAATGTTATTTGACACCCCCATCCCCCCACCATCCTATCCCCCAAAATATGAATAACCTTCATGCATAAAAAGGATGTTGAATAAAAATTTAAATTATATTCTTCAATATGTAGTCTGTATGATATTAAGTCACAGCTTAAAGAAGAAAAAAGTTTAGAAAATCTATTTTTAGCCATAATAACCTTGACTTCAGCAGTACAAGTTACCTAAGTACCAAATATACAAGATAATAAAGAAAAGAAGTAAAATCAAATGGTTTGACCCCCATGACCTCTTTCACATATAAACATTGAAAAAGTTGAGGTTCATGCAATGTTTTATCGAAGATATTAGCAAATAAACAAGTGTTTATAAAGATAACTTGTAAGTGTAAGAATAGATAAAACCTGACAAAATGAAGAAATGAAAAACTGGTGAATATACAAAATGCATGTTCCCGTTGCAAATATCTGAAAAACATAAAACCTATTTAAACTCATAAATTTATGAAATTTATGTTCCCTTATTTATTGCGATATAAGAAATGTGTATTCTAACTAAGTTGTATATAAAAACTAGTCTGTTGTTGCAGAATACCACCAAATCAGTAAAACCACTATTCCAATAATTTTCCATGCATCACCGAATCATCTCCATCGCCACATTCTCCGCCACATGGACTGAAATGACTGTGAGTTCATCAGTCCGACTGCACATAGGATTATAATATAGGCACACATCATAACTGTGAACTTGTGCTGTATGAACCATGACTGTTTCTGTGACCTCTCTGACCTAATACATGGATAAAATAACGGCAATTAAAGAAAACTGTCATTGAAATCAGATGGATAATCGTCATATCGGGTGAGAAAACAACATTTATTGACCAATACTGGTACAAATATCTAACTGAAATTTGAAGTCACTTAGTCTATTGTTACAAAGAATCATGTGTCAACCCTTCTTATCCGGAAACCTTTCCAGTCCGAACTTTTCTTCAGGTCTGGATGAGTTCGGATTAGACAGGTTCCATTGTTCATGTGATGAAAAATGAACATTGTCTGTCCCTGGTATTTTTTCCTACCGATGAATACATTTTAAATAACAAGAGCTGACAGCAAGACAGCATGCTCAACTATTCTCAGTGGTTGATAGTAAAGCAAGGACCTGGATAACATATAGAAATTTCTAAGTTGAAAAAAAGGACCATAATTCTGTCAAAATCTGTGTAAGAGTTGTGGACCTTTAATAGTGACCTCCTATTATGCTCTCAAATAAGATGATAAAGTTTAAACGCATTCCCTAAAGTAGTTTTTAAGATATCAACTTACACACATACACTGAACCAAAGTTTGAAGTCCACACCTAGGCGGGCTCAATAGCTATTGTTATTATTTGAATAGTCAAGCTAGAAATGCAGGCTATCTCAAAACCATACTTACATATGTGATGTAGTTTTGTTTGCATAGACAAGAAGGTATTTGACCCGTATGACCTCATTATTTTGTACAACATAATATTTCTCTGGCACATCGCCCCCTACACTAGGACCAGCATTGGCTCGAGACCTCACTGGTGTGCCACTGGGAACATGTTTCATGTCATCTGCATATGCTGATATAAATAAAAAGAATATCACTATTTAAAAAACCCAAGAGTGATATGCTTTAACCCTTAGTCTGCTTGCAGCAGCTGAATTTACCCACGGGAAGGGGACCAGTGCAGACCAAGTTCAGCCAGCATCTCTATGCTGTCTGATCATGGTCCGCACTGTTCATTATTCAGGCAGTCAGTTTTGAAATTTATATATACATGTATATTCATGTAACTAAAGAAATACAAAAATGAGCACAGTAAACAGATTGTCAAATTGTTTTCTTTTCAAATGCGGAAACCATTATTATTACACTAAACTAACTAAACAGTTTTAATCAGCTTCAATTAAGATGACAAAATTGTACAAGATTATTCATCTTATTCTTAGCACATAATATATTGAGAATGGCCCTCAAAATGGCTAAAATATTATGCATGTTATGCACATAAAAACAATTATTGTCTACTTTAAAATAGGATAATTAACAGTTTTGACAAAGTTTTGTGTTACCATTTGCTGCCATTACTGTTAAAAATGTTTATTTTTATTGATGAAATGTGTTATTATTATTGTATCATTTCCTTACGTTTGTCCTGACATTTTACAGAAGAATCGTCAATCATTTCACACATGGCAATACAACTCAACCTGTTTCCTAGTTCAGAATGGTCCCAGGCCACACCGTCGGGGCTGTAGATCATCGATACAGACAGCTCGCTGGAGAGATATGTCCCCTCTCCAAACACTGATGTCTATAATATCATCAAATTATACAAATAGCTTGTAGCTTATTATTATTGTCACTTATTTACAAATTTGAATATAAAATATTTCGAGTTTTCAAAATCATTTGCAAATCAATATCTGACCAAGTATTAACAACGAATGGATACACACAAAAAATACAGATTTAATGACAGTGGGTCATATCCATAGAAAAAATCCATTTAGTGAGTATAGAAGCTTCCTTTGAGTATTTTAAGCAATTATAGTAAAATAAATATGAACTTTAACCTGACCTTGCAATAAGACATAATTATATATCCTTTATATATCCTACAACAAACTGTTCAATAATTGCAAGAATAGAATACTTACCTAAGTACTTACATTTATTTCAGTATTTATAGATTTTAAAAGTAAATATAACATGTATGAAATGTTCGGAATAGTGTGCACTGATACATACCTGAAAGTTGAATCTGACAGTGGAAGCAATGACGTTTTTTTTTTAAAAAGAACACCTCTGCAGAGCAACAAAGACTTTGGTTGCTAATGAGGGGTGTTGCTATAGGAAATTTAAATATTTGTGAAGTCTTACTTTGGGAAGAATTGATTCTGTTGTTAAAAAGACCTGATTGCTCTACAAAGGGCAGATCCACTAAGGTTAAACTATTGTGCTATAAGGGCAGCTCCGCAGAGGTAAAACTATAATCGTTTCAGCTGAATGTATTACATGACAACAACTTACTTTGTTCATATGTGAGGCAAGACCATTTTGCAGAATAGAGTAGAAATTATCCAGACGACTACCGTGATAGGCATACAATAAACTTCGGTCACCTTGTAGGTGTATGAATTTTTCGTCTGCAGCGGCACTTGGTGACACTTCAAAGATATATTTGGGTTCTGGTACTTTAACAGTTTGACCAGTTAACTTGCGTATTTCCTCGTACTGAAATGTTATATTTATTTCAATATACAAGAAGTCAACATGGCAATATTATGAAACATACATAATCAGATAAAACATGTATAAATAGAAATATAATAGAAATACAAATGAACATGTAAATAGCCATGACAAGTCAAACCATGTCATATCAATTTCATGAATAAAGATTGCACAAAAGAGAGGGTATCGTCGTAACCATACATAATAATGCTACAATAACTTTATTTTGTTGAAATCATCTTTAAGTCATAATTTGTTTTGATTTTGAAACTTTTCATTTATCAAAGTTTAGTTCATTTATTTTGACTCTATACTAGTGGCAAAAGCTAATCACTGTCAGCTTCAGCAGGGAAATGGTTATAAAAGGTTCATGGTTTAACTCAACTAGATGCTTACTCATGCATGAAAAAAATTACAATGAAGGGCATTTGTCTGAAAAGTCAAAACGTTACAATCAAACCTTAGCAATGTCATTGTGAAATTATATCTAAATTTCAGTAGATACATATGGAATGCATATTTTGTACATGACTATAAGGTTTTTTTATAGCTGAGGTTACACTATAAGGGAGTATACAGTCAAATCTGTGATAAAAACCACCTCAAAATAAAAGACAACCCTTTGAAAAAGACCACTCTGACAAACATTCATTGATAAAAATATAACAGAGTAATTTCCAAATAAAGGCCACTTGTCTATAAGGACCATATATCGTCTCTCACTTGGATGACCTTACTCACAGGCTTGACTGTACTATGTTTATAAACAAAGATTTGAATTGTGGACAATCAAGAGCTAGCTAAAATGGTCCTTAAAACTTATGATAAATAACTTATAAATCATTCACCTTATTTTTGCCAGCAGATGATAATGTGAAACCTCTTGCATCAAGAACCCATTTTATCAATTCCAGTAGCTTTGTAGGTTGTTTATAACATTCTCTTGACAGTCTTGATAATGCTGGAACATCATTCACTACTGAATGCTATAAATATAATATACAGGTATATACATGCTACATATAAATAACAAAGCTTCCTACAAAGAAAAATATTCAAGAAATATTTATATAATAATATCATAATGGGTGCGAGATGGTTTTTTTTGAAAGAAACATTTCCATTTTGAAAACTACAAACATTTTGCCCACTGAAATTACATCACTTATTTTGATTGATTGAGACTAAGTGTGACCTTAACCTTGATCTGAGGAAGCTTGAATCTGTGCTCTCTCTGCACATGGACTTATTATGGTTAATATTTTTGCCAAGTAATTTTGATCTCCTTCAATTGGTTGTTTTGATATCCTTCAATTGGTTAAAAAGATATAGAGCGTACACGAATTTGCAAACAGACAGATGGACAGATGGCCAGGTGCACTATATTTTACACTGAAATTTTTTTGAGCCTATAATAAAAAGCCAAAAAAATATCACTTACCAGTGCTTTCAAGTCTTTCTCATCGTCCTCACCAATGAACATTGGTGGGAATGGACGTAAAACTGAATCAAATCTGTAACTTTTCAATGCAGCGAGGAATAAACTCCACTGAAGATCAGCAGCAAGTGGATCCTGCCATATCCTCTCCTTTATATACTCTGCCAACTCGGTTATCTGTTTTTATGACAAAATATTGTAAACAAGTAAGTCATTGATGTATTGTTTTATTACTTTAAAACTGCAGTGCCACTTACTGTTTACATATGACTTTTGCAAATAATTAGAGCCTTTGGCTTAGTTGACTTGCTTTGTTTGTGCTCTTGACACTGTTTTCTTTCATTTTCGAAAAGTTTATTATTTTTTTCTTCTTTGTTGTTCTAAACTTTAACACCTATTTCAATACACAATTTTTTTAGGCATATCTCAGTGGTTGGTCCACCTAACTGGCTTTCTCGGATAACTTAATTACCAGTAATAACCAGTTTCTCTGCATGTGACTGACTACTGATACCACATGATTTAGATATTAGAAGTGAGAGGAGTGGACCAGCGAGCCTCGGATTACAAATACAATGCTCTCTCTATTGAGCTATGCAGACAGACTATATTGACAATGTAAACTCTTTTTAAGATAAATTTTAGTAGAGAATCAAATCCCTGAATGATTCAAGAACTGCTGAATCCTTTACAATCCAAAGACTTTTCAGTGGAAGGGATAGGTACACTAACTGCACATTTCGGTCCTGGTTTTGATTTTTTTTTTTTTTGCAATGAAAACGACATCCTATATATTCCACAAAAATGGCCTATTCTCTATTTAAAAAATTGCAAAATATCAAATGAAAAGGTATTTTGATATCTAGAAATTACATTTTATTAAGCATGCATTATTCTTAAAATAGTGTTAAAATTTATAATAATATTGGTTCAGGCTTCAAAGTATAGATCCATATACTAGTTGAATTGAATTGAATTAAATTTCTTTAGACTGGGCAGTCAAGGATAACCTATGAAAGTGCAAGCATTTAATAAATAAGTGACTTATTTCCAGTAGGGTCCTTACTTCAGCAGACTCCAGAGACAGCTATGAGATACAGGATCACACAAGTGTGTTTGTAACACATGTTTTCTCGCTAAATACATAAATACATGTATAAGAAATGACGTGGCAAAGGAGATCACTTTCACTTGGTTCTTTTCACTATGCAGAAAGTGAGAGTTTGTTTTTTATTCTCTAATTAAAATAAAAGGAGTGAATTTCTTTAAATATACATCAAAGTTTAAACTATACATGTACCTCTTCTGTGACCCCTTGGGCCCCTAAATCCATTGTTGCCATCATCTTGACTAGTCTTTCTGCTTTCTTGACTGACTCAAAACAACAGTGTCAATTTACATTCTGTTCAGAAACAAAATAAAATAAACATCTTAGAAATGAAATAAAATTAACAATAAAATCAAAAGAGAAATCAGCCCAAAAATCAATTATTTAGTCCATGCAAAGTATTGTTTGGGTGGGTAAACAAACTTTGAATGAATTTGTTTGTTTACCAAAAAAGAGATAAGTGATAAACTTCCCAAGGCTGCAAAACCACCAAAACAGGCATTGTGCTTAGGATACCAAGAAATATACCCAGAATGAATTGAAAATCAATTTTTGTGCAATTCTTAGCCAGATTTGAGTGATAAGCATTTCAACACTTTTCATTCTTGGGTCATTTTGCACAATAAAAATAATTGTTCTGGAAAAACGAGGTGAGGGGGGAAAATGTAAAAATTTGCACCCAAGTTTATCAATTAGTACACAAATCTCGGGAAAATATTTACCTCAGTCACAGATAGAATATTTAGAAATGTGTACATAGGACATGGACAGTAGGACACTGGCTTGGACAGACAATTTAGGGATAAAATTTAGTTAAGGATAGAATCTAGTTAAGTGGATGCCAGAAATAATAAAGTATGCCTGTGTTTCAATATCCTACATGTCACAGGGCTAGAAAAATGTGCAGCCTGACCGGAACTTGAACCCGGGACCCTCCGAATAACGTTCCGCCACTCTACCATACACCAAATGTCACAGAAAAATGTGCAGCCTGACTGGGAGTCAAACCTGCGACCCTCGGAATACTGTACCTGTCTTTACCGACAGAGCTATACAGCCGCTAACACATCATCTCCCCTAAACAGTGAAATGTTCTGGACAGTTTCTGTTTCTATGCTGTTACTCTGTTACTAGATGTTATTCTAAATTTTGTTGTTGTTTAAGAAATAAACTGATAAATATTTACATGTAAAAAAGCAATGGTGTGAGGGTGGCAGCCCAAAATAAAAAAGCAAGCTGTTCTGGGGTCCAATTTAAAGGGCTGGGTTCACAATTATTCCAATGTTTTGGGGCTTTTGAATAGTTTGTCCAAAATATATTTATACATGTAGATTCTAGATCATCATTAAACTTAAAAAACTGTAAAAGCCACATCATCCATGATCCAGATAAAAAGAGTTGAATTTTCACTTTACTTGTTGAGTTGCAAATCATTGCATACTTGAGTTCCGATTGAAACTAAGCCCTAACCGTTTTGAATATTTTGCTCTTCAGTGTATCATTCCATGTAATTCAGTGAAATAAACTTATAAATTTCTTACTTCGATTTAGCGATTTTCAGTCTCCTTGTTGTCAAATTACCTCCCTTTGAAGAATACATGAGCAGGTAGAACAACACTAGTTACTTTGCATGATTAGTAAACACCACTAAATATTTTTCTTCTCCAATCATATTAAATGTTTTTATTGAATAAAATGCATTTCTTGATTCTGAAACATATTAGTTCGATGCAATATGTAACGTGTTATTCAACATAAGGTCAATCCTTAAAAAGTCGGACGACGTAAATATCAGACAGATGAAAACCATTTTTATTCAAGAAATTCAATCATAACCTACTCAAGAGGCTTACTGTACATTCAAAAACTTAAAATTACCTTATCCAATTAAACAGATGCATAATCTTTACACCGACTCCAACAAAACTCTATTACCCTAAGTTGACAGATTGCTGTGATTACCTTTATGGAGATTATGTTCTTTTGTATTACTTCCCATTTAGTGTCAAACCCTGTGTAGGCTGTGTTCATTAATTGGCACTGTAATGTCAAAAGTATTCAGAAAATGGGAAGAAAATGTATGTAGGCGCGAAACACTATGACTCTGACAGAATAGTAAAAATTCGGACATATCTGTAGTTGGAAGTCGAACATGCACTTTCGTAGTCAAAAGTCAGACAAATTAGATTTTTTTTAAAAAATGGGGAACTAAGCAGACAGTTATTGAGAAACAATTTCAGTGCACATGCCATATGTATTACACATGTACAGATTGACCCTACTGCCTCGATGATGATAACTGGCCTGTATGAAATTTGTCATAAAACAATCTAAAAGGGTTATCTGTAGGCTATGATCACATGCAAATCCTATCAGTGTTAAATATGTATACATACAACTCCTGGTCAACATTTTCAACAACTGGAAAGCATTGGCTATTATTAAAAAATCTTCTATGGAGTTTGATGGAAAATGCCAAGGAGATGCAAACACATTTAAAACAGTGTTACCAGTGCTACACTAAAGTACAAATGTAGCTATAAAAAGTGTTGAACCACGAGTTCTACATATTCTTCCTGGTCATATCACATATAGACTAAATAACAAAAGAGACAGTTAAATACCAAAATTTATCTGATATCTTCCTTATTTCAGCAACATATGTCTGCCGTTTTCAAAGATAACTAAGCTTTTCATAACATGTGTAAATCCATGTTTAATCATGTGATCCCAAGAGCAGTGTCACTTTACATTCTTGGTTCATGATTCGAAAACTTGTGATGTAGGTCCATTAGGTCAGTTGAAACATATTCATCTTTGCTGATTGCAAAATTAGGTACTATTCAATTCCTAAATTACGCTTATATTTGTACTTTCCACTGTAATATTTTTAACAAATTTATTTACACTTGGACGAATTTATAAATTTGTCAGAAGTAAAATACAAAATTTGTCTCTATTTCCACATCGATGGTCGAACTTGTCGAAATATTCAGCATAAATTACACTATGATATATTGTAGGATATGTTCAACATCAAAATATTCAAAGTTAAAACTGAAATGACAGCTTTCCAAATTCTAATTAGTTTCTCACAGTATAATGCACACAATGATCTCGACTTTTTTCGATAGGGATATAATTCGCACTGTCTCTGTAAAAGACAAACAAAACTTTCCAGCATACCTAAGACACCAATGTTTGTATTACATTAGACATTAGCTTGCATTTAAGTAGAACCACTCAAAAATGCTCGCCCATATGGTATCTTTCCCGTGTCAAGGGTAAACAAACCCAAACACACACAACCACTCCCCTTAAATAAAACAAACTGGATGTTTTCCTTACCTGAAAGAATCTAGACCTTGGCTATCAGAGTGAAAATAAATCTGGAAAGGGGTAATCCCTCAGAAAAGACTGCAAAAAGGAACCATAAATTATCATTTATTGTTATCATTATTATCATTATCATCTACATAAAGATACATGAATATACCAATCACTCACACAACTTTTCTCACTAAATCTCATTTTAAAATATAACATGGACAAAATGTCTCCTTTATTATGTCTTTCCAATTGTAAGATAAACATGTAACTTGTATCTATATTTTTTATCATTATATGTACATGTATAATAATGACAATACGTTCACAATTCATGTTCTTATGTATAAATTCTGAAAAATGCACCAAATGAACCCTTCATATACAGTTAATAATGCAATATATTTAAAATACTGATAATTAATTATTGTTTCATGCATGTATTCAATTATTTTATCAAAAGATAACTATGAAAATGTGTCAAACAGCAAGTAAGAAGGCCATAGCTTGAAAGAGATCTTTAATAAAAGTTGAATTACTAAAATCTTTTTTTCTATACATTTTGTAAATAAATCAAAGAATATGACTTAATATATTGTACAGTAAACTAATAATATAAACAGTAAATATTGACATTGCTTATATCATAATACCGCTTTTAACAATGCTTTTGATGTGGTCCCAGCTGTTATTTTCAAATAGGTTGGCTCTCAGACATAAGGATATCGGGATATAAAATATAAATTTACCTGTCCCCTGCATATAATTTAAGCATAGTTTACTGTATATTCATCTTTGTCAATTTTTCTTTCTTTTTTTTTTTTCCAAAAAATGAAAATCATTATAACCTCTAAATATAAAACTGAACAGATCTTTGTAAAAGTTAATAATAATACAAGAATGTTTTTAGTTTTGTTCCAGATTGTTTGAATCATTTCCTGAATAGGAAATTTTCTATTTAGAAAACACTCAAGACTCAAACTTTCTATAACATATTTTCTACTAAGAAACAAAGCAACATTTTTTTCGTTAGTATTTTATAATATATTACTAAACGAATTAGACATGAACGCACATTTTTCAAATTTTTCTAAAACTATGAAAAGTTAAATTATGCATAATTTCTCTAGCACAACTAATAATAAAATGTTAATTTGCAAAATAAAATATAATATGTTATGTTCTACATATTCTATATTTACATTATCACAGGCCTAAAAAATATACATGGCAACCTTTTTTACAAAATGAGTAATAATTAATAAAGTCCACATGCTATATGTACAATGATTTTACAAGAGGCATTGTGAGAGAATATGCTGGTCACATGTTTAATTATCTATATCATTTATTATAAATTCAGATAAATTTATCTTTTATGACCAAAAAATTAACTAAACAATCTTCAAATAAAAAGATCGATACTGATTCCTTTACCATGAACTGACAACACTATCAAAGCTAGGGCACAAACCTTTTACTGATCACTGAAATGTGCTTTGGTTAAAAAAAAAAAAAATTAGATTTACGGTGATACATATGAGGATTATATTCACTTATGGAGCATAAAACTGAGAAATATAATGCCAAGTTGTCGATATAATGGAAGCACAATTTAGTAATCCATATGTGGTTAGTCTCCCATGGATATTCGTTTCAATTGATGGAAGACTCTTCTAGTCTTGAATCAGACTGATCCATGCACATTATTTCATATTATAAGGAATAACCATAACTTGTTGTTTACTTCTTTGCTTATTTTTTTCAACATCAAAGGATTCTTCAAAACCAACAGTAGCCAGGCCTTGTTCTTTTCATAAAGAAAAAATTCAAGCTCAGGATCAAATGAACCAGATTTAGATTTCATTGCTACATGAGACTTTCACAACAATCTACTACACTTTCAAACATTATGAAATCAACTTATTTTAGGATAAAATGTAGAAATAACAATACAAATAACATAATAACATTAATACTATCTTGATCAAAAAACGGTAAAATTTAAAGACAGAATCAATATTTGTATTAACTTTTAAATAGCACATATCTTGAAGAATAAATAAGAATTTGTTTTTCAATTTCATCATGTGTCATTTTTATCCCGGCTTTAAGCTAAAAATAAAACCGAAAAGTTTTAATACCACTTTGAATATAAGCCTAAATTAGGAAGAAATTGTAAAACATGATTTTTTGAACCTGATCTTTATTCCTCTGCAATAAGAGCAAAATGTACTTGACAGTATAAAAGCAATGGATGTCCAAGCAATTACAACAAATGACCAAGTAAATGTATGTATGTTACATATAATAAATTTGTCAACACTCAATTTTTCTTCCTTAACACATGTAACAAAAACTAATCATTTTCATATAATTTTGTGATAAATGACTACTGTCAAAATGTCAGGTTAACATTATTAAACTAAGAACTCATTAGACTTTATTTATCCTTATTAAATAAAGAAATACAAGTCAAAGCAAACTTCCTAATGGTCAATTTGAAAATGAGCACCTTAAATGCACTACATCACAGAGCGCATTTTGTCTACAGTACTGCTTTAAAAAATTCTTACAGATTTCACATGAAAAAAAAAACCTCAACAAAAACAGTAACTTACAGGGATGCCACTGACAATCTTATGATAATACCTGTCATTCCTGAACATACTTTTTAATTAAGCTCACATTTATAGAAGAAAAAATCATAGGAAAATAAGTAGGTATAGCCTCTATGCCTGGCAGTTTTTATTTATAAAGATTAACTAGCTAAACGCAAACAAAATCTTTATTTAAAAAAATATTGTTTCAGGCTTTTACGTACGAATGTATGTTTAAAACAACAGAAAATCTTTTTTTATCTTCTTACAATAAATATTCTATGTCCCTCTTGATAAAAAATTGTCATTACATGAAGTAAAGAGCATTTTTTTTTCAAGACACAAACATAGTAGGCAGTCTTTGTTTATACATGTAGGCCAGCGATTTGGCCGCTAAATATAGAGATTCTCGTCGACTCACTCCCACAATGCCGTTCTGCCAGTCTACATGTCCTATGTGCGGGTTTTCCTCTTCGACAACCTGTCCGATACTGACAGCTAATCCGGACCAACGTAAAGGATAGTCTTTTGGTGTCTGGTCCTGAGCTTTTAGAATATACTCAGCGGGTATAGGCGAAGGCTGTGAAAACGTCTGTAGGTCAATTCTATGCTGGGGGTCTTGCAATATGAGACAGCTAAGTTCATACCATCTGTAAACAGAGTGAATAATACTTAGAATCTACCGAAATGAAACCGAAAATAACTGTCATTACAAATTTATTATAGTTCTAACATATCTGATTTTTAGGTCAAGAAACATTTCTGTTTGGACTATGGATATTCAGAATCAACAGGTTGTTGAAACTTAAATTACGTATATTTCAAAATAAAAATGCCCTAATCCCATACATGTACCTGTTTTAATGAATAATATTATTAAAGTGAAATTTCTGGAACTTTATAAAATTTATTTATTTAATTTATAAATTTATCAAAATTTACCTTTGTATACAGGAATATGAAAAAAGTATGCAGACCTAAATTTATAGAATGAAGTTATTATTGTTAACAAAAAGTTCTTTTCAAAAAGACAGACATCTTGGATGAAACAATATCACTCAAATCTGTGTGTTAAGTGTTATCAATAAGCAAAACAAGCAAAAAAAGGACACTAAAGAAATTATGACCAATCATACCTATCAGGTAACATTTCTACAATAAATCCCTCAATAGACACCACAGGCTGATCATCGGGTATATTTTCCGCCTGACGCAGGTTCTGTATTCGTTCCTGGGCTCCTTTCAATCCAGCCGTGAACCCTACTGGCTGTGCAGCTGTGGTAGCCTGACTTTCCTGAAATGTTATCAAGGTTCTGAATACATATTTACAAGATGAGATTTGTTCATTATGTAACAGGGACTAATGTTTTGTTCTACGAAAGCACCCCTAAAGACAGGTCATCTCCTGATTATAAAGCATTTGTCAAGATCGTCATTTAATATAATAGGTATAATGAAGTTCACAAAGGGATATGATTCAATGCAAGTCCATGCTAGAGTACGGGAGGTTGGTCACAATGACCTTTGGGTGCCAGCCCAAGGGCTGCAACTCAGCAAGCCTAATTACTGCTCAATGGGCTTAAATCCTCAGGACAGATATTAAAATTGTAACACAATACATGTACTTAAATACGAGTCTGATGTAAAGCATATTTGGAGACTTCAAATCATCCCATTATGCTATAGCTTTTAATTTTTGGTATAAAGTAAACCAACTTTTTCAAAATTTCATAATGTCTTTATAAGAATATAATTGACTTGAACACTGAAGCTGTAGAAAAAAATTGATTTTAAAAACCAGGAACTTTAGAATAATATTTAAATTTAAGTTTTAAGTTCATATGAAATACAAACTATTATTACAATATAAAATAATGTAAACAGGAACACAGTTAAACTTCGTTGGCTCAAACACGGACCGCTCGAATACCTCCCTTGGCTCGAACTCATCGCCCAGTCCCAGCAAAATTCCTAAATAATATATATTGTTCTACTTCGGATCGCTCAAACACCGATCGCTCGAACTCTCGAACATGATCTTTGGTCCATTTGGCAGAAAAATAGTGAAAATCACACCTTTTCGGTTGAAAACAAAAAGACAAGTCAACATGTCCTAAATAAATGACAGTGGATGACACATGTCACACCTTGTGATCGTGACAAAGGTAATTAAGGTTAATCGATACAAAAAAGAGGTGTTGTAACCGATTTGTTTGTTATGATAATATTGTTGATTTGCTGTTTATCGTAATGATAAAAAGAAAAAAAGAAAATAACTCGTGAAATAAGTGAAATATGCAAAAGTCAATAAAGAATGACGTTTAACTGGACGGCTTTTATTACAACCCTGGTTCATGTGACGTGAATTGTAACAGTGTTATCTATTTATAGAATGATACTTGTAGGTGAGTTTATTTTAGTAAATGACTACAAATACATGTAGATGCTGCTGTAAAACGTTTGTTTTTTTTTTTAAATATTTTATTAATTCATTTCTTGACATTAAATTCTTCCAATAATAAACATATAAATATATTTTGAACATTGTTCAACAAGTTTGGTCTGATTGCCCAATCGAACTCAACCAATTACAATTTCATGAATATGGAAACACAGTGTTCAGTTAATACTTAACTGAAAACACTGGGATAATGATTCTGAATATGACATATTCGACGGACAGATGTACTAACGAACAATTATATTGACATATTTATCATTTGATCGATGTAAGCTAAAAACCTTTCGGCCTATGTTTTCCTAAAAAATAGTCAACCTCGGTTGACTCGAACTACCGATCTCTCGAACAAATTTTCACAGGCCCTCCGAGTTCGAGCGAACGAAGTTCAACTGAATAGAAGCAAACTCCCAACATTTTTTTTTCAATTTTTGTTTTTTTCATTATAATATACATGGGTACATGTAAATATCTGCTAGACAGGTCACTAAATTTTTAAGCTGAACAAGGTGTTTGAAAGTTCCATAAGTACCTTACAACAATTTAGTCTTTTTTTTTCATAAGTAACGTATTTTACAAATTCATGTAAACAACATGTATATTTACCCTTCCTAAAACAGATGCTCTACCAAAAACATTCTGAAAAGCCTCTCTAATTGCACTAACTTTAGACTCCTTCGTAGATGTGACAAGAATACATACATCTCCTCCCGAACCTTTAAATGCCATCATAAAAACAGATTATTGTAAAGCTATAGAGAATGCAGCAATCATGATTATATAAGCAACGCACTTCTGTACAAATATTATGTGCATACTCCTCTCACATTGTATATTTTCAATTTGTTTGTATTGGCAGCTTAACCCTTAATCTTCAGAAATTGTAAAATGGATCAGCCCTATTTTGAATTTGGATTAGTCTATTTGAAATTTAATGGATTTTAATATTGGAATACAAATTTTGAGCTACCAACAGTAAAAAGTCCAGTCAGATTAGACTATGCATGATTAAGAAGTTAAGATCTGTAGGCTCCCTTTTGAGTTATTCAGGGTTGCGATGATATACTTAAGGGAAATAATACCTAGAACATAACAACCTTTTCCAGCTCCTTCAATTTTTATCCTAATTAGTATAACCTCTTTCTTATTCAATTAAAAAGAAACAAGACTTATTTTTCAAACAAATTAAATACAGAACATAAAACCTACGTATAATTTCTTTCATGCCGGGATCTAAAGTTGTGATCATAGTCTCCATGGAAGACTTGGTTTTCTCCACCATTTTTGAGAGCATTTTATTTCCAGATATCCAGCTGAACAGACCACTTTGCGGTGACTGTATATCAGCAGGATCAACTTCCATCTCTGGTACATCAATTGCTGAACTTGCTTCATATGGTGACATCTGCGGACCTTTAAAACATGAATACAATACTGAAAGCAGTACAAGCCAGGCCACTAAACTACGCAATCTTTTCTGTCAAAATAATAAACTTAGCATTTTTTTCAGTCATCCTGACAGGATGAGAACTCCAAGATTTCAGAGGCAAGTGATTCTAGGTCAGTAACCTTAACCATTTCATAACCTTAGAGCAGTTATGGGTTAACTCCTATTAAATCCTATAAGGAGTTAACCTGTTACTGCACTAAGGTGATGATTGATTGAAAATCTTTAATTTATAAGAATTTATAGAAACTGACTGTGTAAGAATACTAAGAATACACAAATGGAAGGAAATGGATATTTAGCCCTAAAATCTTGGTTAAAACATATTTATTTTAGCTCGATTGCGAAACAAGTTCTTGCAACTTGTATTAATCACTTTCAAATCCGCTTCCTGGAACCAACCAATACTGGTGTCATATGAAGAAACATGGTCATGACCCAATTAGGGCTTGAACCCATGAACCCTGGGTTGATAGCCAGACACCTTAACCACTTAACTCCCCCAGTAAATCTTAACTACTACATGTACTAAGTGACACACTTCAACACATAAAAACTTTAAATGACAGCACATACCTGGAGGCGTCACTTGCTGGACACTAACTGGTGGTGACGTAGGCGGTGACACTGATGTTGCTTGTGATACTGGAGTTCCTGGACTTGATACACTCTGTGATGCACCAGCCGTGGTTCCCCCTGCACTGGTAGTCTGAGGGCTGACTGGTACAACAGGACTAGAAGTTGGAGTCTGTGAGAGGAAGGAGGGGAGAGGAGCTGGAGGTGACATCCCTGTTGATAACGAAAGGCAATGAAATTCTAATGGATGCAAGGAATTCTTGAAAATTATTTTCAACTCAGTTCACACAGTTAATCTTCAAAAGTCAAGAAATCAATAATTAGAAACCATGCTATATTGCATTTCCTTTTAGCATTGAAGTGAAAAACTTTGCAGGCAGTAACAGCTTTAAAAGTATTTAACTATGAGATATATTTGAATTTACCTTTCTGTATTAGACATACACTCATTAAGTTGTATACTATGATCTAGATTGTTCAATATTAAAATATACAGGATAATTTATGAAATCTGTCTGTTGAACAATGATCAATAACTTACAGTAAGTTACTTGTCAACTGGATTAATGTGATTTACTTACCAGTGCTTGATTGTTGACTTGTGAACTGTTTCTCTGCACTGACTGCTTCTTCCTTATCTACTAACTCAGCAGATTCATCTGAAGATTCTTCAGCCATCATAATTAAACTGTCTGTTTTCTGTATAAATGACAAGTATGTGAGGTAAATTATGATATTATTTTCACATTCTCATTTTGTCACTACTTAAATATAACACAACATTTAATCTTAAACTGCTTTTTTTATCTTTATCTTTTGTTGGTCTTTATCACAATAATTTGTGCATTTCATGTGCTCAGTCTAAAATGAAAGTAACAAACCTGTCCAGAGCATAATAAAAATAAACATCATCTTGTTATCTTATCTAGTAAATTTATATAAGATACAAGCCCAATCTGGAAACATTGTTTGTTAACTTTTTTCCACTTCTTATATTGAATTCAAATCAACTTTTAAAAAAAAAATTATTAACATAGTAGCATTTCCAGTTAAATATTTATCGTGTTTATAAAAAAGTTCCCTTGTTTTCCCATTAATGTCAAACCCTGACAGTCGGGGACCTAGACATGAGCTTTTGACCTTGGGTCATACCATTTAACTGCTTCCCAGGTGATTTAAGCAGTATTCACACCTGTGTGGAGTATATCACCACTAGTCTATTTCATGCTCCTACAGGATAGACAAAACAGTCAAATTATTAACAATCTTCAGCTGGCAGCCACAGTCTAAATTAATACAAATTGGTCTGAAGTGTATTAGTTAGAATGTAGTCTTTCCAAGTCAATTTTTACTGTCAGCCTACATTATTTACCAGCTTGCCTCTTTGACGGCTTTATACAGGATTATGTAAATTATATCTTTGTATTCAGTTTTATATTTATAGCTTACTAAAACCTGGGAATCTTTTCACAGCTAAAACTAATATTCAACAGTTCAAATTTCAATGGCCAAATATTGAAATAACACCAGCACTTGCTTACGATTTAAATAACTCTGTCATGAATTGCTTACGATTTAAATAACTCTGTCATGAATTGCATTGTTTTGGGGTTACTTCGGTTATGGACAAGTTTTCCACAAGTCTCTTTACCGGATCACAAAAACACTTGTAATAGAAGAAATCAGCATGTTGTTAGTAAGCATCCGAAAATAAATATATCCGAACGCTGTTCACATATTGAAAACAAGACATACAATTAATTATTGTCTTGAGTCGATGTTACAAGACACAATAAGTGCTAATTAACTCACTTCAACGCATTTTATATTTTCGGCGATAAAAGTATGCTTAAAGTATTTTAAACAAGCAAAAAAGTCAAAATATGATAAATTTCTGTTTACCTCTATGACGTCACACAGCCACGTATATTCACGTCGGACATTCGCTTGATTCGGCTGTACATAAACCGCAACAGACTGGTAATTTGATTGAGGGCGAGCGTAGAAACATTTGAAAATTAAACTGAGGCTGAATTCAATTTACTTTTAAATCTATGATATTACAATAATTAATTATATACTATATTTAAATACATGTCGGCACGTGCACAGTACAGTATCCGATATATAGCCCATTTTTATTACGTCTTAATCACGTGAATACCGTGCAGCTTGCTATATTATCATGTATATCTGTGATATTATCAAAAGGGTATTTAAGAATTTTACGAAAAAACCAAAGATATAAAAATACATTGTTTTTTTACAGTTCCTTGCAATAACAAACTAGAATAGTATCAAAGATCTATATATAGATATTCTTTCTGTTTTTTTTTTTTTTTTTTTTTTTTTCAAATAGAGTTGAAGGACTCTGATATAGGCCTATTATAGATACTATATAAGGCCTATATATAGATATTAATCGATAGTTAGATGTCTAGTATGAATTCATATGTATAGTCTAGATATATAATGTGACTATGTCATCCTGTCCATGCAGTCTGTCATCGTCGTTTATGTTAAATTAAAGTACATTTGTAATTGCATTAAAATTACATAAAAGCTGTAAGTTACACATGTAATACCCATGCTAAAAGTTGTAAAAAACATTATGTTGCCATGCCCTGCGGTCACCTTAGACAACGAAGTGTCATTTTCTTTCGTATCTATTTAGAAATATACATAAACACATGTACTTTATTGTCACATATATCAACATGCATATAAAACATACAAAAACTGCATAAAATTAAGTACGATTTTTTATGTTACCCTATAGGATTGCCTTATTCCCAATGGATCCAATTACTGTAATATTAACATACTAATCTTCTGATAATACATGAATTATCATGAAGTTATCATAAATGAAATAATTTTGCCAACATTGTACTATAACTAAGATGCATAATTTATCGATATGATGAGTACAAAATGATCATTCTTAAATCATCATTATACACATAAAGCAGAGAGCTATAGTTTGTAATATAAGACTCTTCTGGGACAAAAAGAAATTAAATCCCAGGTCTCTGATAGAATATTACAATGTATCACATTGATACACTAGATAATGTGACTTTCGAATATATGGATACAGACTCAGTAGACCTGTTCATAAGATGACGTCCATTTTCAGAAAATTTAATTGGTGACTGACGGCCTACAACTGATTTTCTATTTAGTTAAATCATCTTCTGTTATTTCAGTTTGAATACTGTGATGGTATTCTATGTTTAACTCATGCGCGGGAAGGTGCGTGTTGATCAACATGAATATGCTAAAAGTGTTAGGTCGTGGGGTTGATTCAAATAATGAATGGATGTTCTTCAAGTGCACTTTAATAAAGTCTCTCTAATCAATAAAAACACACCTTTAACGGGTATTTACTTTTTAGAAATTCCAAACGCGCATTTTGTCAGAAAGAAAAACCCCGTCAAAGTCACATTTTGACGGATCATTTTTAATTTAACATGCGTAGATCTCTATAAAATATATTTTGCACATAAAGATTTAGTTTTCAAAGAAAAATGAAAAAAAAAGACCATCATATAGCCTACATTCTGTATTTGTTTTTGCAATTTTTTGGGGTAGGGTATTTGGTAAGTGACATTTTATTTTCATTTTCATGTGTGCACGCTCGTTAATTATGACACTGAACTCCAGATCTCATTTGTATTGCTTGACAAAAAAGATGTCATTCATGTAAATTTTGCGAGATATTTGCAATTTGACTTGTCAGAAAGAGATGTCGCATACTAATAATTACTTGTTCAATCAAATATTTGACGCATGTACGTCTGATGTTTTTGATACATGCACATCTTGTAATGCCTATAGTCAGTTAACTGTTTATGAACATGGAAGTAAAGGTCGCGTTTCTGCTTGTATTTTTCAAGAGCGTCGTTTTAGTTGTAGAATCTAGGCATTTATCTAGATCTGAACAGGTATGTTTTTTATTTCATACATTTTCATTTTTTTATCGAATGTATATGTTTTCTAAAATCTTTAAAATAAAAATGAATAAAAAAAGTTCTAGATAAATTCATGTGTATTAGAATGTATTTTGTAGTATTCCCTCGAAAATACCTTTTTACATGGGACACTACCAATCAATTATCATGACAGTCGTTAGATTTATTTATTTGTTTATTTATTTTAAGTTAAACGCAGTATCAACATATTTAAAAATCTATTTAAATATCAAAGGCTTAGCTAATAATGATGATAATAGGCCTATCGCACCTTTGATTAAAGTACTTTTCCCAAATTATAACAAATATTTTCATCAAGCTAATGGCCGCATAGAAACTTTTCTGCAAGCATTACGGGAAACGTACAAGCGCTACATAGGAGGGGGATGTACTTTTCTAATCGGAGAAATTTTGCCTGGAATATAGTGTACGTTTCTTATTCAAATATTGCAAGAAATATAGAAAAATAGCAAAAAACATAAGCGGTAACCAAATGTTACCGTACACAAATATACCGTGATAATTCCCATCCTGAATGGAGGTCTTTACTAATAACTAATTTCTAATCATTCGTGGCGAGTCACTCGTTTCTTTCAAGAATAATTATATTTATTGTGTAAAACGACCTAAACTGAAAGGCCTTTAAACGCCTTTAACTCGAATTTAGTTCAGAAAAACACTAAAATATAAATTTCAAATTTCATTCTGACTATATATATTCCTTAATCTTTTTCATTTTGATTTATGCGAGATTCTCAAATTCACCTTTTTCAAATGATTTTTATATTTTTCATTTTGATTTATGTGAGATTCTCAAATTCATTTTTTCAAAGGATTTTAGGCATTGAATTCAGTGGAGCTCTTTTAATTAAGGCAATCGAATGGTATCATAACTATTGGCAATCATTTTATTTTTTTAAGTATCTACCTCTCTTCTATTTTCGTAGATTCAACCGAGGCCTAGTGGTTCATGGACTCAGTTATCATCTTCTAGATCACTTCCAGACATTCACCGACAAGAAGTCGTAAGGTCTACCCTTCAATTAAATCCAACCATTCTCAATAGCAGAGGGCAATTACGACCTGGACAATTGGAGTACTCACACAATTTGCATGTACAAAGAGGAAGTCGCCAGGATGGAAGCCGCCGGCTAAGAGTATTAAGAACTCCAAGGAGGCAATATTTACCGGCGACAGTGATCCAGGGAGATCAAATATTGCGAAGGTCAAGGATACTGTCAGGAACTCGACAGTTTCCAACACTTACAAGCCAGCGACTGGGAACACTTTCCAACGGACGTAGGAGAACACTTTCAAGCCGACATACTGGACTACTTTTAAGCCAGCCAACAGGAATTCTTTCACGCCGACGCACTGGAACACTTGCAAGCCAACGAACGGGAATACTTTCAAATCGACGCGCGGGAGCACTTTCAAGCCGACGCACGGGAATACTTTCAAACCGGCGCATAGGAACAGATTCAAACCGAGGCACGGAATATAGATCACGAACAAGAGGTTATATAGCTCTACTGAGATCACCCTATGGTACGAGGCTTATTCAAAACGGGAGATTTAGACCGAGTCTAAGATCAAGATCAAATCAAAGGTTACAAATCTCACATAATACTCCAGGAAGCAACAATCACCAGACGCTAAGACTAACACAAATGCCACGTTTCGGGACGATTACAGTTAGGTCCAACTCGGATGATGATGATGATTCAAGAATTGATAATAGGTATAATATAGTAAATACAGTGAATACTGACAATCGTCCAGTGCATTTTAACATTGAGCAAAACTCCGAGGGCACATCTGTACAGTTTGGTACTCCACACAGATCCGAATTACCAAGAAGAAATCGAAATACTGTAACTGGGCCATCTCAGAAATTTTTATCACACGAGTTAAAAAAACTCAACTTAGTTAATAAACAAAAAGGCGCGTATCCAGGGGCGGTGTTTCCCGAGAATTCTTTCATATATCAAGAACAACCTGATTCAAATTCAGAGTCTCCGATAAAGCAAGAAGTGAATCATGAATTAGGCGAAGGAAACACACTTTTAGCAGCTAAAACACTTTTAGCTAAAGAGTTGGGACAAAACACAGATATCGTTTCTTTAATCCAAAGCTTAGTAAAAATTGTTGATCCCATTCGTCTACAAGAGTCTATTGTCCCCAAAGACCAAGTAATTTTAGCCGACACTGCAGTTGATTCAAATGTACAAATAAACTCCGATGTCTCTGAAAACACTGTGAAATCTGCTGAAACCATCAATGTTGTAGATCCTGTATCATCAGTAGATACCTTAGTTCAAGATTACTCTGCTGTTCCACTAGACACATTAAACCCAGCTGATTCAATTATTAACTTAGATCCATTATTACCGGTAGATTCAATTGTTCTAGTTGACCTTGTAAAACAAGCTGAAACCAGTCTTGTCACGGATTCTGTCCTATCATTAGATTCTACTGTTGACACTGCAAAAACAGCTGAAACCAGTATTGTTGTGGATCCTAATATACCAGTAGACTCCATAGTTCAAGTCGACACTGCAGTCCCGGTGGACATTGTCAAACCAGATGAAACCAGTATTGTTGTGGATCCTGTTGTTATTGTAGATTCCACTGTTCAAATTGACACTGCCTTTCCAGTAGATATTGAGAAACCAGCTGAAACCAGTATTGTTGTAGATCCAGTAGTATCAGTAGACTCAATCATTCCAGCAGACACTGCAGTCCCAGTAGACATTGTTAAACCAGTTGAAACCAGTTATGTTGTAGATCCAGTAGTATCAGTAGACTCAATCATTCCAGCAGACACTGTTGTCCCAGTAGACATTGTAAAACCAGCTGAAACCAGTAATGATGTAGATCCAGTAGTACCAGTAGACTCGATCATTCCAGCAGACACTGTTGTCCCAGTAGACATTGTAAAACCAGCTGAAACCAGTATTATTGTAGATTCTGCTACACCAGTAGACTCCACTGTTCAAGTTGAAACTTCAGTCCCATTAGACATTGTTAAACCAGCTGAAACCAGTTTTATTGTAGATCCTGCTACACCAGTAGACTCCACTGTTCAAGTTGAAACTTCAGTCCCATTAGACATTGTTAAACCAGCTGAAACCAGTATAATTGATTCTGCATTACCAGTAGACTCGATTACTCCAGTAGAACCAGTATATACAATAGAAACTAATCCAGCTGTTAATCCTATAAATTCAGGAGAGTCTACTATATCGGTGCATCCTATTGATACAGTAATTCTTGCAGATCCAGTTTCAACAGTCGACCAAGTGGCTTCAGTAGATAATAACAACACTCAAAATGATCTCTTAATTCCGGCTGACCCAGTGGGGCCTTTAATTCAATAGATCTTATACAATGTAACAAAGATGGCACAAATTTTAAATAAATTTCAACATTAGAAAAAGTTGTGATGAAAATGAGTTAAATGACCTTTTTTTCTTTTTTTTAAGATTGAATTGAAAACAATCCATTGACAAATTTGGTAAATATACCATGTGATACATGGTTACTACAAGTATAGGGAAGTGGAGTTGTGTTTGATAAGCTTAAAAATACTTTTGAAGATGGCCATTTGAATTGTGCAAATTTATAGTATATGCATTTATTGCTTACTTTTGCACTTTCATAAGCATACTTCATCCACCCTTTCAGGTTTAAATCATTTAGTTAGTCCATTTAAACCATTTCGATAAGTGAAAAAAAAATGTGAGGTTACTTTTTTGTGTGACCAATGTATGCTATTTGGAATATGCATACTTTATTTATTTTTATTTATTTATTATTATTTTTATTTATTTATTATGAATTGCATATTGTTATGTGTAAACATTAATTTTGTGGACAAATTGGAATTGTTTTAGATTTCATTATTTTGCATGTTCTAGCTGTGTCCTTTTTCTTGTTTATCTGCAGAATAAAATACAATAACTTGTATATCTTTTTTATTGTTATTTGTAGCTAAGATTACCAGTGTGCAAGTATTTTGACAATGCCAGGCATTAAAATTTACCGCACCTACTTATTGCAGAAAGAATTCTGTTTTATTTTTGGTTGGGTTTTAAGGTACTACAATACTATTGATGTAAAATGGCGACTTTTCAGATTTACTGGTGGAGGAAGACCTAAGGTGCTATTCCATACCACTGAGTAGAACCGCTGACCTTTTATTAGTCACTCTCCTGCGCATCAGTCAAATGTTTCACTATCGTTCACTGTTGTGAAGTAATGGGAGTGTATTCACTGAGCTGGGAAGGGAGCATATTTGTAAGCTAGCTTGATAGCTTCCTCACATGACAGACTCTAAAAGTCCCTGATGATCAGGGACATGTAAGAATCTAGTCTCTCAAGGTTGGGGGATAGGGTACGGATTTTGAACATACAGCGGTGAGGAGCAAGTCAGCTACCTTCGCCATCGAGTTCCCGAGACTTGGTCCTCCTTCAGTATAGAACCAATAAAATAACCCCATAACCCCCTACCCATTCATATACCAACATTTTGCTGACCAGTCCTTATAACTATCAACATCCTAGTTAACCTTCTGAATTTCTTAATTGGACTTGTTCAGCTTTAATTTTTTGAAACCATCCATTTTTCATTGTAGCAATATGAAGATGAAAATCTCAAGTTAGCCAACAGTAAAGAGCCTGGTCAGACTGTACAGGTGTGCATCCTGGTCTAGCTCTATATTGGTGGAAAAGGTTATATATTTTTGGTTCAAGCAGGGTAAGGGTTGAACAGGACCTTACCAGTATCTTTTTTTTTTAATACAATAGTTGATTATATGACCTCACTCGGGATCAAACTGATTACACTTTGCACTCAGTGATTAATTTATTTAAGTTCAATTTAGTATGAAGTCTATAGCTTATAGAAACACTCTCGAATCTGGAGCCAAACAGCTATGAATGTAATGTTCAATACAATACTTAAACTCTTAACCCACTTGAACTGACATCAGTATACTAGTCCTAGGTCAGCCTGCACTAACATGTAGACTTACAAGGTACTATACTATTGGCCAACTACTTTTAAATTTAATTTTCATCATATCCTCAAATCGACTATGGATAACAAGTCCATTTAGTAAATTCAGCATGTCAAAAGTTAAAAAAATACAAGGAGCCAAGATACTGCCCATACATGAATCAACGGGTAACATATTCTCTTGACTTCCAAGTACAATAGTTAGACTATCAAAGCACTAAGCTCCACTATTGGTCCATAGGTTAAGAAAGACACCACTGGTAGATTTTTATGATCAGGAACGTACCCATTGTTAGGCATGAACCTTTGTCCCTCGAAACAAGTTTTACCATGTGGAAGTTTCCTGAAATTTTACATTTTTTTTATTAAATTAAATATCAGTTTGTTTTTCTGGCTTTTTTTCACGTCCATATTTTCTTGTATCACGGCACTCAATCAACTAAACTGACTTTCATAGATAACCATTAATTCTCAATTTAACTGTTAGTGAGAGTCTACTAATCACACACGATTTCTGAATCAGCTGTAAAGAGACAAATGAGTACAAGTTTTGTCTCACCCCAGGATCAAAACAGCCACCCTGGATTACTAGAATGTAAACAATGTATCTTATATATATGTCAACTATAATTGGTACAACAGCAACAACAAGGACATTTGATCAAAATATTTATTTAATGTAGATTCAAAATGATCTGTCAAACATTAACAGTAAGTTTACACACAACTATTGACAGTTCAGACATATATAAATGTAAATTATATGAATTAATTTTTCATACAAGAAGCACTTTAAGAATATCATAGACACTTATGCTGCAATAATTTCACTTTTCTATTTACTGCTTTACTTCCTTACAAAAGTCAAGTTTTCAATATATAGACATTTTTCCCCCATAAAATATTAAATCCTATTGACTATCATTTTTTTATAAAGGAAATGAAAGAAAATTACAAAGTAGTCTGTGTTGTATTAAAACGAAATGATTTTAATATCCAATGAAGAACAATGCATCTGTTTGATTCACATCTGCTGTCAACTTTCTACAATATGCGAGAAACTTGACGTCTTAAAACCTTTCAGATCTGAAAAAATAATTCAAAGAATAAAGTTAATTTTTTCAACACTAATAGTTTATCACTATATAGCATGTATATGAAAAGATAAAAGAAATGTTTCTTCAAAAATTGATTTACTGTTTCAGAAGTTACATAAGAAAACTTGAAATAATTATATTAAACAATTGTATGCTTCAAAATACATGTACAGTTTGTCAAACCTGTTCAATACAGACAGATTTTTGTACCAGTGCACTGCTGAAAAAAACAATACTGGTTGCCAGTCTGACTTTTCAAGCTGTGTTCAAAATTACACAGACATAAAATTTGTTAAATTACAACATTTGTATGTTTGGTTTAATGCTGATTTATACAAATATTTTTGGTCATAACATGGCAGTTGAACCATCTATCTGACTTTCCTGGATAACTTACCAGCAATTACCAATTTCTCTGCAAGTGATTAACTGATTGAGGAATAAATGACAATTAAATGCAATATCCAAAATCAATTGTCAGGGAGAAATTTCACCCCATCTTATTGGAAGATTAAACCATTTACATAGAGTATTAACACTTATTTTGTGATTCCTTTGGTAACTTTGATATTGAACTACAAATAACCTTTGTATTAATTACAAACAACCTTTGTAATTTAAATGATATTTTGACAAAAAATAATTGTAATACAGTGTCAAATACAAGAATTATATTAGACAGTCACATGGTACAATCTACAGACATCAATAGAAATAACACAACTACCAATGCAACTTGTTCTTTCTTTTTATCTACATTTTACTTACATTTTACATACCTTATTGTTAATTTATTCAGGATTTCTCTTTCTTCTTCTCAGCCTCTTTAGCTTCTTCAGCCTCGTGAACTTTGATAAGTTCATCCACTGTCTTGTTGTCTAGCACTGTAATTTTTGTCTTACCATCCTCACGTGTTAAAGTTGCCAATTCAACTGAAAGACAAAATGTCTTGTGTTAGTTTCTATTTATCATGGATAAGTTTGGAAATTTAAGGACAAGGTCATACTGTGCTGTCATTATATACGGATATCGGTGAGGACGGTTGCCTTAAAACATGTGTATTCAATACTGCTCTTTATAGCCTTACATCATGTCAAAAAGTGAAAATCCCTAATTTTACATGGCAACACCACATTTCTAACTGCTTACAGTACCAAACAGGCCCACTTAATCGGTGCTGGGTTTTAGTTATTCTGTTTCCTATAGAGGGTGATAGAACTGAATGTTTACCCTTGACAAGCTAATGTTAACTGGGGCATTAGTGATTATATCACCTGTCTCAGGTGAACATTCTGTTATATCACCATCACTTGGATCTGAATTTTAAATATTGTTTTATAACCGTTTTTCAAATTTAAATGACATTATGCCCATAGTGCAAATTAGGAGGTCACAGACAAATGCCAAAATATAACTTTATATTTTCCCATAATTGCATTCAATTTTATATATTTTACTACGCAAAAAATAATCAATAATCATTGTATACAAATGATATTTACATACATAACACCTGGAATGTATTGGTAACATTCAATTTTTAAAATTTCTTTTTTTTAAGTAAGGCAGTTCTTATAGTTTACCTTTAAAGCAGAATGCCTCCAGATTCATACTAATTTTCATGAAAATTTTGAAACTGTATTAAAATCGTCAGTAAGAAGTGCAAAATTGTGAAATTAATGATGAAAGTAATTTACTAATAATTTAAAGTATTGCAAACAATGCTTACAATCCAATTTAATTTAAACTAGAACTATAACTAAATGCGATTAATACCCCCGCAAGACTGCTTCGGAAATGAGGAAGTTACAAGTAACAGAATTCCTTGTTAAAAAATTGAAATAGAGTTATGGTTGTGGGCAATTAAAGATAGTTGTGGTTTTTGTATGTTGCATTTCCTTAAAATATGGTTGACCATTGATGAAGTTTTATTGAATTACTCTGTAATAAATCCAGAAAGAGTTACGCTTCTTGAGCACTGCACTTCCTCTCATTGCGCTTGACCATTGTATGAAGTTGCATTGAATTCTAAACATTAGTTTTAAGTTATGCATCGGACAAGGAAAAGGAACAAAGGGCAATAACTCTACAAATACTGAAAATGGAGTTATGGTTATTGTACACTGCACTTCCTCTCATTTCGCTTGACCATTGTATGAAGTTGTATTGAATTCCAACTACTAATTTTCAAGTTTTGCACTTGATAAAAAAGTAACAAAGGGCAATAACTGTAATGAGTCAAAATAGAGTTATGCTTCTTCTGCACTGCACTTCATCTCACTGCCCTTGACCATTGTATGAAGTTTCATTGAATTCCAAACATTAATTTTCAAGTTATACACTGGACATTAAAAAGTAACAAAGGGCAAAAACTCTTAAATGAGTCAAGAAAGAGTTATGGTTTCTGTGCACTGCCCTTCCTCTCAATATACTTGACCATTGTATGAAATTGTATTGAATTCCAAATAGTACTTTTCAAGTTATGCTCTAGACAAGAAAAAAGCAATGGAAAAGTAACAAAGGGCAGTAACTCAATAATTACTCTATACAGAGTTATGGTTCTTGGGCACTGCACTTCCTCTTAATGTGCTTGATGATTGTATGAAGTTGTATTGAATTCCAACTAGTAGTTTTCAAGTTATGCTCTGGACAAGGAAAAGTAGCAAAGGGCAATAACTCTGTAATTAGTGAAGATAGAGTTATGGTTCTTGTGCACTGCACTTCCTCTCAATGTGCTTGACCATTGTATGAAGTTGTATTGAATTCCAACCATTAGTCTTCAAGTTATTCTCCAGACAAGGAAAATGCAAAGGACGTCTGGACCGACCGACCGATCACCAGGTGACTCCTATATACCCCCCAACTTTGTTTTTGGGGGTTTAAAAAAAGAGGTCAAAATCTGCAAAGAAGCAGATAACATATAATTTAAAATTTGAATCTGGAATCTATTTACTTTTCTTAATCTTAATACATTTTTCTCAAGTTTGATTGTCTTTAAATATTTTGGCACATCTGAAGGCATGCAGCTTTAACATTTTTCATAGTCATATCTCTTGTTATATATTACAAGTTAAACTAAACTTGACAAAAAAGGAGCATAATGTCACTTTAAAAGAATTGTCAACTTGTAATAGAACAAAAATGATTAAACCTGGCCATACCTTTTTCTGATGTAAGTTTGGTCATATCTAATGTTTTACTAAGAACTTTAACTGCCAGCTGTAAGGCTTGTTTTAGAGTTGTTTCCCCTTCTTTATAATCTTGCTTTAACATTGATACAGCATTCTAAACAAAAGACAGTCAAAATGTCCATTCATCATATATTATTATCATAATAAACAAATATTACAATTTATATCATGATTACACAAAATAAAAATTTTCAAAAATAAAAAAACAACTTTGTGAGTTTTTATGAAGCAGTTAATGTTTTGCAGTTAATTGCTTAATTTTCATGTAAACTCAGATTACTCCCAAGATATTAAGGAGCCAAAAATGTTACATGAAAATGTTACAAAACCAGTTTTCCCACTAATACCACCAGGTTAAATAATCAAAGATGGATGCACAAACAAATATTTATTTAAAATAAGCTAACTTTGAGAAAGAAATTATTGTTGAAGTGACACTTACAGCACTATTGTTCCCTATACATGTAGCCTTCCAACCTCCATAGTTACCACTGGGATCACTCTGATATAGCTGGAATCCATAATGTTTGTCCCATCCCATGTACAATAATGACACACCAAATGGTCTTTTGCCTAAATAAGAGCGTGGAAAGAATGTTTGTAAAAGTTCCCATAAGGGCCTATAAAAAAAGGTCAGATAAATATCATCTATTCTATTATAGCATTTTATTTCCTTCAGTTGATTAAAGAAATTGTGATGTCATAAATTCTTTTATCAACTTCAAACACCAATTCTTACAAAACATTTAGCAAAGAATGTAACTCAATGAATTACTCTTTTCCTTTCAAATAATTTATGTAAAAAGGCTTTTCTCTTCAAGTAAATAAATAGGTAACTTATTTCCACAGACACCTCTAGTTATTATTTAAACTGAATTCAATTTTATAACCCTGATGAAGACTCGTGAGAGTCGAAACGTCGGTTATCATCATTAAATAAACCTTAAAACTTATCCTGTGTTGATTGTTTGTTCCACTTGTATTGTTTTTCTTGAATTCAATAAGTTTTGGTTAATTTTCTACTAAATCAATTTCATGAAATGTTATCAAACCTACCTCCAAATTGTGTATAAGCTTGTTTGAGATCACACAGGGTGCTTACCATCTGTTCACAGGGAATCGGTTCTTGATATTGCAACAAATACCTAAAATGCACATTTATACCTTTGTAGAGTTTAGGTCACATCAGTACTAAACAGATCTTATAGAGACTTTTCCACCTTATCTGGTGGAGGAATTTTAATGTGTACTTATATAAATTAATTCAGGCAAGAGCAAACTTGGTAAGCTAGAAAGCTTCCTCGCATGAAAAAAATCAAAATTCCTAAAAGGATCCAAACCCACACAAACTTACAGATGTCAATGATATACATAAATTTACTTGTTACATAAAATGTTAAAATACACCTGATCAATCAAACAGACATAGTTCACAAATATACAGTTACTATGATAGTTCAGTGTGTAGTTAGGTATTCATTCAGTCATGATTTTTTTTAGAATTTCTAACTCTAAGACAATAACAACAATTTTTTTAAACATAATAATACATTAATAAGAAAAGTTAATATACTTTTTTCCGGTTTTTTTTTGTATATGTACGTTTGACATTTAATTTTCTATGTCACAGAGACAGTTGCAAATGTATTACTATAAATCTGTACAATCTACCTTTGTGCAATAAGACGGAGTTCATTTGTAAGAACATTAGCATCTGATGTGATCCCAGCAACACTACATACCATGTCACTGAAACAAAGTATAAAATATTAATAAATCAATCAAATGTCTTTTCAAAAAAGAGTGCAATTTATTTAATTTGGGGTCAATGAAAAATATACAATATATTATCAGATAAGGTAAAAGCATGTATATGTAGATGCATTCCTATTCCTAAAAATTTTAAGTCTTAAGTCTTGATTAATTAACTGTAAACAATGTACCATCATCTCTTTTCCAATTTTTGTCAATTGAACTACTTGTGAAATATTTTACAAAATTAACCCTTGACATGCTAATTGAAATTATTTTCAACCTGGACAAGGATAGTTTTCATATTATACACTAAATGAAAAGCCCATAAAGTAGACCATGATCAGTAGGCAATGAAGTGACGGCTGATGTTGGTTTTCAATGGTTGCATCTATGGTTAGAATCAGTTACGGCCAGCATTGCCAAGCTACAGTTGATATAATGAAATACATGCAAAGTTAAGAGATATACATGTACTTATGTTTACAAACAAAGAAATATGACACTGAAGATATGACTTACTCATGCAGTTTATAAATTTTCTCGGAGTATGCAACCTCATCAAGAAGTTTGTTTGTGTTTCGTCTTTCTGCTGCAAGGAGGACACCATCATTTGCCAATATTCCTAAACACGTCCCTGCATGTCCAATAGCTTCCATTGCATATTCAACTTGATAAAGCCTTCCCTCAGGGGAAAAGATTGTTGTTCTTGAATCATACCGACGAGACTGAAACAGTTAAAAAGACACTATTTACCATTTGGAAGATACAGCCAAACTTATCATATGTGACTTTCCAAGGGACTAACCTGTCTAACTTACTAACCAAAGACAGGTCACATGTGACAGGGAGACAGGTCCATAAAAAGAGTTTCAGATTGCTTGATGAAATTTTTCATTTTTTTTTTCTTTTTCTATTTCCAAAATGCACTGAATAGTCCTGTGTTATTGCTTCCAATGAAAGTTGTCTTTTGTTATGACAGACAACATTAACAGCACTCACTTCAAGCTATCTGATTGGCTAAGTGTATTTACCCTAAGACTTGTCAATTATTTTTGTGGTGAAATTTATGTCACTTTTCAAGTTTTGCAAACATTTAATCCTTAAAGTTTTTATGTTATTTGTATATTTCCAAGTGTGTTAATGCTTGATCTAGCTAGATTGACCACAAAAGAATCTGTCAGACTGTGTAATATTGAAACAAAACTATAAATAGTATAACAATATTTGTGCAATGTAAATATTTACAGATAAAGACATGAACTTGTCTGCAAATTTGTCAATCCGGCCCCAAATCAATCTGTCTTTGTTTAGCCGGGCCACATTTTAATATTTATTTAGTTCTATTTTTTTGTTTTTTCTTTTCAAAAAAAAAAGTGCATAATAATCCAAATAATACACCCATTGACAGTCTCTATATGATCTATGTAAATAACCGAGGTATACAAGTGAAAAATACTAGTTGTTTCCCTTATCTCTTTGAGTAAAATTGATATCTATGAGCAAGTTTAATGCCAAAACAATGCAAATTTAGCAATTTTTAAACCGCTAGTTTGGTGCGATTTAATGTCCGATTTTAAAATTTATTACACCAATGAAAAGCTTGTGATCTTAGCTTCTTCTCAGCATATATTTCAACACATAGTTTGACACTAAAGGTTTTTAAATTTACGGTTAAACCTACCACAAGTCAAACCATCTTACATGACTGTACTTATGTTTTATACAGTCATGGAGCTAAATATATATAAGATGGAGAAGAGACTGTGACGTCACACAGTTAAAATCAGTATCTTCGGAATTGTGTTCCCACAAGTTATCATATGTTGCGAGATTTTGCGAGATTTGATGCATCTTGGGTAAAAGTAGCCAAAGTACCGCCATATTAAATCCCCGGAGGTACATCAACAAAAAAGACTAAACTTTTTCTACTTATATAAGAAGCAATATTTATTTATTCTAACACGTAAAAAACACACTTTTCCACACAAATATTTCTCCAATGAAAATCCATGTTGGCAATGTAAGGCCTAAATTAAAAATAGCTTTGTTTGCTGTCTCCCGACCGACCCTTAAAAAACGTTGTGCTCCGAAAAATTTTATTTGCTCTCCCCGACCATTTTTTTTTTTTTTTTTTTGGTGCCGCATATTTTTACCGATATCCGTTCAATAACGGCGTGTAGTATTCTGGTTCCCGCGTATTATTCGTCACGTGTATCGACTATCAAGTACCGCCGGGTAAAAGTCGATTGTGTACACATCCGTTACAATTTTGCAAAACGAAAGTTAGAAGATCTTCAAGAAGACGAGTATTTTATCATCTCGTCAACATTTATTATTACGTTTATTCAACTTTGTTGAAAAATAACCTCCACGAGAATGAATTTGTCTGGGCATGGGTCGATCTGTTGAATGACGTCGAGGATTTTTACCCGAAAAAAATCGGACGTTCTTCATGTTCTTACGGTATGCTTAAATACTGGTTTGGGTTTAAAACTTACTGAGTGCTCATGTAATCGACTTAAAATAAAGTTTTTGTAAATAAATAAAGTTTCTTGTATGTACTCACTCATTTATAAGTACCAGTATTTTTTTAATATTAAATCATTTTCTTCAACCAGCAAATGCACTAATCTTATTGTTTTCAGTACCACCTGTCTTAGTATTTGAACCATTTCAGCACTCGTTTATCACATTTTCTCATTATTGCAGGGCTTTAAGAATAGTCTTCTAGTGGCTCAAAATGCAAGGCACTGAATGCGGATAAACCAAGGTGTATTTACTCCAAGAATAAATTGACAGGGAAACATGATCTCTAAAACACAACCTTGAGAAATTTGATTACAACTGTGTTTCAGTCATTACAGTTGATGGTTAGTATTGGTATTGCACATTGTTGTGCTTATTTTCTTGAAATAGTGATGTCAAAATGTTTTTACATAATCAACTGAAAGTAGAAACCTGATTTTATTCTTTCTTACATATTTCCCATGGTGTTTGTATAATTAAAAAAGTTAAAATAATTGCATTTTTGGCAAAATCTGTATTGCATAAAGTCTAGCCTTCTGTCTGTTTTCATAGGAGATGCTCTGCAAGGGAGAGTGTTTGTATGACTGCAGATGTCATGCCAATCTCACGTGGAGTTCCCTTACTGTGCCTCCAACATTGGACGACCAGATATTTGTGCCCATTGTGATGAGCCAGAAGCACAGAGAAATCCAGAACTGTTAACAAAGTTTAGGATTGTACTTCCAGTTTATGAGCAATGCATCAATGTCCACAAGAAAGACATTCCCCATAGATGTCCTATAAAAAATGAATACTGTGAACCTAAATTTTGTTGGTATACTGTGGCTTAACTGTTTACTTGTCTGAAGTTGCTTAGTGTTTGAAGTTGTTTTTCTGGTTGTGTTACTAACTATTCATTTCAGTGAAAATAAAATGTAAGCAGACTTTAAACTGTTGATGTATAATGATGCCTTTTGTTGTTCAGTAGTTATTTTGCATAATATATTTGAGTATATTTGTGTGTTTTAGTCATCCTCTCACATGTTGGGTGAATGTTTGAAATTTTGCTTTTGTTACATGTATTTTTATTAAAAAGAACTATACTTCTTGTATTGACTAATTGAAAGATATACAAACTGAAATAAAAAGTAAGATATATCAATTTTAAAAATTTTTATTCGCATTTTTATTAAACCGTTTTTTCCAACAAACAGAATCAAACCAAAAACATGTATGTATTTCCAAAAAAAAAAAAAAAAAATCCCTACCTACCTACCCAACTCTAAAAAGTAGGGTCGGGAGACAGCAAACAAAGACTTTTTTAAATGTGGCCTAAGCAATAATTCACGGATATCGCCGAAGTTAAACGATAGCATAAAAATTGGAGACTAGCGCGTAAGGCTCCCACGTTTACAATTTTTTGTAAACGTTTACATGATTGTTAAAAACCGAAAAGATGCCATTTAAACGGTGGTATTTCTTTGTACTATACTACACCATGTATTCGAGTCACCAATTTCTGACTTACTTTCTATTTTTAATACATGTACAAATAAATAATGTTCAAGGCTCATCACGATTGAGTCCGCACACGTTTTCTGCATTGTATCCCCATTTTGCTCATTTGATAGATCAAAGGAAAAACAACTTTACAAAAATGTATTATGTCACGAGTGATTAATGCACGGTATGTTGTCTGAAGGGACTTGTAAACACCCATTTTCCATTTTTTACTTTGGAATAAATTAATGAGAATTGATAGAATTCATGATTACAGGCAATGATTAAGATATTTATTTTGTAAGACAATAGAATTATATGGTCATTTTGATTAAACGGTAAAAAATATCGTAAACGTTTACAAATGAAAATCAAAACGAATCCGTTTAAACGTGTAACAGTGGGGGCCTTACTAGTGGTAAAGCCCAATTATCACCGAAGCGCGCAAAGGATTGTGGGTCTGAATCGGACTCTGGTCTATTTTCAGAGTTTCCTATCCGTTGTTATATATCTGTGATACAGTGAGATACGCAACCGGTTATCTTTACTTGCAATTCTACTGTTAAGAATAGCCTGTTGTCTGCTAGTTCGGAAACTGTAAATCGGTGTATTTGTAAAATGATGAATACAATGTCTTTAAAATAAATGTTCAATATTGTCATACTGTGATAAATTCCATCTAATAAATTCAGTTCTGATAATTTAAATTTCACACAATTATTCATATTTTTGAAATTAAATTCAGCTTTTGTGTCAGCCCAAAGAGCAATCGCTTATTTATTTGCAATGACAATGTGTTACATGTATTTAATCTAGCCCACAAGGAAACAATTGAAAAGAAAAATGAAATTATAAACATATCCAGACTTATTTTGGGGCCACACTGACTTAACGAAAATACTTTAGACCCAGTCTTACAGATTTATTGGCCTGCATTAGCCAGGTATATAAACGTACCTGCATTTAATTGATTAACCAACTTTGGGCATTTCTTTAATTTATAATTCCCATGCACACCTAAAACGTGTTGGTTTTCACACTTGTTCAGATAGGACCTTTTAAATTGGCTAAAATATTCGTGGACTGATTTAACATGAGCTAGGTTGTGGTTAAGAACGATTTGACTCTAATTACAATGCATCATGATTACCCCACCCACATAATTACACATGACACAGAGCCGGCCGGCAGGTATTAGCATAGATATTTCTTCATTGTCATATCGCGAACTGATTTGATATGAATGGAAGTAATATTATTATTAATTCTGACTTTACTCTGGTACCAAAATGTTAAAGCTACCTATAAATCTTAGGTAAAATCACGATCAATTATTTTTGATTTCTCATTCTTACCATTTTGTTGTGTAGAGCTAGCAAAATTGTATTGTTTCTCAGCTTCGAATATTAAAAAATGAAAATATAAACGAAACAAATATAACCATATGAATAATAACTGATATGAATAATGATAAGCAATTTCAATTTCAAACGAAATAAATGTATATTATTTTTTCGTGATTAAAAAAATAAATAAAATACGGATATAACGGGAGACATTCGATACACTTGATTAGAAAAACCAACTGACGATATATAGCTTCCTATGTTGGGAAGCCCTTCCTTTTTTAAAATCGCTGTTGCACGTTGGGTAGACTTTCTCTATTACATGGTCATTACATGACAGCGGATAATTAAAAAAATCCAATTAAATTCTTCTATTCTATTGATGTTTCAGTTGCAATACAATAGTATATCTAACAATCAAATCAACCCAACTGCAAGATGCACAAACAAACAAGAATGAAGATCAACAAGGCAATGGCAACGTTCAAACCCTCCAAAAGGTCTCAACAGGCTTGAAAACTGGGAATCTGATTGTTCCATGGAATTTAAAATCCAGGAAAAATGTGAAGTCCTTAGTATCAGCCGCAAGAAACATCCAATAACATTCCCTTATAATTTACATGGTCAACAACTATTATAACATCCACCGAGGCTGCAAAATATTTAGGTGTAAAAATTAGTAAAGACTTATCTTGGACCAATCATTAAAAACATAAAAGCAAAAGCAAACAATTCACTCAGATTTATAAAAAGAAATGTTAAAACTTCCAACAAATAGGTTAAAGAAACAACTGCCTACGAAACTCATGTACGGCCCCAAGTTAGAATACTGTTCCACGGTTTTGCATCCTTGGCAAAAATATCTGGTATACAAAATAGAACAAGTTCGAAGGCCAGCTACCAGATATGTATACAGCGACTACAATTACACCAGCAGTGTATTTAAAATGTTTAGTGATCTAAATTGGCAAATTCTAGAGCAGATGCGCAACATCAGCTCTGTTATCATACTCTACAAAATCGAATGAGGGTCGACCATCACCTTCTGACACCCACTAGAAACCTGAACTACCTAATACCATACTCAAGGACATGTAATACCACTCCTATTCATTTTCCCCAGAAGTATTCGTCTGTGAAATGGCCTTCCCGTGTCCTTCCAAGCTGCAGCTGCATCCTTTTTACCAGCTAGTTCTAAGTCACCTTTGCTTTTAACTTTTTATCTCAGTCTTGTACATTGTAGTTCTCTTTTTAACTTGCTATTATCTTGTACCTATAAATTTGCATTTAACACATTTGTTTTCAACAGCTATTCCCAGACAACGCACCTGCTTAGTGTAATCATTAACGATTTTGAAGCAGTATAATGTAGATGTAGATGTTCATGTAAATAAAACTGATTACAAATTAATTGTTGTATTTTTACATTCATACAGGTCTACAATTATAAATTTTGCAAATTTATAGTAAGCTCGTGGCCGCATGGTACTTACACCACATTATTAAACCAATCTCAAAGAAACCAAGTCTGTTATTTTCATGAATGCATTTGTTCTTGTTGGTTTTCACTCTCGAGCGGCAGATCTCCCTATTCTTTGGGATATCCGTTTATGTCCCAGCTATTCCAGAATTTTTGCATTCTGGTAAAAGTTATAATTGTCTACTGTTTTCCTTTATTATGAACAATCTATATATATATAATCATCTGCACATAATTATGTCTATCTATCTCTATGCGTGACTGTGCAAGTAATCAAAGGGAGAAAATAAAGTAATACAAAATGTATTTGTGAGAAATTTAAAACGAGTTGATTTAAAAAGATGAAATATACAGTTAAAACTTAAAACAGCGTGTACTCTTAAAACTCTTAAACTGATCTAGGGGAGTGGCTGGTACAACGTTGGCCAGTAGAGAATTCCAAAGTATAATGGTTGCTGGGTGAAATGAAAGTAGATAAATATGGAGTACAGTGTACATATATTGTATGTGTCTACAAGAAAGGGATGCATGTGTCTAATGAGCAAGGTAGGAGGTATAATATAAGGAGGCAACGAATCAGTCCATCAACAATCTTGTAGAAAATTAATAGCCTGGTATCAATCCTTCTGTTTTTTTTATAAAGGAATGCAGCTGTAACAGACTTAACATGTTTGTGATACCTTGATAGATCATCAGTTTACAATGACAAAATAAGCACTTTTTGGTAGAAATCCTCCACAAAACCAGGGACATAAATGTAATTAAAAAGATAAAACTGTCAATGTATGTTAATGTCAATAAAATAAAAAAAGCAATCTAACAAAAACAACATTTTTATCAACAAATTTGCAAACATGTTAATAATTAAACGATTTTCAATTTGTTTTAGTAAAGTGTATGGACTTCACCTCTTTGATCGATGAAACAATGTTATTTTTGCAACATAAATCAAGAAGATCTTTAAGATTGTTATTCTGCAGACGAATTTTTTACTGTCACAGTTAGCTTAGATACAATTTTATGAAATTTTCAAAACTATTTTATTTCCATGGCACCATTCAGTACTTCGCATACGAAATTTAACGCTTGTACAGGTGATTCAAAATTTTGAAATTGAAGTTTTTCAATTCATTCTGACAAGTATTCGGATAAAACCGAATTTTGGATACTTTTTTATTTGTTCCTTTTCATGCATTTTAAACAGATAAAGTTAATATTGTATCAAGAGTGAACGAACATACTTAGACTTTACCTTTGTACAGCATTAATGAATATAATCTATTAATATTTGGGGCTTATAATTGGCATTATCAACCTCAGGAAAACCCCATTTTGAAAGAATTTTTGCACTAAAAGATGTTGAACTTTTCATATAGATAATCTAGTCTAAATCATTAACCAAGGTTATTTGCATACTCTTTGGTGAAAAGAGATGTCGTTTATTATGATAAAAGTGCTTAATTATTGGGTAATTGTTCTATTTCAGGATGAGTAATGAGCGTAAAGTCAAGTTCAATTTTTCAGATCATTTGAATTCCAAGTGGGTTTCTGAAAATTGTGAAAGTATTGCAAATTCAAGTGAGCAGGAATCTCTTTATTCAAAACTTGTAACAACAAAAGAAATATGTGTTCAGATCCCACATACTATACATCTGAAAGGCCCAAACATTCCTGACTTTGAGGCAGATGCGCCAACTGCAGAGGAACAAGAGCATCTTATTGATGCATTGATAGCAAGTCAGTCAGCTCTAGCAGAGATTGTTGTGAAAAGTTCGCCATTTGCTCAAAATCTGCAAAAAAGAATAGCGATTTTGCAAAGGATTTATCATGCAACAGTAAAAACTTGTCATACACAGTCTAATATTACTGGAGATTTGAATTTAGTAGGTGAATCTAAGCCACCAGGTTTAAATCAGAGCGATGAGAAATCACAAAGTGGAAATTCAGCTCTTGTTGAGATTGGTGTTCAGACAGGTCTTGGACTGTTGTTTTCGTTGCTGCGGCAGAATTGGCAGTTGTCATCCATGTATGGTGCATCCAGTCTTTGTAATGATGTCTTGACAACAGCATTAGACATAGTTGTTGCTCTTCCACCACTGTCACTTGCAAATGAATCCAAGTTAACAAGTCTTGGAGTAAAATCTTTAAATCAAACAGCATGTTTCCTGAAAACTGTATTCAATTCGGCGTCTGGTGCAGACAAGCAGGGTCGCCAACTGTCCTCAGAACTTATGTTATCGCTAGCCAGTCAGAGAGGATCTTTGAAATGTCTTCTTGAGTGGGTTGAGCTTGCAATGATGACACTCCCCAGAAGCATGACTCAGAAGGAAGAGGGTGGAGTTGCAGAGAATACAATATCATGGCATTTATTTAAAGATGTTGTCAGTCAGATGATGAAATCTGCTGTAAGTTTATATAACATGCTTCATTGCTAACTAGGAATTTTATTTATTTTTTAACTTTGGGATAGATGCTTGCAATTTTAGTGTTAAGTTACAAATTTAACATAACCAAGATTTCCTCACCATGATAACGCATGGTTAAAAAGAATTCAATAATATTCAAGAATCATATATGAGAAGATCAAGACTTTTAATGAAGATCCTTGTGGCAAATTGATATCAATGTTATGTTTTATCTAGTATATGAGTACTTTGAGATGGAAAACCATATTTAAATTAACAGTTGTTTCATGAGTAATATTATTCAATATACATTTTGTTGCTAGGTGAAACTGTTGTATCAACTGCTTTTGGAATAGGAATTTGAGAGCATTTTGAAATATATTTTGAAGCTTTGATATTTTCTAGGGTTTTCCTGACTTGAAGCTGTCAAGTGATCACTGCCCAAAAACAGATGAAGAAGGGAATGTCCCTTCATATCATGCTGCTGTATGTCTTTTGGAACAGGTTAGAAACATGATAATTTATAATTCTGTTTTGTCAAGAAAAGAGATCTTGAAATTAGAATGTAGGATATATTCTTTTTAAATTCAAAATAGAAATCTGTAAGATTATAATTATTATATAGATATATGTTATTTGCACTTTTTGTAGTATTACAAATATAAGAAGATTTTAGTCATAGTTTTTCAAAAGTCATAGTTTATGAGTTGCTTGTGAAGTTTTAAAAAACTCCATTTGGGAAAACAAGAATTTAATGACGAATTCAGCAGAGATGATAAATTGGGAGGATATAGGATTATGAATTTAAGACGAAGTTTACATTTGTTGTTGATATGAGTATTTTGTTCTCTATATCAGTATTTATGTAGAACAATGTTTGCAGGAAATTATCTTAATTTTGTGCTTTTCTTAGTATTTCTGTGATATATTACATGTCATTTACCTTAATATTTGACCTGTCCACTTCAAGCTGTTGTATACAAGTAATTGTCACATTAAACGAAACTATCTGTTACGTAAAAAGCAATTAGAGTTTTATTGAATTAGACAGATTTGTTATTTTTATTGTCATGCAAAACGTGTTGTACCAAGTGTTAAATACTGAGGAAAATTTAGACTTAACTTAAGTGAATAACTCAACAACAAAAACTAGAAACCATAGCCTGTATTCATCATCTTGAAAATACTCTTAAGAGCTGTTTCTCATTCATCATCAATAATTACTAAATGTTTTTGTTTACTTAATTAAAGCTATACCATTTAGCCGAAGATTTTAGTCTTTCCAACCTACATATACCTTTGACAAAACCCAGTGAACAGAGTGTGCCAACAAGTGGGTCAAGCTACACTTCATTGATCTCAACTAGCTCTACCTCCACATCTAGTTCAGTTCTTGATACCTGTGATGTGTATATCTGGGGAAGTAACAGCACTCATCAGCTGGCTGAGGGTAGCCAAGAGAAAATTCTGACCCCAAAACTCTCTGCATCCTTCAGGGATTGTCCCCAGGTATGTTTTAGTCCCCAGGTATGTTTTAAACTATATCACTGGAGAGGACCTATTACTGTCCGTATGTGTTTATATTTATCATTTAAAGAAAGGAAAATTGCTTGTATTTAGCACTAACCTCTTCAGAATCAGAACAAAGCTTACTGTAACCCAGAAATTTAAAAGAAAAGAAGCTCTTTTTTGTTCCCTGGTGAAGAAACTTTGTTTTGATTTTTAAGTACAGTAGGGCATACATTTCTATTCCTAATGGGTTTGAATTACTTGAGTCTATGCATTCCTTAGCTCCAGTAGCTGCAAGTAAGGTTGTTTTGACCCCTGATGTGGCTTTAAGTTTGTAACACCAGACGTTCGAAATGCCATATTGCCTTAATTGCTTTTGTGCGCTGTAAAACCAACAAATTGAAACAAAGTTTCTTACATAAATTGCTCATTGCTCCAAACCTGCAGAAGGCAGAACCGTACAGTTCAAAGACGTCTGGTCACAAGATACTCTTTCAGGAGGGTTGGATGAGTTGTAAAAGTTTTCAATTGCTTTAAGAGGGAAAACCTTTTCTATTTAATGATTTAGTAATACATGCTTGATATTGATTACCCTATATATTTTGTTATGAATTATTTGGATGTACATGTATATTGTTATAGGTTGAAGCCGGTCAGTTTTGCACTTTCTTAATAACAAAAGATGGTCATGTAAATGCATGTGGAAAAGGCAGTTATGGTAGACTTGGACTAGGAGATTCATCAAACCAATCTGTTCCAAAGAAATTAACATTTCCTAAAGATCGTGGCATGAAGGCTGTGTCCTCCTCAAAAGGCTCTGATGGTCATACTCTAGCTTTATCAAGAAATGGAGAAGTTTTCAGTTGGGGTGATGGTAAATACAGCTTTAAGTTTTGCATTAGGATCTTAATTATTTAGTGAAGTAGGAATGATGATAATTAGAGTAATTGAGGTGTGGCTGTTTCAATACATTATTTCGTCAAATTGTATTACAAATGTATTTATGTATAGATACATATAGAAAATTGAGTGTAACTTTCAGGGAAATGTAGAGTATATAACCATTGGATGTCACTTGCAGGGAATGTAAAATGAATTATCATTGGGTGTAATTTACAGAAAATGTAGAATGAATTACCATTATGTGTACTTACACAAAATTCTGAATGATAACATAAATATATATGTAAATTTGTATGGCTACAAAAGTACATATTTTAGCACACATATACTTCATGTGGATTTTTAACTAGCAAAGATAATTTCTTTTTCACATAGGGGACTATGGCAAGCTTGGTCATGGCAACAACTCTACTCAAAAATTTCCAAAGCAGATAACAGGTCTCTCTGGCATTGTAAGTATTACCCAAACATTTCTTCAAAAAATATGGAAAAATAATTGCATATCTTCAAATCTTGTGATTAAATTTTTTTATTAGCTCGACTATTCGATAAGAATAAGTAGAGCTATTGCAGTCACCCGAGCGTCGGCCTCCGCGTCGGCGTCGGCGTAACTACTTATGTTAAAGTTTTTGTAATAGTTCAAATATTTTCAAAGTCCATAGACATATGGCTTTGAAACTTTGCACACTTGTTCAACATCATGACCCCAACCTGTAGACAGGAGGAGGTAACTCTATCAAGCATTTTGACAGAATTATGCCCCTTTTTCGACTTAGAATTTACGTTAAAGTTTTTGTAATAGTTCAAATATTTTCAAAGTCCATTGACATATGGCTTTGAAACTTTGCACACTTGTTCACCATCATGACCCCAACCTGTAAACAGGAGGAGGTAACTCTATCAAGCATTTTTTTTTACTATCAAGCACTAAGAATAGTCGAGCGTTGCTGTCCTACCGACAGCTCTTGTTGACATCCTTGTTTGTCCTCCAGCTGTGCTGCTGTTTCACTGTTCATCCTTAAACTGACAAAACAATAAAGTATGGTGGTTCACCCATGTTCTATGTCCATGTTAAACTTTTTCTTATTTCAGTCAAGTGACGGTAAATGTCATTTAAAAGGCTGTTAAGTTTTTGTTTGGATAAAGATAAAAATTTGCAGTCCTTCATACAAGGAAATTATTCAGCTTGCTTGCAGAAGATTGATGCTTCTATCTTTTTGGGAAAGGATGCATAGAGGAGCACCTGGTGTCTTTCTGTAGAGAAAGCTAAAATGTTGCCAGTTTACCTGTTTGACTAATTTAAGTTAAAAAATATTTCTCTTTAAAGGTTGTAGTTCAAGTTTCGGCTGGATTCCGGCACAGTGCTGCTGTAACACAAGAAGGAGAACTTTACACCTGGGGAGAAGGGGATTATGGTAGATTAGGTAAGGAAAGTTTTTTAAGTACAGTCAGGACTCATTACAACGACACTGTTGGTTCCCATAGGATATGTCAGTATATTGAATATGTCAGTATAGTCAATTTCATCATTCATCATGTAATGATATGCTTATTCACTGGTATCTGAACATTATGTAATTTAGATCTATAATTAACATCTGTTATGAAATAGATTTTTGTGTTTATGTGTTAACTTTATTATACACATTACATATCATAACATAAAACTACAACTTAATTAAAATAATAACAACTAAAATAGTTAAAGATTGATATGCGATATGAAAATGATAAAAATTTATATCATAAGAAGCACACACAATGATAGGACTTTCTTTATATGAAATGATCTAGTTTTTTTGTTCAAAAGTTAAATAGTCAGTTGACGTACAGCTTGAGATTTTAATAAAAAAAGTCACAAGTTGGCAAGTGTAACAAAATTCAGCTGACAACAACACATTGGTATTGTAATAAGGTGTAACAATCAACTGACCAAGCTTAAATACCTCTTATTACACCTTGCAGCTTTTATTCACGACTCTATGATACGCGCGCTTGACTGACAAAGTGTCAGTTTAACGGGTAATGATTGTATAGAAAAAAACACGTTTGGTTTCCAATTTTATTGTGTCGGAGTCGGAATACGAATTTTCCGTTATAAAGGATTATAATAACGTTAAAAAAAATGGTTCCCACTAATTCACTGTCGTTATTTGAATTTGTCAGTATAATGGATTTCGATGTATTGAGTCCTGACTGTATAGAGCTTTGGTTACCATTTTATATATTAAAAGTTGATGCAAGTACAATGTAGATTGCACAACTATCAACAGATAAAAATTGTAATGACATGATGGTAAGTCATATAAACTAGCATCATTTTAAGCCATTTTTGGTTATGTTTGACTAGTTTTAATTAAAAAACTATGATGTATGATATGTAAAAAAACAACATCAAAAAACAAAACAAAAATTCCAGTAAATATGAAAACAGAATAAAGTCAGAATTTTTTTTTATATTTTCGCTTTGGCATTGCATTGTAGAAATATTTTTTTTAGAATTTCTAAGTGAGATATGATCCATAAACAAACTAATATCCTGTATGTAATGATGCTATGTTACATTGATATAGGACATGGTGACAGTAGCAGCAAGAATCTACCAACTAGAGTGAAGGATCTCCCTCTCATATCCCAGGTCTCTTGTGGAAGTTCACATACCATTGTTGTGGCCAGAGATGGAAAAACTGTCTGGTCTTTTGGCAGTGGGGATAGTGGTATGAAATTTTTCTTTAATTTTTCTCATAAAAAAAAAAGAAAGCTTCCTTATACAGAAAGAAATATTAATTAATGATAACAGAACATAGCGGTGCTATTAATAGAACTAATTAACCCCCAATTATTTGCACACAAAAAACAACTTGATATAAACTTTCTATATAGAAATAATTGATGTTATTTTACTATGGACCATGTTTAACAAAATGATTTTTTCCCAGATGTCTGTAAATCTGTACACATGTTTGTTATTTAGCAATAATTTAGAGTTTCATTTATGTGTATTTGGTTTAATACTTAAGCATACATGCCATAACGTCCCGGATGCCCGGGATTGTCCCGGAAATCGGATGTCTGTCCCGGAGATGTCCCGGGCATCGATTTGATCCCGGAAAAAAAAATCATGATATTTTGCAAAATTTTCATAAATTTTCTTAAATCAAATCTCGCACATTTCACCTCTCGATCGTAAAACATATTCTGACCTGGTACACATAATACACAGGAACGTTGACACTTACAAGTTTACAATATACAGCCCCCCAATTATCGACTGTCGATTCCCCTCGGCAATAGCTTTCTTCATGCATCGGCAATTAACATTCTCTGTTGAATTCGGCAGCGTTTAATGGTCGGGTTAATTAATGGTTTACGGCCCTTAACAATTATCGTTAATCCCCGATAATCATTAATTTTTAGATCAATCGCTAACTTGCCGAAAGTCTAATTATTACAAACAATGTAAATATATCTATCAAATAAAAAATTAAAGGTGTCAAATAAATCACCTTGCTGTGTTTGTTTTTATGACTGGAAGAATTGCATTACGTGACATGTAGTAATTATCACGACTTTAAGATATAACGGGTGAACAACATGGCTGCGCCCATTCACCGGGTTTATAACTTACAACTTACTTGCTTTTAGGGAATAATAAATGAAATAAAGAAATACTATAAAATGATAAATATGTCGACCTAAAAGACTACTTATAAAACTAGTAAGTTAACTGTTTATCATTAAAATTCAGGAGAAAGTCGTCCTAATTTAATAACGTTATACGATTGACAACCACCACCCCCCCCCCCCCCCCCCCCAACCACCCACCCCAACCCCCTTTTCCACCCCTCCTTTTCCACAACTGCCTACACATCCATTATTGCCGCGATGAAAAGTGTCCCGGAAGCTGTCCAAAATTATGGCATGTATGACTTAAGTTAAAAACAATCTGTCCATTGCTTAGTTTAATAGGGACAGTATCAGATTAATAATTGTTGGGTTGCTGGTTTGATTCTGGGGTGTGGCGAAGTTTCTATGACAAGTTATCTTGGACAATGACTCTAATGGTCATTTGTCTCTCACTGCTGATTCAGAAATTATGTGGGATTAAAAGTCACTTATATGGAAATTGGTAGTTACTGGTTCAGTCTGCGAAAAATAGGCAAAGCCCGAGCCCCAGTCTGGCTAGCATTAAATGTAGGGAGTGTAGTCCAACAGTCTAGCAATGTTTTGAGATCCGAAAATTACATACACAATCACTGAGGGAAATGTTGATTTTTTTCAAGGTATTGGTACGAAATTTTCTGAAATAATTTATAAACAAAATCATTTACACCAGTTGTATTTATGGATACACATATTATTTTTTTTCCAAGTAAGCTACAATGCCATAAGCTAAATGAAATCATTTGACCCTTGAGTTTCAGTCTACTGTACACCCTGTCTAAGAATATCAGAAATAAATGTTAATCAAGTGATATCACTTTGCATTATTTTCTCCAGATTTAAGTAAATTTAAAAAACCTGGCCACAACTTTTGTTAGAATTTTCGGGCTAGTTAAAATTGGTTCGGGCTATATGATATTTTGATGGACAAAGCCCGAATGTCTATGACCATAAAAAAGTTTTTTGTGCAGACTGCTGGTTAGTTATCCAGAAAAATCAGTAAGGTGGATTGACTCTTGAATAATGATCAAAAATGTGTTAAAATATGTTAAGAAACCAGAAAAACAAACTGAAAAACAATCTTCCACAAAATTTGAAAAAGTTAAGACATCCCTAATTTTTGTACTTCATTATTAAACAAACTGTTTGCTGTCAACCTGAATACTATATAAGGTAGTTCTGTTAAATATTGCAGGGAAATTGGGCCATGGGGATACATGCAGACAATATAAACCAAAGATCATTGACAGTTTAGCAGGTGTTACTATCAGAAAAATTGTATGTGGCTGTCATTTTTCTCTGGCACTTACAACCACTGGTCAGGTAATATAATAAATACCACATATCATGCAGTTTATTTCGCTGTACAAAATTTTGACTTTGAGATGGCTCTTTGATTCTTTTTATGTGTCTAGCTTGTTCTTGTTAAGCTGATTTTTTGTAAAGTTTTTTTTTGCTTCTTTAAAGAGGCAATTTTGTAAGAGAGTTTAAAGTGATGTCAGCTCTTTTAATTCTATAATCAATTCTTGAACATAAATTTTTGTAACTCTTTGTAAGGGTACAGGCATTAAATATTTGAAATCTACATATAAGTGTTTTCATGTTTTTTCCTATTTGGAAATTCAGTTTTATATTTTCAGCTGTATGCATGGGGATGTGGTTCTGTGATTGGGTGTGGCTCTCCTGATGCCACAGCCCTCAAACCCCGCCTACTGGAAGACTTTAACTCAATACGATTGGTGGATGTTGTGTGTGGAGACAATCATTGCCTTGCTCTCACTCATGGTGGGTATTTTAATGTTAACATTTTTAGCATAGCATTTTCAAGTATATTTGGGCTGTCCTACTCACCCAGCATCATATTGTCTATTAATTCTGTGAACAGTTTTGGTAGAAGCATTTCACACTAGATTTAAATTGTTTAAATATAATTCAGTTTATTATTGAGTTTTTAGTTATAGATACTTTTAAGACAAAGTTTAAATCTTCTCATTATCATTGCATTCTGACAGATAATGTAGTTTATGCATGGGGTAACAATGCCATGGGTCAGTGCGGTCAGGGTCACTCACAGAGTCCTATAACACGGCCTAAGAAAGTGACTGGTAACATCGGTAAAGCACCAATACATCAGATCTCAGCTGGAACTTCACATAGTATAGCATGGACAGCAATACCATCCGACAGGTATTTGTGTGTGTGTGTGTGTGCGAGTGTGTGTGATACACAAATCTGGATAAAGCGTGATCCTCGGAAACATTAATCGCAACAAAATTACATGAAAATTGCAGGCTGGGTTTTATTGAGTCTGTGCATGGGTGAAAAATTGCAACATCTTTCAAAGTCTAGGGTTATTTCTTCAGATGGCTTATCATAGTAATGGTATTTGTTAGTGGAGTAGAGTGCATGGATATAAATAAATGAGTATTATTAAGGTTTGATTGAAGGTTAAGTAAAACTACTTTAAATGTGATATCTTTGAAAATAGGTACTCATGTCATTTGCTCACATAAGAAATCTGTGAAGGCTGACCCTCTTAACAAAGAATCAGAGTGTTAGGCCAGTAGGTCTCAGATATGCATTTCAGTTCTTGATGATAGGTTTTGCTGATGAGTATATTTTGAACAATTTCAATACTTATCTAATTAATTCTTGCTTTGAAGTTGGCACTAATATAATTATGGGAAAACATAAAAAGGTATTGGTACCAATTTCAAGACACCAGTCTATGATAGAAATACTAATAAAAACTGATACTGAATGCTATGAATTAAACAACCTTCTATGTACAATGTAATAAGTTGTAACAATTTTCTTAAATACTTAAATACAGTAGAACTTCGGTAAGTCGAAGTTGAAGGGACTTGCGTAAAAACTTTGACACATCGGGACTTCGACTCATGAATTTCTCTCAATTCCATGATAAAATTTCGACCCGTGACTACTTCTAATTATAATATCTATAACGAAACCTATTTCATGTTTTTCCATCATTAATCTGATATTTTACATTGTACAATGATAAATATAGAATGTTAAATAACTTTTTTTACGGCTAATTATTTGGACTACCCGTTAACGTATACAATAGAGTTACAAAAGGCGTAACAATACGAAAGGGCGATAACTAAATCAGCTTATAATAAATATTTCGCGTGTAATTCTCACGCGACACCGGGTCACCGATGTTTTGACCGTTTTCAAATGAAAGTAGTTCTTACTGTTTACTGTCAATTACCACTACGGCAATTAAAATAGAAACGATTAAAGCATTTTATCACACATTTTATCGCAAACAAGGCTGTTTGAACACACGGCTGTGTAATTAACACCTGTCACACAAGTTGATTGGAAATCGTCTTCGCAGCCAGCTAAGGTGCGAAAAATATCTCGAGATCGAAGGTGTCAAAATTATCGAACGACTTCGACTTATTTGTGGTAAATTGCACTAGATTTACTTTATATGGACAACGAAAAAACTTCGACACATCGAAAAATTCGACACATAAAATCTCGACTCATAAATAGGTTTCTATAAGGTATATATAGGGGAAAAAATCGGGACTTTCATTTTTCTTCGACACATCGAGAAAATCGACTAATCGAAGTTCGACTCATAGAAGTTCTACTGTATATCTTTTTATGTATAATATCACTTAATACATATATCACAGACCACTTGGTATCTGTGTAACTATGTTGATATGTTTAGTTTGTATATACATATATTTATATTTCAGACCTCTGATGTCCTTACATAGACCATTCTGTGTGGACATACAGGAGGAGACATTCTACATTCTACGTCAGTTTCTAGAGAGATATTGTCATAGCTTTGATATTGAACTGGCCCCCATGCCTTTCCAAACTCCAAGGTAACTTAAGTAATATTTTACACCATATGAAGACATTCATTATTAAGCGTCTTCTTTGGCGAATTGTGGTTTATTGTTTTTACATAATATAATTTGCTCTATCTGTTGGTTGATCTCAATTATCTTCATCAGAGTATCAGAGGCACTTCAAACAGAAATATATATAAAAGATAAGGAATATCCTCGGAAATACATTGAAAATCATATGTTTGTGCTATTTTCAGTCCCTTTTGGGTCATTTTTCACAATAAGAGTAATTATTCTGCAAAAACATAGCTAGTGATGATTATGAAATTTTATTTTGCACAGACTTACATAAACGGAGTAACAATCTCGGAGTCTCTTTTTTTTTCTATGACTGATCTGTTCTGCTATGAGTATGGGAATTGCACTTTAGTAATTTCAGGAAGAAGGTTACAAATGTTAGGTTATTCTCTGTAAAGTATCCATGGATGGTCTTATTCAAATATATGTTTTATATTGTCACCACTTATACAGAAATTGTTACTGAACTCGTATTTCGTTTTTATTTTAGTGAACACCAGTATTTTGTACTGCTTTGTCTGAAGGTGCTGTGTATACATTTGTCTCTGGCACAGAATGCAGGCTGCTCTAGAAACTTGCTCGGTGACCAGGCCAAACCTCTGAGGAATCTCTTATTTAAACTGATTGACATGAAGGCACCAGATTCAATTCAGCAGGTGATCATGTTATCTTATTTGTAACTTTTTGTGGATCAGAAAAAGATGTCACCATAATTTCATAACTTCAAAATTGATCTTTTCAAACCAAGATTTAGTGAATTTCTGTCTAAAATTTCAGAACTTTGCAACAAAGTATGTGTCTGTAAATCTATTAATCTGTTAATAGCTTTTTTATGAAAAATAGCATTATCTTTTTTATAGTACTAGATAGGTTTACAATTTCATTCAGGACAATAGAATGATGTTATCTTAAGCATGCAAATAGTTCATTAATATGATTGACTGATGTCATTTAGTGCATATGGCTCAACTTAAACCTAAAGGATGCATGATTACATCTTCTGGCAGCAGTGCAAACACTAGAATTTCAAGTCTGTAGTTAGCTGCAATCTAAAGAAAGTTTGATATAATTTATATTTTTACAGCTGGTATGTGAGTGTCTGTCAGTTGGAGCACAGATGTTGTTACCAAGTCTTGGGGATAGGATGGAATTATTACATTCCTTGTTACCGCAGTCCCCTCAGTGCTGGAATGTATTGTCCAGAGGACAGGTTAGTACAGGTTTTAATTGAAGGACTCAATTGTGTACACGGTCTTAGGTTTTTGTTTAACATGGATAAAACATTTTGTGTAACAAATATGTAACATGTTACAAATATATAACAAGTCTGCACGCTAAAATTAATAGGGAGAGCATCAGATTTTGTAAATCAGGGACCTCGGGTTCAAACCTCAGTCAAGGCAAAAATCTCTGTGACAAATGATCTGGGACATTAAGTTAGTCATTTGGTTCTCACGGCTGATTCAGAAATGTGAAATTAGTAGTCAGCCATATAAATTTGTAATGAATTTTGAGCAAAAAATAAAGCTTGATGTTATAATTTCCTAGGTTTTTTAATCACTTAATCTTTTTTTGTTCGGAATGGCATATGTTTAAGATCACAGAAGAAACTGCTAATTAATTGTTTATTATGTTTAATCTACTTGATGGGACATTAATATAAAGAAAACAGTTGTGGCACATTCAAGATAAATCATTGTGGGGAGACAAATGCCTGTCCTTTAAAAACAAGAAGGGGCTAATGGTTGCAATAGCAAAATAAGGGGGGAAATATCATAGAGTCATATATTTACAGTATATATTGTATCTTGTGTTTTGCAGAGAATGCAGTTAAACATGATTCTGTCTAGTCTACAGAATAACAGCCATATATCTGTGTTACTGGGCCTAAGTCAGTGTAATTTACCCTCGGTCAAGTTTATTCCAGATCTACACACAGCGGAAATACTTATGAAAAATATTCTTAGAAATCTAGCCTTTGAAACTGTAAGTATCATTGTCATAATGTTTTTGTTTTACAGTTTAATTGGTTATAAAGTCTTGTTGAAATATATATTTACTATCACATCAGAATGTTTCAGATTTTTGATTTGTGTATGTTATTTATAAAACATGAACATGATAAATTGTTAGTTTTCTCTAGTCACCTTTCTTTACTATTAAAATTGAAATGAATTATACTGAGGGTTCTTAAGACTTATTACAAACAATTTGTCTAGAATGGTACAAAGAATGACATTATGAGCAATCAAATTTATCTTGTTAACTTTTTTATTTGTCATTTTATTATATAATACTGCAGGTATGTAACACCACTTTTCATTGGATGATCTTAACGTTTATATAGTTTGATATACATGGCTGCTGTCAATTTTTTAAGAAATCTCTTACTTTTTTTCTCTCTGAAAAAGGAAGTTTGCTGTATTATAAATACGTTGTAGATATTCCTGACCAGTTATATGGCCATACATAAAAGGTTGTTTGCAATATAACCCTTGTCTAGCATTTTAGGTCACATATACAACCATTTATATCAGGCCATATAACCTGTCAAAAAATCTTTATAACTAATAAAATACAGTAGTTTCTTCTGTGACAAGATTTAAGAAATCATTTTACTTTTTTTTTTCTTACAGGAATCTGCTTTGAATGAGCTTGAGAAGAACAATGATAAGGAGATTGTATGGGAATCTAAGGAGACATGTTGCCCCCAGCTACATGAGTTACTCTCCTCTATACACAAACATCTGTTTGCTTTTTGTACGCAGTCTGACAATGTTACTACATCTGTAAGTTGAATATACTGTTCTGAATTTTCATAGATTGATAGATTTGTTTCACATTACTGTGTACATGGATGACAAACATAGCAATATCTTAAAATATACAGAACAACAAAATAAAGTATACAATACTAAGACCATGTTGTCAATATAGTAAGGATAACACAAAAAAAGGATGAAAGATAAATCCTGATTTCCATTGCAGTCATTACATGTAGTTACCATGAAGATTACCTTGAAGACTTGAATACTTTTTCAACATCTTTGTTTTACGAATATATGCAATCCATGTAAATGCTTCATTTATTATATACAGGTTATAATAAATGACTGAATTCATTATATTTATCAATATACATGTATTTGTATCTGATTTCTAATGTTTACACATTTTGATACAGTTGTGCATGTGGGGCCAAGTGGAGTTTTTGACTTAAAACCATGATCCCCTCTAATCTTACTGGAAATTTTGATAACTATCATGCTATCAAGCTATTTTACGAAATGTCTGTGGTTCTACCCAGGTTCCTGTTAGTGCCTTAAAACAATGAACAGAAGGGTATTTGAGGTCTTCCTTCACCAGTAAAGCTACAAAGTGGCTATATTACATTTACAGTATTTATGGCGTGACTCAACAATGACTTTATTTGGTCACTTGACAATGTTTTCAACGTTTAAAATTGAAACTCTTTCTTAATTTTCATAAAGTTATGAATGAAACTGGAGGCTAGCCACTGTTAGAATGTTTCTCATATTTGTTCTAGTATGTAGATGTGATGGAGTTGGTACAGAATCACCTGAGTCTAATGATTCCGTTATGTTCAGAGCTTATTTCCCAGGCGGCCAAACTGCTGAGTGAGCAGAGGAAAGTTAATTTACAGGAGCATGTGATAGGTGAGATATTGTAGTGACATGTGAAATGTCTGAACAAATTGCCTAATCAAAAACTTGTGGTGGTGTTTATAGATTTAAAGCAATAGGCATTTATGATGTATATTTTTAGCTAAATTGAGCATGCTTACGCTCAAGTGAGTTAATGTGGTAGGTATTTGTCTGGTATTTGGTTAAGTAGTCAGTTGAGATGAAACACAAAACGTAGGAATGATCACTTGACAGTCCCCTACAGAAATAGCTAAAAAAGCCTTTTTCTGCTGAATAAGATAACTAATAGAGTTAGAGAAAGAAGTTGTTAACCTTAGCTGATGTCTCCTACACTGATGGGTAGATTTTGATAAAACTCATTACATGATTTGAAATTAACCTTGGGTGGTACAAAAATATTGTCAATGGCCTCAAAAAGTACTTGAATTTGGTTTCCATATAGAAAAATGTTTGAATTACATGTTGTTTTTTTCTCCTCATTTTTTTCTCTGGAATAAAATGGACTTCACTAATTTTCTAGCATTGAAAATGTTTCTATTTTTCAATTCTGTATGATCTGATTACTGGACACAAGAAACCTTTTTGATCACTCCCCAAATTATCTTTACTATTCATTTCGCAATTTGTGGCGCAAGATGATGGTGATATGCTGCAAAATTTGATTGAGATCTAATTGATATATCTACCTTGAAAATACATATTTAAACTATATTTGTGGGGGAAAAAAAAGAAAAAATAAAGCACTAGCTCCTAATAGTGAAAAAAAAATATATTAAAACATAACAAATAAAATAATCTCTGACACTTTGGAAAGAAACCCAATGCAGGAAAAGTTGTATAAATGTATTTCAGATGCTTTTTAAGGTCATCTTTTTTGTTATTTTTCACAGCTTAACCCTTTACCTCATATATACGCAAAACAACGCACTTTCCACCCCCTCCCTCTTTAAGGCCTCAAATAGTGAAAAAATGTCCTATTTGGGCCCCAAACACATGTTTTCATTTGAGAAATGTTGCTAAAAAAATGAGCACTTTTTCGCGTTAAAAATGACCCCAGGTCAATCATAAGGTAACATTTAACCAACGTTGAAAAGCCTTTGACTCTATCTCAATCCATTGAGAAGTTGCAGCACTTTGAAATCAATTTCGATTGAAAAAGTCAATGCAAAATAGTGATTTTTGGCAATTTTGAGACATACCCTCGTTGCCATGGTAACAGGAAATTAAAGACTGAGCATGTTGTTACAAAGGCAATGGTCCAGTCAATTTTTGTGCCAAGTTTGATTAGTATTGAAGCATTTTTCATAGTTTCATAGCAGTTTGAACTTGTAACAGGAGGCTTTTCAATGAAAACGGCCATTTTTCACAATATGCTCATAAGGGAAAGGGTTAACTAAAAAAAATAAATATGTTACAAAACAACAAATTTTCACCAAAATTAGGGGAAAGGCCACATGTTAACATGGAAAACTAGATTTTGGGTAATTCCAAGGTTCTTCATCATTTTTTGTTAACCCTTTACTTCATATATACGTGACACAACACACATTCCACCCCCCTCCCTCTTTTAGGCCTCAAATAGTGAAAAAATGTCCTATTTGCCAAGAAAATTTTGAACTTGTGAGAGGCTAAAAATGACCCCAGGTTGATCATAAGGTAACGTGTAACCAATGCTGAAAAGCCTTTGACTCTATCTCAATCCATTGAGAAGTTGCAGCACTTTGAAATAAATTTGATTGAAAAAGTCAAAATAGTGATTTTTGGCAATTTTGAGACGTCCCCTCTTTGCCTTGGTAACAGGAAATTTAAGACTGAGCATGTCATTACAAAGGCAATGGTCCAGTCAACATCTGTGCCAAGTTTGATTAGTATTGAAGCATTTTTCATAGTTTCATAGCAGTTTGAACTTGTAACAGGAGGCTTTTCAATGAAAACAGCCATTTTTCACAATATGCTCATGAGGGAAAGGGTTAAGGTAGAATTCCCCTAATGGGCACTATAAGTAACTGTAAAATTGACAACTTAGGACAGTTATATGCCTTAAATGTCACCTGTATGCAAAATTTAAACACAATTTACCGTGTGGTTAATGAGTTATGGACATTTTTCTGAAATAAAACTTTGCCATTAGAAGAGCTTTTTAGCTCACCTGAGCATGCTCAGGGTGAGCTTTTAGGATCGATGATTGTCCGTCGTCCGTCCGTCGTCCGTCCGTCGTCCGTTCACATTTAGTTGTTAACACTCTAGCGGTCACATTTTTGCCTCAATCATCATCAAACTTGGTCAGGATGCTTATCTAGTTGATAGCTCGGATGAGTTCGAACATGGGTCATCTCGGATGAGAAACTAGGTCACAAGAGCTAAAAATAGAAAAACCTTGTTAACACTCTAGAGGTCACATTTTTGCCTCAATCATCATCAAACTTGGTCAGGATGTTTGTCTAGGTGATAGCTCGGATGAGTTCGAACATGGGTCATCTCGGATGAAAAAGTAGGTCACCGGAGCTAAAAATAGAAAAACCTTGTTAACACTCTAGCGGTCACATTTTTGCATCAATCATCATCAAACTTGGTCAGGATGTTTGTCTAGGTGATAGCTCGGATGAGTTCAAACATGGGTCATCTCGGATGAAAAAGTAGGTCACCGGAGCTAAAAATAGAAAAACCTTGTTAACACTCTAGCGGTCACATTTTTGCATCAATCATCATCAAACTTGGTCAGGATGCTTATCTAGTTGATAGCTCGGATGAGTTCGAACATGGGTCATCTCGGATGAAAAAGTAGGTCACCGGAGCTAAAAATAGAAAAACCTTGTTAACACTCTAGCAGTCACATTTTTGCATCAGTCATCATCAAACTTGGTCAAGATGCTTGTCTAAGTGAAAGCTCGGATGAGTTCGAACATGGGTCATCTCGGATGAAAAACTAGGTCACCAGAGCTAAAAATAGAAAAACCATGTTAACACTCTAGAGGTCACAATTTTGCCTCAATCATCATCAAACTTGGTCAGGATGCTTATCTAGTTGATAGCTCGGATGAGTTCGAACATGGGTCATCTCGGATGAGAAACTAGGTCACAAGAGCTAAAAATAGAAAAACCTTGTTAACACTCTAGAGGTCACATTTTTGCCTCAATCATCATCAAACTTGGTCAGGATGTTTGTCTAGGTGATAGCTCGGATGAGTTCTAACATGGGTCATCTCGGATGAAAAAGTAGGTCACCGGAGCTAAAAATAGAAAAACCTTGTTAACACTCTAGCGGTCACATTTTTGCATCAATCATCATCAAACTTGGTCAGGATGTTTGTCTAGGTGATAGCTCGGATGAGTTCGAACATGGGTCATCTCGGATGAAAAAGTAGGTCACAGGAGCTAAAAATAGAAAAACCTTGTTAACACTCTAGCGGTCACATTTTTGCATCAATCATCATCAAACTTGGTCAGGATGCTTATCTAGTTGATAGCTCGGATGAGTTCGAACATGGGTCATCTCGGATGAAAAAGTAGGTCACCGGAGCTAAAAATAGAAAAACCTTGTTAACACTCTAGCAGTCACATTTTTGCATCAGTCATCATCAAACTTGGTCAAGATGCTTGTCTAAGTGAAAGCTCGGATGAGTTCGAACATGGGTCATCTCGGATGAAAAACTAGGTCACCGGAGCTAAAAATAGAAAAACCATGTTAACACTCTAGAGGTCACATTTTTGCCTCAATCATCATCAAACTTGGTCAGGATGCTTATCTAGTTGATAGCTCGGATGAGTTCGAACATGGGTCATCTCGGATGAAAAAGTAGGTCACCGGAGCTAAAAATAGAAAAACCTTGTTAACACTCTAGCGGTCACATTTTTGCATCAATCATCATCAAACTTGGTCAAGATGCTTGTCTAGGTGATAGCTCGGATGAGTTCGAACATGGGTCATCTCGGATGAAAAACTAGGTCACAGGAGCTAAAAATAGAAAAATCTTGTTAACCCTCTTAACTGTTGTGATCCAAATATTCTGTTCATTCTAACATTCTAGTGGTCACATTTTCAACTCAATTATCATCAAACTTGGTCAGGATGCTTGTCTAGGTAATTGCTTGGAGGAGTTCGAAATCACATGTGAAACTAGGTCATCGGAGCTAAAAAAAGAAAAATCTTGTTAACACTGTAGTTGCTACTGTTTTGATCCAAGTATCCTGGAAATTGGTTTGAAAGTTTGTTTTGATGATTTCTAGGTCAAGTTTGAATATGTGTCACCTGGGTAAAAAACTAGGTCGCACTGCTCAAATATGGATAATCCTTGTTAACACTGTAGTGGTCACATTTTTGACTCACCTGTCATGAGACTTGGTCAGAATGCTTGTCTAGGTAATTGTTTGGATGAGTTTGATAAGTCAGGTGAGCGATCTAGGGCCATCATGGCCCTCTTGTTTTTCAGAAATGAGGGAACTCATGAGGGAAAATGTTTTCCTATTGCTCATTGTTAAGAAACAAATAATGACATTCAGGTAATAAATTATATGAGCAAAATGATTGTTTTTAAACGAAATGTTTTTAATATGTATAAAAACGTAGCCCTACCCCACCCACTCTAAACACTTAATTGACCATTTCCCTATGTAAAAAGCCTCATTCAAAATATCCCTAAAAATAACCATAATCAGGGGCTGTTTTCAAAGTTTGCCTAAATTTTCTTAAAGGTATATTGGTTGGTCTTGCAAAATATAAAATACTTTTACCGTGTAGTTTTTATTTTATTAAACTTTGAAAATATCTGGTATCATATTTGCTATTAAAATAGGCATTATGTAGCAAATAAATACCTACAATAATTATATAATTAAAATGAAACTTTTTTTTCTTCTATTAGGGATCTGAGAGATTCATAAAAAAATGTTAAAAACAGGGCTGCCGATTTTCTGCGGATCCGCGGAAATCCGCGGATTTCGTGAGCTCCTGGGTCATTTTTGAGATCGATGTAAATTCGACAAAGACAATAAATTCATTCGTCATATTTTATACAGTACCCAAAAACCGGCACACTTCGGCTTTTATCGTTACGCTAGCCGCCTATGGTACGTCTGTAAGCGCTTTTCTCATTGGTCATATCGAGTCTTTTCCGGTATTCTATTTAAGAATAACCAATCAAATTACAGTTTACATTGTCACTCTTGTCTGTTGTCAAAATGCGTCAAAATGTCGGATATTTGTCAAATTTAGAGTCCAGGAAATTGATTTTAGGGCATACCAAATCATCAGAATGCAGGAGCTTCCAGGGGGCTTTGCCCCCTGGTCCCCCACCAGGGCTCTGCCCTGGACCTGCAAAGGGGGCTTGCGCAGCCCCCTTGACCCCCGGCGTATTTTCCGCTGATTTTGCAATTTGCTGTTGGCAGCCCTGTAAAAAGAAAAAAAAAAAGAAAGAAAAAAAGTTGCCCCTTCTGGGGTTTGAATCCACCCTCCTCAGTTTCAATACACTTGACAGTGATTCTAGCCTATTTGAATATTCTTCAAAGTGGAGATAGTGTATTAGGGGTGTACTACCTTAAAGGAGACTTTTGCCTGGGCACCTCACCAGAACTTTGCCCTTGACTCGCTTGGAACCCATGCCACTCGGCTGCAATTTTTCAGGAGTTTAAATTTTTTAGCTCGACTATTCAAAGAACAGTAGGGCTACACCACTCACCCCTTGGTAACACTTCAGTTAAAGTTTGCATGCAACTTCGTATCTCATCAACCATTAAAGAAATTTGCTTGAAACATCATACACTTTTTATAAATCATAATAGGAGGTCACTTTCCAAGACTCATAACTAAGTCATGTAAATTATTTGTAATTTTTTTAATGAAATCTTCCTCTTTGTTAATTTTTACATATTCAGGCTCTTGTTTTACTATCAAGCACTGAGCTGTCCTATCGACAGCTCTTGTTAACATTCACTCATGGTTACATATAATTTTGTCGTTTTGGGGCGTTCTTTAGGGATTCCGTTTTGCTCTATTTTCATACCTTTTTTGTACAAATTGTTTATATGTCTTTGCAGATATGTTCTTAAGGGTATGTTCTTGTCATCTTCTGTGTTTATAGTTAACAAATATATATATACACATAGTTACAATCAGTGCATATTGAGTATGTTTATTCTATGATTTTCACCTACTGTTTCCTATGTTTATGAGTATTTATAGATGTGAATGTAGTTGTCATAGCATTCATCATGACAATAACAGCTGTAATACAGCATCCTGGTTTCACTATGCCAACACACAGCCTGGGGACTCTTCAGATCCTCATGTAAAACCTCCCCCTTAGAACAATCTCCTGATATCTCTTCTATAACATTCCTTTTATCATCACACACAAAGACAGTTCCATCATCTGACAGTGCTATTCCACATGGGTTTCCCTGAACTCCGTAGCTGCCGTTCATCTTACCTTGCCAGCTTAATTGTACTACCCTTCTCAATTCCAAATCAGACACATAGATAGAATGACTGTTTGTCAGGATGTGCTGTGGATTTTTGAATTTTGTTTCTCCATCAATTGTTGAAAGAACAGTGTCATTCATATCAATAATCTGGACTTTTGCTGGGTCACAGAATGACACAACAAGTTTACCTAGGTAACAGCCTACTCCATGACATACTCCGTCAACCTTTAAAGTGCGGTTCTTTCTGAGTTTGTTATTAGAGATTGATATAAATTGAATGGTTTGTTTTAAAGAAAATGTGACAGCAAGTTCTGTATTGGTTATTTTGGTGATATCCCAAGGTTTACCATCTAGCTGTAATTGATCAGTGACTGACTTAGTACTGGTATCCACCACCTTTAATGCCTTGTTTAGGTAGTCAGAAATGATAAGGCAATCAGGAGTGAAGAAAATCATCGCACTTACCAAGCATTCATATTTATCTTTTGGTGTTTTTACACAAAGTGTGCTCTGATGTGATGCCTGCCTTGATTTTTTCAGCACCGATTTAGAAAGAGATTTTTTATATCTTTGTGTCAGTGAACCCAAAGACTTCTCTTTTTTAAGAAGGGTAAGTATTGCCTTGTTTGGGTTAAAAATGTATTTGACATCATGTGATGTAAGCTTCAACATATTTTCTTCAACATCTTTCTTTGTTTTCTCTGCAAGTTTTAGTTCCAGAAACAGTTTATCAGCCTGTTTTGATGTGTTGAGTTGTTTAAGAGTGTCTGATGATGTCTCCAGAGTTTTGGTTAAATCATCCAGTGATGTTACCACTGCCTTCAATGATTTTTCGTCATCTTGTTCTGCTAATTTTGCTATATCTTCAGCTTGTTTTTCCAGTTCATCTAGAATTTGGTTGATTTCTTGTCGATACTTTTTGATATCTGCCAATACATCTTTCAAAGAGTTGTTGGATTTGCCTGTCATGCCCCTGATATCTTTCACTTTATTTCTACATTCGTCAGCAGTGGTTTTTATAGCTTTTAACATATCTTGATATTCTTTGCTGTCAATAATATTACTTGAAATATCTGGTATATAGTTGACTTCGCAGACAGTATTTGGATGTTTAAGGGTAACACAAACACTGCAGAGTAACTCCTTATGGTCATGACAGTAGTACTTGATCTTCTCTTTTGAATGCATAGTGCAGGGTTGGGTCAGGTCATAATGCTGGCTTATATTTATGGATGCTGAAAATTGATTTAAGGATATAGGCATCCTTTTTGCATCCAAAAGAGTGTGGTGTCTCGACAGTTTATGCTTTTTGTGAACATTAAAACATGTCTTGCAAAGATGCTCCTTACAAACTGTGCAGTAACCATGGGCAGGAAGTTTAGCTCCTTCCCTAACACAAGACTGGCAATAAACTTTAAGATCTTCATCTGATGCTGTGGAAAATGTTGAAGATGTTGATGATGATAATGATTTCGATGCTGTTAATTTTTTTGATAGTGATTTCTTTTTTTCAGCCATGTTTAACCTGAAATGTATTATAGACAGTCATTAATTTTTAAACAGAAACATTTTAAGGGAAAAAAATAGTAGAGTTGGTAGGGTTTTTGTGTCGCCTTCAAAAGGCGACATATAGGGATTACTTTTGTCGGCGTCTGTGTCGGCGTCGTTGTCGGCGTCCCCTAAAGCTTGTCCAGAGCATAACTCAGTCACTTTAAGTCGGATCGACTTCAAACTTGGTATGCAAGCTTCTTTCAATAACACGAAGTGCAGTGCACAACTCTGCACTTCTTAATTTTTGAGTTATTGCCCTTTGTAAATTTTCATACTTTAATTTTGTCCGGGCCATTTCTCCTAATGTATAACAGCTATGGACTTGAAACTTCATACGATGATAGATCTCATTAAAAAGAAGTGCAGTGCACAAGAATCAGTACTCTGCACTTCCTGATTTTTGAGTTATTTCCCTTTGTTAATTTTCATACTTTATTTTTGTCCGGGCCATTTCTCCTAATGTATAACAGCTATGTACTTGAAACTTCATAGGATGATAGATCTCATTAAGAAGAAGTGCAGTGCACAAGAACCGGTACTCTGCATTTCTTATTTTTTGAGTTATTGCCCTTTGTTAATTTTCATACCTTATTTTTGTCCAGGTCATTTCTCCTCAAGTATGAAAGCTATGGACATGAAACTTCATAGGATGATAGATCTCATTAAGAAAAAGTGCAGTGTACAAGAACCGGTACTCTGCATTTCTTATTTTTTGAGTTATTGCCCTTTGTTTATTTTCTTACTTTATTTTTGTCCAGGTCATTTCTCCTCAAGTATGAAAGCTATAGACATGAAACTTCATAGGATGATAGATCTCATTAAGAAAAAGTGCAGTGTACAAGAACCGGTACTCTGCATTTCTTATTTTTGAGTTATTACCCTTTATATATTTTCATATTTTACTTTTGTTCAGGCCATTTCTCATAAATTATAAAAGTTATGGACTTGAAACTTCATAGAATGATAGATCCTATTGATAAGAAGTGCAGTGCATAGAAACTGCTGCTCTGTACTTATTATTTTTTAAGCTATTGCCCTTTGTTAGTTTTCTTATTTCATTTTTGTCCTGGCCATTTCTCCTAAACTATATTGTTCACAAGGCGACACATCCGACTCGCGGAGTTCTAGTTTTTTGTACATATATAGCCAAAATATTAAATGTAGTTTACTATACACAAAAGAGAATGCTCTATAATATTTATTTGAAAATAAGTCTTCTTGTGTTAGATTTTAATAAATTTTGGCTTGTATGTATATATTGACGAGGATGATTTGTATAAGTTGCATACAAGCATCAGTCAAATATAATTAAACCAAGGAACAAAACAGAATTCAGATCAATTATGATCACCTCAACTACATCACTTCAACAAAGTCACAAAACTTCCTTCAATACAACAAAATATAAACCATGAAGATACACCAAGGCTATCCCATAGTTAACTTCCTTGATCATAAAAAATCTATAATCATAAAAATTTTACATTCTTAACCTTTTCCCTCATATAGACTTGTTTTGAAGACTTTTTGCCCCCCTCTTTTTGAAGCCTCAAACAGTGAAAAAATGCCCTATTTAGGCCCCAAACACTGTTTTTTATTTGAGAAATGTTGTTAAAAAAGTGATGTGGCCCCTTCTGTTTGCGGGGTTTGAAGGGGGGTGGTAGTCCCCCTCATCACCAAGAAAATTTTGGACATGCGACAGGCTAAAAATAGCCTCAGGTTGATCTTAAGGTGATGTGTAACCAACGCTGAAAAGCCTTTTACTCTATCTCATTGCATTGAGAAGTTGCAGCACTTTAAAATTAGTTTTGATAGAAAAAAACAATGCAAAATAGTTATTTTCCGCAATTTTGAGATGTCCCCCCATTGCCATGGTAACAGGAAATTTAAGATTGAGCCTGTTGTTACAGAGGTTATGGTTCAGTCGACATATGTGCCAAGTTTCATCACTATTGAAGCATTTTTCATAGTTTTATAGCAGTTTGAACCTGTAACAGGAGGCTTTTCAATGAAAACGGCCATTTTTCACAATATGCTCATGGGGTATTAAAGGTTAAAGTATAATAAGTATAGACTAAGCGAGTAGCTACAGGTAAAAGTAAATGTGCATTGTAACATGACATATACTTTAAATCTCTAACAAGGTATGGCTTTAGAAATATATAGAAGCATATACTACTTTTGACAAGATTACCTATTGATAAAAAAGCACCTTATTACATTGTATATAAATTATATTCTACAGTCACCACAGCAAATAAAGTTGGGGCATAAGTGTCCTATGGACTCATTTCTAGTCAAATGTAAAACCAAGATTTGCTAACAGTATTCTACTTACTTTAAATACATTTATGGAGTAATTCATGCATTATTATCATATGTATATGTATCTAAATATTGTACCTTTAGTAATCCTCAAAATTTTTTCACAGTTTTTAACCTGTTATAAACCTGTCCGTTAATATTTTACTGTCATTTAATTCTACTTTTACCACCCTGTTTTATATAGATAAAAAGGAATGGCAATCCTCCAGATTTAATTTTATCAAATATTTAATCAATAATGACATGGTATGATTTATATTGTGTCAGATAATCAAATGATTCATACAGTACAACCTGCTCGAAGCGACATTTGTTATAATTTCATTTGCAGAATACCAACATATTGGCCTTGTCCTGATTTTTAGTTGATGGATATAGATTTGCTCTAGTTGGTCAGTCACTCTGTCCGTCTGTAGACGCACAAAACAATGAAATGTTTGGTCATCCATGCTCAATGGACCCTTTCTAGCTTTTTATAAACTTTATAATTTGATCCCAGTTGTAATGACACCTGTAATTTCCAACCACATTTCTTGGTAGAGCTGTCATGCTTTCCCCTTAAACCTCTCTTTATCAAGGAGTTTGCTCTTTATTTTTAAAATTAATAGCAATTAATAGCAATTTCCTTTATAAAGAAAGGTTTAACTCCTTGAAACCTTGGAGGTTAAGATAGATAGTAATTTATTCATTGTTTCCGGAGTGAATTTATATTGAACCGAAAGAAATTTAAACTTTTTGGCTGAAACATTACTTGTAACAAGATGATGTACAGAAAAGAGGTTTGAGCTTCCTGAGATCAAAATTGGCCCAGCTGTGGGGATTAAAGACTTATATCCTGAAAGTAACTTATGATAACACATAACTAGCTAGACACCTCACAACAATTGGTAATATGTCAGTATTGAAATCATTAATGAGTCCGAAAATTAACCTTTTTGTTTTCTGTTTTACTCCATCTTCAGGATAAAATTGTAAATACAATTTTAACAATAATGTTATGAATTTATATGAAGGTCAATGGGGATAGTCAGAAGGGATGTAATAATACAAGAGTACAAAAATGGGGGTCTAAATATGATTGACATTCCTATACTGAAAAGAATATTAAATCATTCAAATAATAGGTTTTGGAAAGAAAGAAAAAAAAATATATAAAACATTTAGGTTGAATATCTATATTTAAATGCAATACAAACACAAAAGATATATTGATATTTAAACTTAAAAACCAATTTATACCTGCAAGGTTAGTAGCTTGGAGTGAGATCTGAGCTTTAACCTGCAAAATACCTATAGTTATTTTTCGCGGAAGGCAAATTTCTAGATTTTAAACTGTAATCTAAATTTAGGGAATGTAAATTTAGCGTTTTGTTGTACATGTTTCTTTTTTTTTGCGTTTTTCTGCTGAAATTTTTTTTTATAATAATGAACAATTAGAGATAGTTAATGATTTCAACTATTTAGGAGTAGTTTTAAATTATACGGGTTCATTTGTTTTGCATTGGAAAAGCCTGAAAAGCATGTAATGTTCTACAAAGTAATATCAATATGGTAGAATTATCACCATATATTTCTTTACAATTATTTGATTCTTTTGTTTGCTCTATTCTGAATTATGCATGTCCTGTATGGGGATTTTCTAAGTCAAAAGATATTGAAAGTGAACATCTCAAATTTTGCAAATATATTTTAGGCGTTAAGAAAAGTTCCAACAATAGTGCTGTATACGGAGAATTAGGAAGATACCCTTTATATATAAACAGATATGTTCAAATGATAAAATATTGGTTGAAAATTTCAAATACAAATAATATTATTTTAAATACGATATATAATGACTCATTAAAACAATGGTTAAATGGTGTCAAAAATTGGACATACAATGTTAAAATATTATTAGAAAATTATGGTTTTGCAGATGTATTTTTGAAACCAAATGACATTAATATAAATGTATTTTTGGTACATTTTAAACGATTGCTTTAAACAAAAATGGCAAGCAGATTTAAACAATAATAATGTTTTAAACACTCTTTATATTCATCTAAAAACAGATTTAAATTTTGAAAATTATTTAAATACTATCAAATCTAAATATCTAAGGAGTAGTGTTACGCGTTTAAGAATTTCTTCGCATAATCTTAGAATTCAAACAGGTAGATATGGTAGGAATAGAATAGATAGACATAAAGGTTATGCCAATTGTGTCAATGCTCTGCGATTGAAGACGAGTATCATTTTATTCTTATACGCAGTGATTACCATGATTTAAAAATTCGATTAATTAAACGTAATTTTTATCATAGACCCAGTATGTACAAATTCATAGAAATGCTTAAGTCAAACAATAAATCAGTTCTAAACAATCTTAGCAAATTTATTTATTTAGCCAATATGAAAAGAAATGATTTATTGAATTCATATCCTAGACTTTAAGACTATAACAATGTTCATTATATTCACTGTTAGACACTTTATTAGTGAAAAATTGCTGTTATTCAATATCTAATTCATATTTATTAGAGCTTATTCTCCATATTGTATAAACTGAAACATTAATTATTCTCTTTCATTTGAATACCAACCGTGACAAAATGTTTTATATGTATTACTAGTTGATGTATAACGAGATACATGTATATGTATAAGTTAAATAAAATTTTCTTCTGCATCTTTTTATTGTCTCGTCTCAAGTTATTGTCAACATGTTATTGTAAACCTGCTTATGTTTGTATACTTACTTGGAAGGTGTGAATTATCTTATTATACTGGACAATAGGTTAAATAAGCGAAAAACAAAACCTGTTTGCTCACTTTGTCACTTAAAAATGTTTAAGTACTTAAAAGAAGCCTGACCTTGACAGTAATTTGACTATGACAAATAGAAAGTTAAGACAATTTAAGCAAATTTAATAACTTGACCTTGAAAGTCAAGGTCAAAGACATATCAGAATAATTTAAAATGTCCTTGTGTTCTTTTGTCCAAGTATAAATAAATAAAGAGTTATGACAATTTAAGAAAATTTTAATAATTTGACCTTGATTGTCAAGGTCAAAAAGGTCAAGGTCATATTTGAATTATTCAATATAAGGGTTTTATCATGAGTGTTCTTTTATCCAAGTATAAATCATATTAATAAAAAAAAAAAAAAAGAGTCATCTCCAGCCAAATGCACTAATCTAATTGTTCAATAAAAGGCGCAAAACCCTAGCCAACTTTTAAGCGCAGGTGCAGATTACTAAAATTTTCCAAGGAAACCCTCAATCATTAAAATTTAACATATTTCCATCTTTGCCTTCTGTGTTTCATATAAACTTTCTACTCATTTTATTATGAAAATTATTTCAGTGTCTGAATGCACCCAAAACACCCCCAAAATGCAGCAGAATGCATCTTTTACTACGTAAGACTGGTGGGGACATTTCAACTTGATGAATTCACGATTGTATTTTCGCGAATTCACCAATTTGAAATTGTTTGAACTTCACATTGAATCATTAAAATAACTTGTCTTTACAGCATCTTTTCTTATGGTTTTCATGTGCTACTTCAAATGTAAAACATACAGTATAATAATAGTTTTCAATGTGACAACTTTATCAAATATAATTTTAATTTTGCAGGTGTTCTATATATGTCACCAGCTGGTTCCATGTTGTTTCACATGTTGCATTCTCTGATGCTGGTTCCCCAATGCAGAGTTGTCCCCCTTTTAAACTCTCTTCTAACACTACTCTCAAATCTAGACCAAATCTGCAATCTACTAACAAACATCGAGAGATTTGAGAAAAGGGAACTGGAACAGTGTAAGTTATAGAAATTTTCCTCTTTTTATGCCCCCACAAAGTGGGGGGCATATAACGTTGCACTTGTCCGTCCGTCCAGAAATCTTGTGAACGCAACTCCTCTTAAACTGGATGTTAGATTTTGCTTAAACTTCCAGGGATGAACAACCTTAATGTGTAGATGGTAGTAAAGGAAGGAATGTTCGCTGCGACCAAATTTAACAAAATTATGGCCCTTTGTTGATTTTTTCACTATCTACTATGTAGAAATTTTGTGAACGCAACTCCTCTTAAACCAGATGGCAGATTTTGCTTAAACTTCCAGGGATGAACAACCTTATATGTAGATGGTACTAAAGGAAGGAATTTTTGCTGCGACCAAATTAAACAGAATTATGGCCCTTTGTTGATTTTTTTCACTATATACCATATATATGTTGTCAGTGAGGGCATCCGTGTCCTTTGGACACAGTTCTAGTCTTAATCTTGATTTTCATCATAATGTGAGTTGCTAAAAAGCTATAAGGGGTCCTCATGGCCAAGTTGTTAAGCTAAGTATTTGTCCCTCATGGCTGCATACTGAAATACAGTCAGGGATGGTAGCTTTTTATGTAAGGAAGATGTAAAACTAAGGGAAGGTGTTTGGTTTTACTTGGGAGCTCAATTGTACATGAAAACTAATAACTATTAGAAAAACCTCTGACAGACTGGCTTTGGTCAAGAGTGTTTTTCTTTTGTTTTTAAGCGGGGGTGGCAAATTTGATGTGATCTTTTCTGATGCATTTGCATCTTTTTTTGTTTTGGCCTTAAAATGTTCATAAAAATTATGTCTCCTCTTGTCTATACTTATATTTTATAATCCCACCTATATGACTAAAATACTGTTGGGAAAAGGCGTAAAATAAAACAAACAAACAATATTTTATATTCCAGGTTTTAACTCAAGTGTTTCTGCAATCTGGTTGGTTGATCTGGAAAGAGTTTGCTCACTACTGATTGGACATTGCCTTGGTGACATGCTTATAGGTCCTCCAATCACTGCAGAGGAAAAACAAATACACTTCTGGATGGAGAATAAACTGTTCAGCAATGGATTACAAGAAAATGAGAGTAAGGCATTTCAAATGTAGCAACAATTACATAATTGTCGGTATACATACATTTCAGTCAGATCTAGATAATGTGTACATTTGTTATCTAAAATGTTATTATTTAATACTGTAAAAATCTTTACATGGTTTGTTGATGGTAGCATATATTGTTTAATTTTAGACAAATTTGAGATGGAGATTGAGAAAATAGTGGAGCATATTTTGGCATGTCCTGCAGAAACTGGATTGGTTTATGAGAATATATGTAAGGAGAAGTATGAAGGGGATAAAGCAGTTCTCTTACAGTTATGTTGTGGTGTGCAGACTGCTACTGTGGTTCACACACTCAGATTTATGCAGGAAACAGCAGAGAGTCTTGGTATGTAAAAAATAATACTGTTATTATGCCCCCACTTCGAGGAAGAAGGGGTATATTGCTTTGCATTTGTCGGTCCGTAGACCAAATGGTTTCCCAGTGATAACTAAAGAACCCTTAGGCCTAGGAACTTCAAACTTGGTATGGTGATTGGTCATGACCAGCAGATGACCCCTATTGATTTTGGGGTCAAGGGGTCAAAGGTCAAGGTCACATTGACCTTGGTCGTAAAAACGGTTTCCGATCAATAAGTAAAGAACCCTTAGGCCTAGGAACTTCAAACTTGGTATGGTGATTGGTCATGACCAGCAAATGACCCCTATTGATTTTGGGATCAAGGGGTCAAAGGTCAAGGTCACATTGACCTTGTAGGTAAAAACGGTTTCCGATCAATAACTAAAGAACGCTTAGGCCTAGGAACTTCAAACTTGGTATGATGATTGGTCATGACCAGCAGATGACCCCTATTGATTTTGGAGTCAAGCGGTCAAAGGTCAAGGTCACATTGACCTTTTAGGTAAAAACGGTTTCCGATAAAAAACTAAAGAACCTTAAGGCCTAGGAACTTCAAACTAGGTATGATGATTGGTCATGACCAGCAGATGACCCCTATTGATTTTGGAGTCAAGCGGTCAAAGGTCACATTGACCTTGTAGGTAAAAACAGTTTCCGATAAAAAACTAAAGAACGCTTAGGCCTAGGAACTTCAAACTTGGTATGATGATTGGTCATGACCACTAGATGACCCCTATTGATTTTGGAGTCAAGGGGTCAATGTCATATTGACCTTGTACTTAATGACGCATTCTGACCAATAACTTAACAACTCAAGTTGCCTTGGTTGATATTTTTATATGAAACTAAAAATGCTTTTGGTATACACATTTGAAGGTCTTATGTAATATAACAACTTGGCTGTCATTAATGAGGCCTACATGATTCATAGAATTTATGCATATATTATTTGGTAAGATTTGTAATAACTTAAATTGCTGCACACAACCTATGGGGTCATAATAATTATTACCTTGTGACTAGTCATGACCAGTAGATACAAGATAACCCTTATTAATTGTTTGTTCACTGGGTCAGAAGTCATGTATAAAAACCTGATCACATGACTAATTGGCTGCCGATAGGGGTCATACATGTTTTACAAACATATCTTGTTTTTTATAGAATCTATCATTAGGTAAGATAGGGGATAGGAAAATCCCAACCCAAGGGTGATCGGTTTGATGAGTTCCTGATGGAAGCAATTGCCCTGGGGTTGTGATTTCCCAATTCTCTATTTAACTCAATGATTGTGGAGGAATATGTAAGCATGTGTTGCAGGTAATGTGTAAAAGATGAAGTTTTCCACCACTGCTAGTTATTATGCTCCCCGAAAAATTTCGGGGGAGCATATAGTCGTCGGGTTGTCCGTCCGTCCGTCAGTCCGTCCGCACTACCGAATAGGGATAGGGGGCCATCTAACTGTAAACAGAACAAAAGAGAACAATAGAGTTCATTCCGTAACAATAGAGTAAGGGGCCATTGGCCCTCTATTAAACAATAGAAAATAACAAAAGAAATGGCCCCTTATTCCATTTCGGCCGGATCCGTCCGTCCGTACGTACGTACGTACGTCCCGAATTCGTGTCCGGCCCATAACTTTGTTATTTGAAGTCGGATTTTAAAATTATTTCACAGAAATGATCACCATATTGAGACGACGTGTCGCGCGCAACATTTGGGTCGCTACCTTGAAGGTCAAGGTCACAGCATGACCTTGCAGCAAAATCGTGTCCGGTCCATAACTTCATTATTTGAAGTCAGATTTTAAAAATATTTCACAGAAATGATCACCCTATTAAGATGACATGTTGCGCACAACATGTGGGTCGCTACCTTGAAGGTCAAGGTCACAGCATGACCTTGCAGGGAAATCGTGTCCGGCCCATATCTTGGTTATTTGAAGTCGGATTTTAAAACTTTTTCACAGAAATGATCACCATATTGAGACGACGTGTCGCGCGCAACATTTGGCTTGCAACCTTGAAGGTCAAGGTCACAGCATGACCTTGCAGCAAAATCGTGTCCTGTCCATAATTTCATTATTTGAAGTCAGATTTTAAAAATATTTCACAGAAATGATCACCATATTAAGACGACATGTCGCGCTTAACATTTGGGTTGCTACCTTGCAGCAAAATCATGTCCGGCCCATAACTTTGTTATTTGAAGTTGGATTTTACAACTATTTCACAAAAATGATCACCATATTGAGACAATGTGTCGTGCACAACATTTGGGTTATTTTTACACTTTGAACTTTGTCTGTGACATAACTCTGACACTACAAGAGGTATACCTTCCTGTGTCCAAAACCTATTCGGGGAGCATCACCCGGTTCAACCGGCTCATGTTGTAATATTTACAGCGTTTTCTATCTGGTGAGGGTGAGCGAGACAACCTAAACCATGATACCTGATATTCTTATGGAATGTTCATGGAATGTACATATATAATATTTGACATTCTTATGGCATGTAACTGTGTAAAACATAAAAGACCTTGACAGTCTATTTCTTTTACAATGCCCTTGGTCTTAATGAAACCTTTGCATGTGCCATCTATCAGTATTTTATCAGAAATTTATTAACGTTACTCTTTCATTTACATGCATGTTAGGTACTTTAGAATGAGATTTTTATCAAGGAAATATTCTACCATTTTAAGACAGCAAAAGTTAAACATAGCTTTATGCACTTTTAGAAAGAACCAGTCCAAATATAGAGATATTGTTTTTCATTTATAGATCTGGACACATTTGATGTCAGTAATGAGCCTCTACTAGACACAGTGTCAAGATTTGCTCTAGCTGCCATCATTACACATGCCAACATGCTTGATACTATAGTGACAAAAAACATTACACAGTAAGTGAAATTTTTATTTTGCGATTACTACAAATATCCATATATGCTTATTTTTTTCCCCCGGAATGGTGTTGAAAATTCCTAAAGACTATAAAAGTTAATAATTTAACTGTTAATAAGACATCTTTTATCCCCAATTAAGGAGCGTCTGTGGTTGATTGGTTAAGGTCGTTGACTTTGAATCACTTGCCCCTGTCCGCTTTGGGTTCGAATCCAGACAAGGATTTTAGAATCTCATGGAAGAAAGATTTCCAGCTAGCTTACAGAATGTCAATGATTCTTCTCAGGTGCCCATTTGTGCCTGAAATAATGCATAGAAGGGTACCTGAGGTCATCCTTCACCAGTAACACTGGAAATTTGCCATATGACCTATACTGTGTTTGTGTGACTTAAAACCCAAACTTATATCCCAAATTTACCTTTTTTCATAAATCAAAATAATCCTCATTAGGTTGATTTAATCCTCTTTCCAAAAGGTTAAGATAAAAAAAAAACTATTTTGGTTAAATTTCAGTCATGATGACACATTTATGTCAGCTGTTAGGCAGGTCTATCAGTTACGGTTGCATCTGATGAACAAGAAAGCATTTCAACAACAGACTGTTAGCCAGATGGAAAGTTTCCCCACACACACTGCAGACCGAGATACTGGCGAGAAATCACGCAGGGGAGACCCGGACACCGATACTAATCTAGACAGTGATGGTAATATTTAAGATTAAAAACTCATTGTTGATTGATGTGTGTAAAATAATGTTTTGCATTCATACAACTTTTCATAGTTGTAGTTATATTGATACTATATAAATGTTATATTTAGATCATAGAAACGTCAGTATTAAATTAAATATTTCAAACCCTAATGAACAAAATAATTATATATTGTCAGGTCATATGATATGAACCTGAAGCCTCTCTCAACTGTTTTCCATTTCATGCCCATGCAATTAAGTCAATTTGACTGTACATCTGTTTTAACTCCAAAGAAGAAAAAATATATATAGGGAAGTCTTGCATAAGATGATTTTTAAATATTTTGCATTGATTTGTGATATAGAAGAAGGTGAGGACGGGGAAATTCGTAAGACGTCACAGAACGGATCGTATGAAGAAGAATGTGCAGATTGCCTCAGGAGAAGTTTATTTCTGATTCTTGCAGTACAGCCGTATTGGCAAGGTATGCCTGTTACTTGATTAAGACATGAATGGCATAATTGAAATAAGAAGAAAAAATTTGATCTGTATTATGGATAGTTCTTGCAGTCTGGCTGGTTTTTGTTGAAAAAAAAACAAACTGATTATTGTTGTTTTAGCACTATTCATTGCATACCTCTGTATTAAGATAAAAAAATAATCCTGTTTACAGAGAAAGTGATATGTGTCTTGTAGCTCTATTTCAGAGATAACAGATGAGAACCTAAATTTTATCATTCAAACTTTATTTGCACCGGTTGGCATATCAAATGTAACAAATTTACAATATGCCAACTCTGTTTTTTTTTTATATCTACTGAAAAGTTGATTCTTTGCCTTTTCCGTTAGACATTACATAGAAATGTTGCACCACAAGACTGTGGTTATATCTCAGCAATTGTTAACTAACCAGTAGTTAGTTTTTACCAATTTCTTTGCAAATAACTGATTACTAAAATTTTTTTATTTTTTTTTAATATATATATTTTTTTTTTTTTAGTGAAATCACATCCTTGTTCTGATAATGCAGAATCAGGAAAAGAAAAAAATACCAAAGGTAAGACTCTTGTTGGTAGTAATGGACAAATTTGAAATCAAGACTCCAATGAAAATACTTTTTATAAAAAATTTTGTTTCTTTAATTTACAAGCTGATGAAAATGTTCTTGTTAAAGACCCTTTTCATAATTGTTTATAACATTTAAGTCACTGAAAATGTAGCCAGTAAATTCTTAAATTCGAAAAATTTCAGAGGGAAGTCTTTATGTCTTTTATGACAAAGAATTTATTGTCTACATTTTGTTTCACAGGGAGCTTGTCTGAAACAAAGCAGTCAGTTGTACAGCAGAATGTTCTAGGTTCACACAAAGGTAGCCATCCTGACCTTCAGCTCTATCTGGGGTCAACTGATGTGACCTCAAACACCAAGAATGGAGCAGCAACACCTGATTTTTCTAACAAAGGTGATAAAAAGTATTTAAAACAATTTTGGGGATAAATTATCTAGCACATTTTTGTTACAAAATTGATATATAACTTTTACCAGTGCATATGGGATATGGCTACTTATTTATCCGAATATTTCTTTTTTCTTGGGTTTCTTTGGCTAAGGTTACAGACTTCAAACCACTTGTCCTTATCACTGTGATTTTGTACCCCATTTGGAACTTTGTTTGAATCTTTTATGTGAGGGAGCTATCCAACTAGCTTATGGAAGGCTTGGAGTTCTACTCTAGTGCCCGTTTGTGCCTGAAATAATACATGAAGGGGGCACATGAAGGGCTTCGGCGACCAGTAAAGTTGAAAAGTGCATATGACTTTTACAGTGTCAATGTGTCTTTAAATCCAACAAAAACAAAATTTATTTTTCTAAATGTTAAAAAAATTCCAAAATGAGAAAGACTTGTGTAAATTTTCTGTAAAATCCAATATTATCAGTCTGTCTTGATATAAGCAAATTATTGACAGAATAAAATGGAACAAGAAACATATAATTTCACATTGCAGAAGGAACAGGTACAGGTGCTTCTCTCCAGAAAGTAAAACAAACTCTTAGAAGATTGAGGTGGCATCATGAACACTCGGGGGATGTAACTCTAGGAAGAAAACAAGGGAGACGTCTCCCACACAGCATCAGTGGAGATGTTTGCAGTTTCATAAAGGGAGATAATCTGAATCATCAAAGGGGCAAGAAGAGGAATGCATCTTTAAAAAATGTTTCGTATTCTGTGATAGAAGACATAATGAAAATGCAGCATGATAGAGCAGAGGTACCATTTGAACTATTCATAAAAATGACATTTTATTACAATATTTACATGTTTATACAAAAACCATAAAAGATAAAAATTTAGAGCTTACTGATAAAAATGTGAGTAAATCATTTTTGTTTAAACTGAACGGAGTATGTTTAAATATATTTAACAATAAAACAAATAAAACTGTCTATATCATAAAACTTGTACAATACTTGAATATTCTACAAAATAAAATAGAAAAAAAAACAGAGTCCTTAAAAAAACTCAGAGAACTGCAAAACTGAAAATGATGTAGACTCTGTTTGATTGAGCTTGTTCAATGATCAGAGACTTAAGCTCTCAAAATCCATTATGTTTCACTGTTTTGCTGCATGCATTTTCAGTCACGATTGTACGCCTTGAATCAGATCCGAGAGTTGTTGATGGCTCATAAAGAGAAGACTGATGCCGACAGAAGCTCTCCTGTACCTAAGACATTATCTACGTTGCTATGCTCCGCCCATCTTTGTCTCTTGTCTGGCTGCTTTAATCTAGGCCTGCTTGCTGGACCACAAGGGGAGAAAATACCCAGAATTGCTCATTACAAGGTACATGTGCTGAGTTTTTAAACTATTGATAATAAAAAATAAGTATTTTTTTTGTTACTGTTCTATTCATAGTTATATTTTAAATAATTTAGCAGAAGCAGAAATTAAAACTGTCTACAAGATTCTTCGCAAGTTGAAAAGTCAAGGACTATAACTAAAAGTTCAAGGTCATTCTTACAGGTCAAATTTCATAAAAAGGGTCAATTCAACTTGTGTAGCTAGTAACTTATATCAATCATTAGATTTCATTTTATCTACCTGTTTCAACGTACATTTAATTTTCAAATACAAAAAATCGCCAAAAAAACTAGCAGGCGTCTGTGTACATTAGAAGTCCATTTTAAGACGTAATAGGTAATATGTGTATAAAGTGTTTTCTGTAGATTTGTAAATATTTTGAATATTTTCGTTCACTGTGTTCTTGTTTTAGGATGATATAATGTCAGCTAAGGCAGAAACTCAGAGAGAGATACAGTTAGCAGCACATGATATTTATGAATCTCTTGTAGAAGGTCTTCTACTTACATACAACAACAAACACAATCAAGGTAAAGTTACAAGCAGAAGTATTTCACTACAACACTGCATTTGGTATAATTTTCAGGAATATGCCTTATACTTCTGACAGAATCTTTCTCTGTATAACATGAATTAAAATTATGCTGTTTCCATGGTTTCAAGGTTTCCTGACATTTAAACATACACCCATGTAGCAGTGTCTTGTTTCTAACAGCATTGATTCAGAGCATTAAAAATTTCTGGTGAATTACCCCAACTACAGTTACTTTTGAGTGGTCAAACAGTCTAGAATTTGAAATCTCAACTTCATTTAAAAAAACAAAACAACACCTTATGAAATTATTAAAATTACATTGTAATTATATAAAACACTATTACAAACTGGGTCTTCCACTTTGGTATTGGAAAAGGTAGGTAAGCTTTTAAAAATGCCTTTAGGACGTTTTCGGGAGTTTTCATATAGACATATAGGCAAAATTAAAACTGTTCAATAGAATTTCTTTAAACTTGGCGTGTTGTTAGAATATGATAACAGAAATATTTTAAACGAAAAAAAAAATTGGGGTCACTTCCTCATTTTCAAGTTATCTGTCTATATGAAAACTCCCGAAAACATCCTTAAAGCTAACTACAAAACATAGAAAATGGTACACTTTGTTTTTAACCCTTCACCTGCAGGGACCAAAAGTCATTTTTTTCACCCACCAGTATAGGGAAAACTTACCAGGCTTTACAGTTGGTTACTAAAACTTTTATATTTTGATATCAAAATCCCTTAGATTTTGAATGAACTCTTCCAAATTCAAGCCAGGGCAAATACATTACGCAAATTAAGTACATGAAAATAAAATTAGATAAATAAAATAGAATTATTTATAGATTTTTTTTCCTTCAGGTACTAGACAGAGGCTACTACTGTGTACTATATTTTCACTGAGTATAAGTTACAAAGCAGTAGATATCTCCCTACTGGTGGCCTGCAGGCTCTTACCAACACTATACGAGATGGCAAGTCTGTCTGCACCCATACAGGGTCTGGTTCAACCAATCAGAGGACGTCTCGGTCAAGTACAGCTTAACACTGTGCTGAGAGTAGCCAGCTTCCGGTTGATACAGATTGTATCTCTCACAACAAGGCAAGTCTTGTTTATAGTACTTATTTTTAAAACTAATATCTCTGAAAAGCAGTTGTAAGAAATTGATGGTTTTTAAAGACATTTTAATTTAATTTGAATGTCGGTGTTATAATGAATCCAAGATTTTTTTGTAGAGAATGCAAAACAAAACACTTGTATTCATTTTTTATACCCATGGAATATAGTAACTGAACCATCCCTCCATATGGTTAACCTATATAAGCAAGTTGGATATATCTTAAGTTCTACATATACATGTAACTAGGTATGAATTTGACTTGAACAAATAATTTGTAATCATACTTGTATATGATGCATGTCATTGTAGTTACTGCTATATATATATTTACAAATATTTTCTTCTTTTTTTCCCTACTAGTGTTCATAGTGGACCATTAAGTTCAGGTGTACTACAGTCTGTCCTAGATATGCTGTGGTTCCAGATACAGAAACATCTTGACAATCCTGGTTACCATAGTAATGCTATGGCAATCTTCTTGGTGTTTACACGCAGAGTTCTCTCAGCAGGGAAGTTGAAAACTCTAGCAGCAACAAAAAAGTGGACTGATATGCTTATAAGTATAATAAAAGAGTCAAAACAAGGTATGTTGTGTTTTTGTCTGAACTCTTTATATATTAGTGGGGTCTCGTTGGTCGAGTTATTACGGTTTCAGATTGTGAATCACTTGTCTGCCACTGCTTTGAGTTCAGATTCCACCAGCAACTTCAAATCCTGTCATGTGAGGAAGCTATCCAAAAAGCCTTCAGAAGGTCTTTGGTTCTACTAAATGTCTGTTTGTGGAGGGGAACCTGAGATTTTTGTCCACCAGTAAAGCTGGAACGATGCCATATGATCTTTACAATCAATGTCAGTGTGACTTTAACCCCCTTCCCCCCCCCCCCACAAAAAAAGGAGAAGAAGGAGAAATATAATAAAACCTGATTTAAAACATGCAAGATGTTAAATAGATGAGGAACATTAATGTGTTTGTATGTTGATATTTTTAGCTCACCTGTCACAAAGTGACAGGGTGAGCTTTTGTGATCGCTTTTCGTCCGGCGTCCGTCCGTCCATCGTCCGTCCGTCGTCCGTCCGTCGTCCGTCCGTAAACTTTTGCTGTAAATGACATCTCCTCATAAACCACTGAGCCAATTTCATCCAAACGTCACAGGAATGTTCCTTTGGTGGTCACCTTTAAAAATTGTTCAAAGAATTTAATTCCATGCAGAACTCTGGTTGCCATGGCAACCGAAAGAAAAATCTTCAAATATCTTCTTTTAAACAACCCTAAGAGCTAGAGCTTAGATATTTGGCATGAAACATCTTCTAATGAGTGTCTACCAAGTTTGTTCAAATAAAAGCCCTGGGGTCAAAATTGGCCCCGCCCCCGGGGGTCATTGATTTTCCCTATATGCATATAGTAAAAACTTAAAAGATCTTCTTTTAAAGAACTGTAAGAGCTAGAGCTAAGATTTTTGGCATGGAACATCTTCTAGTGAGTGTCTACCAAGTTTGTTCAAATAAAAGCCCTGGGGTCAAAATTGGCCCCGCCCCGGGGGGTCATTGATTTTCCCTATATGCATATAGCAAACACTTAAAAAATCTTCCTTTAAAGAACAGTAAGAGCTAGAGCTTAGATATTTGGCATGAAACATCTTCTAGTGAATGTCTACCAAGTTTGTTCAAATAAAAGCCCTGGGGTCAAAATTGGCCCCGCCCCAGGGGGTCATTGATTTTCCCTATATGAATAAAGTAAAAACTTAAAAAATCTTCTTTTAAAGAACCCAAAGAGCTAGAGCTTAGATATTTGGCATGAAACATCTTCTAGTGAATGTCTACCAAGTTTGTTCAAATAAAAGCCCTGGGGTCAAAATTGGCCCCGCCCTGGGGGGTAATTGATTTTCCCTATATGCATATAGTTTAAACTTAAAAAATCTTCTTTTAAAGAACCGTAAGAGCTAGAGCTTAGATATTTGGCATAAAACATCTTCTAGTAAATGTCTACCAAGTTTGTTCAAATAAAAGCCCTGGGGTCAAAATTGGCCCCGCCCCAGGGGGTCATTGATTTTCCCTATATGGATATAGTAAAAACTTAAAAAATCTTCTTTTAAAGAACTGTAAGAGCTAAAGCTTATATATTTGGCATGAAACATCTTCTAGTGAATGTCTACCAAGTTTGTTCAAATAAAACCCCTGGGGTCCAAATTGGCCCCTCCCCAGGGGTCATTGATTTTCCTTATATGCATATAGTAAAAACTTATAAAATCTTCTTTTAAAGAACCCAAAGAGCTAGAGCTAAGATATTTAGCATGAGACATGTTCTAATGGGTGTCTACCAAGTATGTTCAAATAAAAGCCCTGGGGTCAAAACTGGCCCCGCCCCGGGGGTCATTGATTTTCCTTATATACATAGCAAAAACTTAAAAATCTTCTTTGAAAAAACCCAAATAACTAGAGTTTAGATATTAAGCATGAAACATCTTTAAGTAAATATCTACAAAGTTTGTTCAAATAAAAGCCCAGGGGTCAAAACTGGCCCTGCCCGAGGGGTGTCATTGTTTTTTACTCTATGTGTATAGTAAAAACTTAAAAAATCTTCTTTTAAAAAACCCAATGAGCTAGAACTTAGATGTTTTGCATGAAACATCTTCTTATGGGTGTCTACCAAGTCTGTTCAAATAAACAAATAAAAGCCCTTGGGTAAAAATTGGGCCGGGGGGGGGGGGGGGGGCTATATACAGGTGAGCGACCTCAGGGCCATCATGGCCCTCTTGTTAAAGTTTTGTCTTCTAGAGTCATGCTGGTACTTTAGAACATAGTTTATAGGATGAAAGTTACATAAATGTTTAAGTTTTTTTTTAAAGAAAATTAGATATTCTTGTCATTTGGGCTTCATTGCTTACAATGTTCATTCATAATTTTAGGTCAGAGCTTAAGAACAAAGCTGGCAGCCGTATCTATTTTAGAAAGTATTCTTCTGGCATGTAAAACTAGCATTGATGGGGATTTCTTTAAACAGGTAGGATTGCTTTCTTTAACCATTAACCTGCTGGAACCAAAAAATGATTTGCCTTTGTCAATAGTATAGAGCCAGGGGAGTTTGCACATCCATCCAGGCTCTATTCTTTTGGTAGCTAAATTTGTGTACTTTGATACTGATGTCCCTTTAATCTTTGGACAAACAATTTTAAATAAAAAGCAGGGCATATCCATTACACAAACTCAGCAGGTTTAATGTTAATATAAGGATTAAATATAAAGAATTGTTTGTGTTCTTATATACAGATTCTCGAATACAATATTATCCTAGGTGATGGTGCAGTTATACAGTTCTGACTGTATTTCCGTAGTAGTTATCTTTTGATACTTTGTTGTGTTTTCCACCTCAGATACCTCTATTTTGGGACTTTACTAGTGTAAAATTTTTCATGTACAGTCAACTATCGTTATCTCGACATCGCTTTTCTCGATATTTCGTTATCTCGATGAAATTTTGAAAGTCCCGATTTTCTTCCTTCTTTATCTATATTGGAAATATTTGTTTATCTCGATATTTCTATTTCTATATTTTCAGTATCTCGATGTAAAATTTCAGCCCCAACAGTTATTTTCACACTATTATCCTTTGTTTATCTCGACTTATAGTTTTCTTTCGTCTGTTCCCTTCAGACATGTGAAATACACAATCTAGACGATAATTGCTCAATAAATAGCGCGTGTCATAATGACAATTATGTTTGTAACAAGTTTAGCTGTTTTAATAAAAGTTAATCTATTTAGCGTGTTGATTGACTTATGTCCAAAATGACTGAATTTTACATTCTTTTTAAATATTCGAACACTGTATCAATTCATTATGACTTTAAATGTAAATGAAATAGTGAAAGTATAGAAATGCTATCGTTGCAATATTGTTTCACAACATCACCACCAAATCAATCAGCGGTCGAACAATCTCGAGAAAGACCCTATAAATAATCCGGGAGGATATCCGAATCAACCATATCCGATATCCGATTCACTATATTGGTGTATTACTGAGTAAACCTCACTATGTGTTTTTATCACAGACACCCGTATTTCCGCTGGTAAACATCCGCTAATGTTACTTTGTCAAATATTGACTAGGCCTACGAAAACAAGACATAGGGATATTATAGTTTATTTGACATAAATTATGCACATGTCTTTTGTAAAAATCAGTTTCGCTTTGTTCTAACCTTAATATGTTTATCTCGACATTTCGTTATCTCGATATTTTTTGGACGGTCCCAATGACTTCGAGATAACGAGAGTCGACTGTACCTGAAAGATGCTGTTATGGAATTAAGTTTACTTTGAATCATTACAATGTTCATATGAAACTCAGTATAAAAGATTGATGGTTTTACACAAACTTGCATTAAACTGAAGTAACATACAGACAATCTCTTGGTGAAACTTCTAGTTATTTATTTATCCTTACCCAAGTATTGATATAAATCCAAGTATTGATATAAACGCCATTAATTTTAGACTCATACAATCAAAATGATTGATATTTATGTAGCTAAAAGTGACATGAGGTATTGGTTTAATTGTTGAAAAAAGTAGCAGAAACTAATGTCAAACTATTGTTTTCTTGTTTATTATTCAGGTTATATCAGACTTATTTAGCTGCCTTTCAGACAACATGTGGGAACTGCCCATGAACCAAGCTATCACTGATGCTAGACTGGAAGAGTTATCTCTCTTGTCAAAGTTAGAGCAGCTGAAAATAGAAGGCAATGGAGATTCAGAGAGCTGCCCACCTTTCAGCAAATCAGCTGACCAGGTTGATACCCGGCTTGATCCATCCGGTCATGTGACTACAAGTTTGTCTGGTTCCCTTTCAAGTGTCGCCAGTGAGGAGCAAACAGTTGGGGACAGGGGAGGAAATTGTAACACTACTGAGAATGATACTGTTGATGGTGTGAATAAACAGGATGATAGAATAATTAATGAAGATTGCATGACTCAACTTGAAGTGACCTTTGACCCTGAAAAATGTGTGTGTAGTAGTATAGAGGGGGGACAATCCCTGATACACAGTACATCAGGGAAAGGTTATGGCATAGCATCTATTCCAATTACATCGGGATGTTACCATTGGAAGGTTAGTCATTCTTTATGATAGTTACAAGTAAACGATTTACAAACTCCTTTTATGTCAAGTGATTTACTTTCATTGTTTCCTTAAGGTTTTTATGCCTACACTTAGAGGGGCATGTAGATGTGCCATTATCTGTCTATCACCCTGTCCATCTATAGACTTATTATGGGGGCATCTGTGACCTATGGACACATTTGTAGTAATATGTTTTATAAACTATAGGAAATATTTCATATAAGTTAATGTGTATCATAACTTATATTGTTTAAGGAAAGAACTGTTTACATCATGTTTTATTCTTGATGTAAAAGAACAATATATTGTAATTTGATGTTTTTTACTGTTATTAATTGTGAAGAAGTTTTTGTAGTAAAGTGTTTTAATGTGTTGGCACCTTTTTTGTTCGGTTTATAAAAGTCCTACTACAATAGGACCTGTGAATAATTTGTGTATTTCGAACAGTTTCAGATAGTAAAAGAGAACAAGAGTAACGAGGGTACATGTGTAGGTGTGTGTCGTCTTCCGGTTCGCGACTATGGTCATAGATCTACGTCAGACATGTGGTTATATAGGGCATATAGTGGTAACCTTTATCATAATGGTGAACAACTTCGTACCTTGCATGGCTTTACTCAAGGAGATTATATAACCTGTGTTCTAGATATGGATTCAAAAACTTTGGCCTTTGGAAAAAATGGAGAGGTAATGTAGGAAGAAAGTTTGGTAGATGATAATGAGATATAAATATAAAAAGAATAAAATACATAAGATAGAATTGAATCAAGTGATAAGAGTAAATATTCTGATCTTAATATTGAGTTTGTTTTATCAAAACAGTAACCATGTTTCTTGCAGTGTGCAGAATTAGGTTGAAATATGGTCATGTATTTTGATAATAAAATATTAGGAAATGTACATGTATCAGTATTACATTTAGAAATTGTGCAGAACACATGAAATTTTGTGTGAGTCTACATGTATGTTTGTATAGTTGATCAATTAATCCATTCCCATGTGGTACAAATATAAATCCTTTGCAAGTGGTACATAAGTAGGACAATGCAGACTAGTACAAACAGTTTTAAAGTATGTAATTGTTAAACCCCCGAAACGAAGTTTGGGGGGGGGGGGGGTATATAGGAGTCACCCGGTGGTCGGTCGGTAGGTTGGTCCAGCGGTCCGTTGCATTTTCCTTGTCCGGAGCATAACTTGAAGACTAATGGTTGGAATTCAATATAACTTCATACAGTGGTCAAGCACATTGAGAGGAAGTGCAGTGCACAAGAACGATAACTCCATCTTGACTAATTACAGAGTTATTGCCCTTTGTTACTTTTCCTTGTCCGAAGCATAACTTGGAATTCAAAACAACTTCATACAATTGTCAAGCACATTAAGGGGAAGTGCAGTGCACAAGAACCATAACGCGAAAGTAATTACAGAGTTATTGCCCTTTGTTACTTTTCCATTGCTTTCTTTTGTCCGGACCATTACTTGAAGACTAATAGTTGGAATTCAATATAACTTCATACGATGGTCAAGCACATTGAGAGGAAGTGCAGTGCACAAGAACCATAACTCCATCTTGACTAATTACAGAGTTACTGCCCTTATTTACTTTTCCTTGTCCGCAGCATAACTTGAAAACTACTGGTTTGAATTCACAACAATTTCATACAATGGTCAAGCATAATAAGGGGAAGTGCATTGCACAAGAACCATACCTATATTGACAAATTATAGAGTTATTGCCCTTTGTTACTTTTCCATTGCTTTTTTGTCCGGAGCTTTACTTGAAGACTAATGGTTGGAATTAAATATAACTTCATACAATAGTTAAGCACATTGAGAGGAAGTGCAGTGCACACGAACCATAACTCCATCTTGACTAGTTACAGAGTGATTGTCCTTTGTTACTTTTCCTTGTCCGGAGCATAACTTGAAAACTACCTGTTGGAATTCAATACAACTTCATACAGTTGTCAAGCACATTAAGAGGTAGTGTAGTGCACAAGAACCATAACTCCATTTTGACAAATTACAGAGTTATTGCCCTTTGATACTTATCCTTGTCCGGAGCATAACTTCAAACATACTGGTTGGAATTCAAAACAACTTCATACAATGGTCAAGCACAATAGGAGGAAGTGCAGTGCACAAAAACTATAACTCTGTCCAGAGTAATTATAGAGTTATTGCCCTTTGTTATTTTTCCATTGCTTTTTTGTCCGGAGCTTTACTTGAAGACTAATGGTTGGAATTCAGTATAACTTCATACAATAATTAAGCACATTGAGAGGAACTGCAGTGCACATGAACCATAACTCCATCTTGACTAATTACAGAGTGATTGCCCTTTGTTACTTTTCCTTGTCCGGAGCATAACTTGAAAACTACTTGTTGGAATTCAATACAACTTCATACAGTTATCAAGCATATTAAGAGGTAGTGCAGTGCACAAGAACCATAACTCTATTTTGACAAATTATAGAGTTATTGCCCTTTGATACTTATCCTTGTCCGGAGCATAACTTCAAACATACTGGTTGGAATTTAAAACAACTTCATACAATGGTCAAGCACAATAGGAGGAAGTGCAGTGCACAAGAACTATAACTCTGTCTAGAGTAATTATAGAGTTATTGCCCTTTGTTACTTTTCCATTGCTTTTTTCTTGTCCAGAGCATAACTTGAAAACTGCTAGTTGGAATTCAATACTATTCATACAATGGTCAAGTATATTGAGAGGAAATGCAGTGCACAGAAACTATAACTCTTTTCTTGACTTATTTAAGAGTTTTTGCCCTTTGTTACTTTTAATTGTCCAGTGGCCAACCACATTGAAAGGAAATGCAACATACAAGAACCACAACTATCTTTATTTGCCCACAACCATAACTCTATTTCAATTCTTTTACAAGGTATTCAGTTACTAGTAACATCCTCATTTCCGAAGCTGTCTTGCGGGGGTATTAATTACATTTAGTGATAGTTCTAGTTAAGTATTAGTTAGATGAGGAATTTGTTTTCGTAAAGTATGGATATGTTATTGAACATCTGAAAATTGTATAGAAAAGGCTATTTTCACAGGAACCTAGAATGGCATTTGAAGATATTGATGCTACAGAACTGTACCCCTGTGTGACTTTCTACAGCAGTAACCCTGGCGAAAAGGTAAGTCCTCCACTATACAGTGAAATCTGTGCTAATGCAACCATAACCTTACTTCATTAATAACTGAGTGACTGGTATTACTGACTTATTACCACCTGTCTTGCACAGTTGTGGGTATAATCCTACAAAATTCAGTGTTTTTTTCTTTATTTTATTTGACATTTGGTATTTTACCTTTATTGAGGAGAATCAACTGGTATTTGTTGAGTTTTTTTAGTGTTTATTTTCAACATAAGTAAAGATTTTAAATTTCATTGTCACAGCTCACATATTGTAGTGACTTGGGTTTTCATCTTAAGCTCTGTAGCATGACTTGATTGTAGATAAATGTATGCTGGTCATTTAAAAGTACCGGTATATGAATTTTTGGTCTGCAGGGTGTCTATAGCCAAGTGGCTAAGGTCGTTGACTTCAACCCACTTGCCCCTCACCACTGTGTGTTTGAATCCTTACACAGTCTTTGAATTCTTTCATGTGAAGAAGCTGTCCATCTAGCTTACAGACCATGGTGGATCTACACAAGATTCCCATTCCTGCCTGAAATTAAAAAAAAGACACCTGAGTCCTTCCTCCACCAGTAAAGCAAGAAAATTGCCATATGACCTGTGTTTTGTTGGCATAATACCAAGCATTATAAAAAATATACTACTTTATATTTTGTTATCCATGATGTCATGGAAATCTCGGTTTTAAGTTTTTCTTTGCTTTATGTTATAATGTAAAGATAAGGATGTAAAATTTGATGTCAAAAACATATGATACATTTCTTTCCATCACCAGGTAAAAATATCTGACATGCAGATCCAGGCAGTTCATAAGGACCTGTTACCTGGAGAGCCACTCTGTGCTCCACCTAGTACAGTGGTGTGTGAGGCTCTAATCCGGACCGTCCGTAGTTTACATTCCAGTAATGTATGGACCGATGTGATTAACGAGAAAATTATTCAACAGTTAGACAAAGTCTCTGATCTAGACGTGTTTGTCACACCAGATGTTAGAGATAGGTTAGATACATCGGTGAAATACGAAGGAAAGAAACAGAAAAGTGAGGAGGAAAATGGAGATGACTCTGGTAAAAAGTTCAAGTTCAGTTTATAGTCATTTGTTAGAATTGATAATTTGAAATGAATAATCTTTGATGGTTATATGTCAGAAGTTGACAATACACTAAAGACTGATTGTTGCCAATTTTGTATGTGATAAAATCTTATTTGCTTTTTAATTGGATTTAAGTATATATTATTTCATATATCTAACATATTAAAGCGACCTTAAGATTTTCTTAAAAGTGAAATATGTTATTTTTAGATAAATATTTTCATATAATTGTCAAATCGAAAAAATTTAGGTGGAAAATGAAATTTGCCATCCATAAAATACATAAACAATAACTTAAAGGGACTCCACTGAGGTTTTTTGACATGACAACACTGGAATATTTTTTTGAGATTATTACACCATCTGATGTAGGTCTATACCAACAATTTATGTGCAAAATTTCAGATCATTAGCTCGCTTTGTTTTTCCAGAATAATTGTTTTAATTGTCAAAAATAACCTAAAATCGGACTGAGAATAACACAAACATACAATTTTCAGTGTATTTCTGGGTATATTTCTTAATTATCTTTTGTATATATTTCCGTTTTAGGTGCACCAGTTGATCTATGTGAGAAATTAAAATTTTTCGATTTTACGCTTATGAACCTCAGTGGAGTTTCTTTAAGGAAACCCCTCAATACATCTTAATCTATCGGTCCGCTCTCTACATGCAAGTTAGTAAAGAGAATGATTCATTTCCCGATATTCTATTTTTAGAAATATATGTCACTGACAAGCTATAAATAGCCCTCTGGATACTGTTTTAAAGAAGGCTTAACAGTAATATGAAGCTTTTTTCTAAGATAAAATTGCTAAAATACTTAGTTTGAAACAACACAGAATTGTTTTTCCGGCAAAAAATAAAAGCTGAAGGCGGCTTTAAGATTCACTTATTGCAGAGACATAGATAACATGTAGTTATCTACATCTCTGCTTATTGCTTAAAGAAAATGTAAGTGCATTCTTAAAGCTGCACGCCTCCAGATGAGCAAAAATAGTTCAATAAAATCAAACCTGAGTAAAATGTATTAAGACTTTAGGAAAAGTAAAAAGATTCAAAATTCTAGTAAAAGTTGACATGTTATGTGCAATTTATGACCTATTTTTCAGCATTCGTAACTATATTTCTACTGCGTTACTAAAGCAGTAAGGGCTATTTTTGTATATTTTACAATCTTTTTGGTAACTTACACGGGTTGGAAGTGCCATTGATAACGTGTAAATTGCACTCTTTTGGTAACTTTACAATAATATACTTTTAAATACATTTTCAAATTTTCATGAAAATTAGCATGAATCTGGAGGCGTGCTGCTTTAAGAAATGTTTTATTTGATATATTTTGTCACCAAGACATTTTGATCATTCAGGTACATGTACTAAGACAGATCCTGAGAATCAAACAGTGGAACATTGCTCAGATGATAAAGTTCATGACGTTTGTTGTCAGGTATATTTATACACAAACTTATACACAATGATTTCTGTTCAAAAATAAATTTTGGAGCAAGTATTTTATTGATTTGTCAAGTTTTAAATGGCTTTACTTCGGTGATTGCCTGTATATAAATAAATAGAGCAATTCCGGCAAGTCCTTACACAAACTCCATTTTACCTGAAAAAGTGCATAAATGTTAACTCAAAACCTAGAACTTGCTTATGGACAGATTTTTGCTTTCTCAACAGGTATGGCCATGTCTGGCTGTTATAGGAGGTTTAGACTCGGGTTTAAGAATAGGTGGCAAATGTTTACACGAGGGAACATCAAAACAGGGCACTATTCTAGGTGTAACCAGTCCAGGGGCATCAACCATTAAAATACAGTGGGATAATGGAGATGTCTCAGTGAGGTACATATTTTACTTACTTTCTGTAATTCATTCAAACATTTTATAATGTACTATTCTTCTTTCGAATCAAGCATTATTCCAACTTATTAGTACAGAATTTACTAATTTATGCAGTAAGATATTATTTTGGCAGAATGTAATGAATACTAGATTATAAAGGGAATAAGTATAGGATTTAGATTATCTTTGTTGGGATATAGGAGATGAATTTCAGTATTTTTCCTTAGAATAGAAAAATAATAGCTTTAATCAAAATTATGCAATACATGTGTTTCATGGCAAGAAGAAAACTCGGTGTCTTTAAGATTTCATTGTAGTTTGATCACAAAACAAATTTACCCTTTGTCAAGAGATGTTTTACTTTGGTACACTAATTTGCATAAAGTGATATGTTACCATCAGTTATGAAACTTCACTTTTATCTTTTTAGCTCACCTGTCACAAAGTGACAGGGTGAGCTTTTGTGATCGCTTTTCGTCCAGCGTCCGCCCGTCGTCCGTAAACTTTTACTTTAAATGACATCTCCTCATAAACCGCTGAGCCAATTTCATCCAAACTTCACAGGAATGTTCCTTTGGTGGTCACCTTTAAAAATTGTTCAAAGAATTTAATTCCATGCAGAACTCTGGTTGCCATGGCAACCGATAGAAAAAACTTAAAATATCTTCTTTTAAATAACCCAAAGAGGTAGAGCTTAGATATTTGGCATAAAACATCTTCTAGTGGGTGTCTATCAAGTTTGTTCAAATGAAAACCCTGGGGTCAAAATTGGCCCCGCCCCGGGGGTCATTGATTTTCCCAATATGCATATAGTAAAAACTTAAAAAATCTTCTTTTAAAGAACCCAAAGAGCTAGATCTAAGATATTTAGCATGAACCATGTTCTAATGGGTGTCTACCAAGTTTGTTCAAATAAAAGCCCTGGGGTCAAAATTGGCCCTGCCCCAGGGGGTCATTGATTTTCCCTATATGCATATAGTAAAAACTTATAAAATCTTCTTTTAAAGAACCCAAAGAGCTAGAGTTAAGATTTTTAGCATGAAACATGTTCTAATGAGTGTCTACCAAGTTTGTTAAAATAAAAGCCGTAGGTTCAAAATTGGCCCCGCCCCGGGGGTCATTGATTTTCCCTATATGCATATAGTAAAAACTTATAAAATCTTCTTTTAAAGAACTCAAAGAGTTAGAGCTAAGATATTAAGCATGAAACATCTTCTAATAGGTGTCTATCAAGTTTGTTCAAATAAAAGCCCTTGGGTCAAAATTGACCCCGCCCCAGGGGGTCATTGATTTTCCCTATATGCATATAGTAAAAACTTATAAAATCTTCTTTTTAAAGAACCCAAAGAGCTAGAGCTAAGATATTTAGCATGAAACATCTTCTAATGGGTGTCTACCAAGTTTGTTCAAATAAAAGCCCTGGGGTCAAAATTGGCCCCGCCCCAGGGGGTCATTGATTTTCCCTATATGCATATAGTAAAAACTTATAAAATATTCTTTTAAAGAACTCAAAGAGCTAGAGCTAAGATATTTAGCATGAAACATGTTCTAATGAGTGTCTACCAAGTTTGTCCAAATAAAAGCCCTAGGGTCAAAATTGGCCCGCCCCAGGGGGTCATTGATTTTCCCTATACTGGTCGGGGACCATCAACCGGACACTTTTTGAACATTTTTCCGTACAAATTTCATAATGTTTAACCTAGAGACCAAAAAATTGGACACAGTTTAGCTAGGTTCTTCTCCTAACTAACAAACTCGTTTGTTTATTTCTGATTGTATTGACACTTATATCTGAGGCTCGACAATGAGGGTATCAAAATTACCTAAATTGTCTACACTACAGTACCATGTGTCCGGACAGATATGTACATGATGTGATTTAATTCAGATAAAAGCTTGAGTGTGTTGATTTTCGATTTGTTACATGATATACAATATGTCAGCAACAAATGCTTAAGTTTTGGATATTCTATTATTCACTCTGCAAATGATTATAGCTGGTTTATGAGGTCAGGCATTGCTTTCTTGACCCCCAAATTTCAACGTCAACATTCTTGAAATTGACATTAAAATATTACCATTTACGGAGGTTGCAATCAATTTATTAACTTAATTTTAAAAGAAACATGCACTTATTGTTGATAAAAAAGTGACTGGCAACCACTGAACAAAGAAAATACTAAATTAAGCATTTTCGGGACCGTCCGGGTTTGGTGGTTGTCCGGTTTTGGTGGTCCCCAACCAGTATGCATATAGTAAAAACTTATAAAATCTTCTTTTAAAGAACCAAAAGAGCTAGAGCTAAGATATTTAGCACAAACCATGTTCTAATGGGTGTTTACCAAATTTGTTCAAATAAGAGCCCTGGGGTCAAAATTTGCCCTGCCCCGGGGGTCATTGATTTTCAATATATGTGTAAAATTAAAAATTCTTTGAAAAAAAACAAATAGAGTTTAGATACTAAGCATGAAACATCTGCTAGTGAGTGTCTACAAAGTTTTTTCAAATAAAAGCCCTTGGGTCAAAATTGGCCCTGCCCCGGGGGTCATTGATTTTATTTATGTGTATAGCAAAACTCTTCTTTGAAAAAACCCAAATAGCTATAGTTTAGATATTTAGCATAAAACATCTTCCAGTTAGTGTCTTCAAAGTTTGTTCAAATAAAGCCCTAGGGTCAAAACTGGCCCCACCCTAGGGGTGTCATTGCTTTTAACTATATGTGTAAAGTTAAAACTTAAAAAATCTTTTTTTAAAAACTCAACGAGCTAGTCCTTAGATGTTTAGCGTGAAATATCTTCTAATGGGTGTCTACCTAGTTTGTTCAAATAAAAGCCCTGGGGTTTAAACTGGCCCCGCCCTGGGGCCTATATACAGGTGAGCGACTTCAGGGCCATCATGGCCCTCTTGTTTATCTGTTTCCTCATGTAAAGGTACGGCAACATTTTCTATTTCAGTGATTTGTCAGTATGTAGTGTAAAGCCTCTACCAACACAACTGTTTGATATCGGGTCTTTGTCAGGCTTTACTGCTAAACATCTTGAACTTCTGATGAAATTAACATACCTCTCAGCCGACAACAAATACACCAACAAAGTACAGGTATCTACATGTATTGTACTATTTAGATTAATAAAGACCCATTCATATACTTCAATGTATCTCTGTGCATAATTCAATGACTGAAAATAAAATTTATTTAGAATCAACTGTTTTATCTCATCATTATGTAGCCCAATTTAATAATAGAGGAGCAATGAAAGACTATCAAATTGGATGTTATGAAGTTAGATCATTGGTGTGAAATGATGGTAAACACTTAAAGTTAGGGTTGGTTCACTTACTGACTTGATCAGGATTAATACAGTTTTTTTTTGCATAAAGTTATGAAATTCAAAATTTGTGATAAATTACATTTGTGTGAACTTAATTGTTTAGCCAAAGTCTGATGTACCAAAGCCAGATGTAAAAAGAGATATAGAAGAAGAAGCGAAAGCTGCCCAAGCTGAATCAGATGCATTAATGAGAAAGTTGGATGAAGATATCGCGAGAGTTCTTGACCTAGAGTCTCCAGATAATGATCACAACGCTGATAAACGGGATGTCAAATGTTCAGGTAATTCAGAAACTTCAATCTTGATGCTTGATAAACCTTGCGAAATAGATAGTTATCTATAAAATGTTTCCAGAGTGGTTTCTTCAATCTTGCAATTTCGGGTAACACAGTGAGAGCAGGGAAAACAGATAAGGGGAATGGAAATGGGCTTTTGAATATGTACAGCTACTGATTTATTCAATCATCCTATCAGATAGCATACTTTGACACAATGATAAGGTTGCCTGATAAGGCTGCCTATTACTTAAGAATTAATGTAAAGCTTGTAGAAATTGTTGATGTGATTATATGATTAATGTCCTTAACTAAGCTGTATTTTCATAAATTTGATATTAAATTTATAAATTTATATTGTTAGTTGGGTCTCAGAATGCATATTAATTAACTAAAAACTATGTGGAAGTATGACATTCAGCTAATCATGACAATTGTTTTAGCCTAAAATTTGTGGAAAAATGATGCTTAAATCCATCCGTTTGGGAATATTTTGAGTTGTGATTTAAAGTGAATTCAGAAAAATATAATTAATTGCTCCACAGCCTATTTATGAACTTTTGATAAGTCATTTTGTAATTTTTAGTATGATTTATTTTGGAAAAAATATTGTTCATATTTGCTATGAGGAATGTGTTAACTAGACCAGTATTAAAGAAGGAGGAAAATTGAGATTATGTGTGATATGATTTTAGACACAGAGTCTGGACCAGATCTTAATGACAGTTTCCTCAGTGTGTCCTCTACTGCCAGCAGTGGTGTCAGCTATCTTGGTGCGACTCCTGCAGGTTAGTGCAGTACAAATGTTTTGTTACAAAAACAAACTTTATACTTATCATATTTTTTAAGCCTGTATATAAAAAATGTTAAAAAAAAAGGAATGTAGTAAAAGGGAAACTTAAAACAAAAATCTGGAAAATAGGAGATCCCTAAGGAAGCAATGAAAAACAATAAAATTACTTGAAAATAATGGACACATTTTCAAAACATAAAATTAAGGTGTTGAAGTTTGCTGCTGATATTCAATGTTTTGCATCAGAACATTACATTAAAACACAGTTTCATAATATACCTTCAAAATCAGACTATGCAAGCAATGAGCTGTTTCAACTGCTGTTAATTTATAAATTTTTGCTTTTTTCAACTAGTTATGTAAGCAAATTACAATTAATTCCAAACCAACAGAAAGAATAAAACATGATTTCTATTTTGTAATGTTTATTATCCCCCGCCGAAAAATTTCGGCGGAGGATATAGAAATAGTCTCCGTCCGTCCGACCTTCCGTCAGACATTTTTGTCCGGAGCATATCTCTAAAAGTATTTGAGTTATCAACTTGAAACTTCATAGGTGGATAGACCTCATTGAGGAGGAGTGCAGTGCACAAGAATGATTACTCTACCTTGCATGATTTTTGAGTTATTGCCCTTTGTTATTTTTCAAAATTGATTTTTGTCCAGAGCATAACTCCAAAAGCCTATGAGATATTAACATGAAACTTTATAGGTGCATAGCTCTCACTCAGGAGGTGTGCAGTGCACAAGAATGATAACTCTACCTTTCATAATTTTTGAGTTATTGCCCTTTGTTATTTTTCATACCTAATTTTTCACCAGAGTGGAGCATAACTCAAAAAGTGTTTGAGATATCAACATGAAATGTCATAGGTGGATAGACCTTATTGAGGAGGAATGTTGTGCGCAAGAATGATAAACTCTTCCCTATACAATTTTTGAGTTATTGCCCTTTGTTTTTTTTCATGCTATTTTGTCCAGAGCTTATCTGAAAAAGTATTTGAAGTATCAACTTGAAACTTCATAGGTGGATGGATCTCATTGAGGAGGAGTGCAGTGCACAAGAATGATAACTCTACCCTGCATAATTTTTGAGTTATTGCCCTTTGTTATTTTTCATTCTATTTTGTCCAGACTTTATCTCAAAAAGTATTTGAGGTATCAACTTGAAACTTCATAGGTGGATGGATCTCATTGAGGAGGAGTGCAGTGCACAAGAATGATAACTAAACCTTTCATAATTTTTGAGTTATTGCCCTTTGTTATTTTTCATACCTAATTTTTCACCTGAGTTGAGCATAACTCAAAAAGAGTTTGAGATATCAACATGAAATGTCATAGGTGGATAGATCTTATTGAGGAGGAATGTTGTGCGCAAGAATGATAACTCTTCCCTATACAATTTTTGAGTTATTGCCCTTTGTTTTTTTTTCATGCTATTTTGTCCAGAGCTTATCTGAAAAAGTATTTGAGGTATCAACTTGAAACTTCAAAGATGGATGGATCTCATTGAGGAGGAGTGCAGTGCTTAAGAATGATAACTCTACCCTGCATTATTTTTGAGTTATTGCCATTTGTTATTTTTCAAAATTAATTTTTGTCCAGAGCATAACTCAAAAAGCCTTTGAGATATCAAAATGAAACTTCATAGGTGCATAGATCTCACTCAGGAGGTGTGCACTGCACAAGAATGATAACTCTACCTTTTATAATTTTTGAGTTCTTGCCCTTTGGTTCTTTTTCATATTTAATTTTTCAATTCAATTTTTTTCTCAAAAAGTATTTGAGGTATCAACTTGAAACTTCATAGGTGGATAGATTTTACTGAGGAGGGATGCAGCACACAAGAATGATAACCTACCCTGCATTATTTTTAGCTCACCTGAGCATATGCTCAGGGTGAGCTATTAGGATCACTCTTCGTCCGTCGTCCGTCGTACGTCGTCCGTTGTCCGTTCACACTTTTCAAACGACATCTCCTCTGAAACCATAAGGCAGATCATAATGAAACTTCACAGGGATGTTCCTTGTGTGAAGCCTTAACAAAGTTGTTCAAAGAATTCCATTCCATGCAGAACTCTGGTTGCCATGGCAACCAAAAGAAAAAACTTTAAATATCTTCTTCTAGATAACCCAAAGAGCTAGAGCTTAGATATTTGGCATGAAACATCTTCTAGTGAGTGTCTACCAAGATTGTTCAAATAAAAGCCCTGGGGTCAAAATTGGCCCCGCCCCAGGGGGTCATTGATTTTCCCTATATGCATATAGTAAAAACTTAAAAAAATCTTCTTTTAAAGAACCCAAAGAGCTAGACCTAAGATATTAAGCATGAAACATCTTCTAATGAGTGTCTACCAAGATTGTTCAAATAAAAGCCCTGGGTCAAAATTGGCCCCGCCCCAGGGGTCATTGATTTTCCTTATATGCATATAGTAAAAACTTAAAAAAATCTTCTTCTAAAAAACCCAAAGAGCTAGAGCTTAGATATTTGGCATAAAACATGTTCTAATGGATGTCTACCAAGTTTGTTCAAATAAAAGCCCTGGGGTCAAAATTGGCCCGCCCCAGGGGGTCATTGATTTTCCCTATATGCATATAGTAAAAACTTAAACAAATCTTCTTTTTAAAGAACCCAAAGAGCTAGACCTAAGATATTAAGCATGAAACATCTTCTAATAAGTGTCTACCAAGATTGTTCAAATAAAAGCCCTGGGGTCAAAATTGGCCCCGCCCCAGGGGGTCATTGATTTTCCTTTTATGCATATAGTAAAAACTTTAAAAAATCTTCTTCTACAAAACCCAAAGAGCTAGAGCTAAGATATTTGGCATTAAACATGTTCTTATGGATGTCTACCAAGTTTGTTCAAATAAAAGCCCTGGGGTCATAATTGGTCCCGCCCCAGGAGGTCATTGATTTTCCCTATATGCATATAGTAAAAACTTTAAAAAATCTATTAAAGAACCCAAAGAGCTAGACCTAAGATATTAAGCATGAAACATTTTCTAATAAGTGTCTACCAAGATTGTTCAAATAAAAGCCCTGGGGTCAAAATTGGCCCCGCCCCAGGGGGTCATTGATTTTCCCTATATGCATATAGTAAAAACTTTAAAAAATCTTCTTCTAAAAAACCCAAAGAGCTAGAGCTTAGATATTTGGTGTAAAACATGTTCTAATGGATGTCTACCAAGTTTGTTCAAATAAAAGCCCTGGGGTCAAAATTAGCCCCTTACCAGGGTTCATTGATTTTCCCTATATGCATATAGTAAAAACTTAAAAAAATCTTCTCTTAAAGAACCCAAAGAGCTAGAGCTAAGATATTAAACATGAAACATCTTCTTATCAGTGTCTACCAAGTTTGTTCAAATAAAAGCCCTGGGGTCAAAATTGGCCCCGCCCCAGGGGGGTCATTGATTTTCCCTATATGCATATAGTAAAAACTTAAAAAAAATTCTTTTAAAGAACCCAAAGAGCTAGAGCTAAGATATTTAGCATAAAACATGTTCTAATGGGTGTCTACAAAATTTGTTCAAATAAAAGCCCTTGGGTCAAAATTGGCCCCGTCCCAGGGGTCATTGATTTTCCCTATATACATAGAGTAAAAAGTTAAAAATCTTCTTTAAAGAACCCAAAGAGCTAGAGCTGAGATATTTAGCATGAAACATGTTCTAATGGATGTCTACCAAGTTTGTTCAAATAAAAGCCCTTGGGTTAAAATTGGCCCTGCCAGGGGGAGGGGGGGGGGGGCAAAAGTCATTGTTATTCATAATTTGTGTATAGTAAAATCTTAACATCATGAAATATCTTCTAATGGGTGTCTTCCAAGTTTGTTCAAATAAAAGCCCTTTGGTTTAAACTGGCCCGGCCCTGAGGGCCTATGTTCAGGTGAGCGACCCCAGGGCCATCATGGCCCTCTTGTTCAGTAATTGCCCTTTGTTATTTTCAGCCATCAGTATTCACATAGGTTTCAAATCTGTAATCACTATAGCCATCAGTTTTCATTACCAAAAGACCTCTTAAAATGGAATTATTCCGCTCTACTACATATACATTCTTCCAATGAGCAAACACATTCAGCGGGGGATGGCCATGTTGACATGGCTCTTGTTATGCTTTGTAAATAGATCCGGTATGTGTCAGAACAGATATAACAGAAGGTGTTGGTGGAAATGAGGGTTCCTCTATGTCTAACACAGCCTCAGATGGCAGTTATCACACAATTCCTAGTGACTCAATTGTTGACAGCTTCACAACTACCGAACAAGGTTATAACAGTATATCATTTTACCATGCAAATTCTCTGACTGTGATTAAAATTGGATTTTATTTTTCAGCATTCAAAATTTTTTGTGTTCAGAATTTATATATTGTGAAACTTGTAATAACTTAACTGAGCTTGCATTGTGATTAATTTTACACACTGATCTCATTTATTTCAATGTTGAATGTATACATGCTATTTCAACTCATGTTAATATTATATCTCCTCTTGATGAATTGTATTATATTAAATTGTTTTGTACATTGCTGAGGCTCACAGCGAAGACTGGGCTTGCCCAACTGTGTTGCCTCATTAAATGAAGTCTTGACTAACCTTACTTTATCAATTTCACATGTATCAAAATATAAATGTCCTTGTGTTTATAAATTTTGTGCATTATTCTCCACTGAAAGTCCATTAGAAGTTGATCAAATAAAATGTCCCAAGTAATCATCCTTTTCTCCTTGCATGTAGTTTCTCCTGGAATGGAGTCATTTTGAATCTCTGACAGTTAACAAAAAAGAAACAACAACAAAAAAAAAAAAATTTGCGGATAGTCTGTTAAAAAGTAATTTTGAGGTTTTATCACAAAATTTGTAATAACACCTCATTGGTGATGTACAACAAACAAAAAGTCAGTACATTCTTTCAATTGTTAAGTCTCTAAATGTATTAAAAGTTGTTGTATCTCTTGTAGAAGTAATGAACACAGTAGTAGAGAAAGCTTCAGTTGAACCGACAAGTATTGGAGCAAATCAAACTATCAAATTTGGTATACTGGAGGGAGAAAATAGGGCAGCAAGAGGTTCATCACTTTTGGCACACAACGATAATGAAGATAAAAATTATGAAGTATTTTTAGCTAGAGCTATGGCTGGAGAAACAGAAGGTCTAGATGAGTTTGGTGAAAGCAGACAAACTGCTGCTGCTGTGATTGGATATAAGTTTGATGAAGAAAATGAGCAAAAGGGGAAACTCGGTGCTGAAACTAATGTTAAAAATGATGATGAAGAAAGTGAAAAAGTTGATGTTGAGGGTAGAAATAATGTTTCAGAGACTGATACTGTAAAAACTGTAGATGAAACAAGAGAATCTCTAATTGCCAGTAAGGCAAATGACAGGGAAGAATCTCCTATGGAAATAGACAGAGACAGTACTGATGCTGGTGTAAAAGGTAATGCCTGCAGTGAAGCCTGTAGACCAAAGGAAAATACACATAAAACTACAGATAAAGTTCCAATGACTGAAAAAGAGGCAGTCACCGCTGAGATGACTGCTATAAAATTTGCAGCAGTGCAAGTTACAGCTCTGAAGGCAGTCCAGTGTGTACTAGCCAGTCAGAAATATGGAGAAATGTTGCTGGTTCCTAAATCAGACCTGGTAGCTGACAGTAGTAAAGCTTTAACTGATGGAACCATTATCAGGAAAGATGAAGATTTCAAGAAAGTAATCTGTGAGTTTATGAAAAAGTTAATACTTATAGCTACAAGTGCTTCACCGTTTAAACGAGCGGTTGGTATTGATGAGCTAGACAGGGTTAGGGCAATGTTGTTGAAGGCTGTCGTTCAGGAACAGGCTGAAAGAAAAACAAACCTACCATCTCTTAAAGGTGAGTAACCAATTATTGTACAGTCGAACTTGTATTGAAGACCACCTGAATAAAGATTACCCTGTAAAAAGGTCACTCTTCTTCAATCCTTCATTTGTTAAAAAAGACAAAGTTACCTCCAAATAAAGTTCACTTGACTATAAAGTGTTTGGTCTCTCCCTCGGATAACCTTTCTCTCATTATTGTATATTCATTATTAACAGTATAGTTTGTCCATGAGCCTATCTAAGCAGGTGCATTGTCTTTCATATCTTTATATCAAAAAATGTTAATTTGTCATTTTTGTGGACTAGTACTTAATTCTCTTTTTATAGCAGTATTGTGTAAGGTCATGGTCATTCCTAGACATTAAAATATTTTTAGTGTGTTTCTTTTTTAATTTTATAGAAACATCACAGGTACTTTTATTTATTTTTTGTTGTCTATTTGATATCTATTATAGAGAGATACACATCAATATGTACAGTGTTGCCACCTTCAGAGCAGACATCTAATCAGAAAATCGTTGATCCCTTAACATCATCAATGCCTGGAAGGTCTGTTGACAGGCAGCGCTGCCCGAGCCAAAACTGGGTCAGTAACCAGGACAGGGACTCACAGAGAGCTTTACAGCAAACCTCCATACTACAGTATGTTAGATCAAGGTGGGTATCTTCTTGTCACTTTAAAACTTTAAATTTTTATCCATCTACAGTTTCATTTTTTCTCCATAAGGAAAAGTAAGAGTACAAGTCTCTTGTCAGAGGTATTTGATTTTGAAACAGTTTGATATAAATGACTTTTTTAGAAATAAAAAATTCTGTACATGCTTGTCAGAAATAACCCAATATTTAGATTTTTAGCTGGACTTAAAGAATTATATGAAGAGCTTTTGTACTTTTACAGCCCAGATTCTGATTATTAAAGTTTTGTGCAGTGGAATATTTTTACTATCTGTATACATATATGCATGTAATGTGATGTGTGATAGTTGAACTTAATATGGATAAAGTTATCTATAAATTTCAATATTATTTTTCCCAATAGTTATCCATTTCCTTAACATCATTCATTGAAGTCAGTTAATTTTAAATAATAACAAAAATTAATGTTTCTAGTAATCTGGATGGAAACCTCCTACGTGGAGGGAGATTACGAAGTTCAATACCACATTATGTGAACAGAACTCAACAGGATGGTGGAACATCGGCTAGCCCTAGTCGAACTGCCTTTAAACCAACAGCCCTTTCTACAAGAGACCTTGTCAGTGTGCCCCCAGTAGCACCTCCGTTGAGGAGAGCTCCACCTCCACAATTTACTACCCAGGGAGTCAGCCCCAGCCCAAGACAGTACAAGCGGCGTATTCAGAGATCACCATCACCACCTGTCATGCCTCCAGTATTCACACCATTGATGGAGATGGGATTTTCAATATCTCATATTGAATCAGCTGTACAAAGTCAAGATACCGGTGAGACATGAGAATATTTAATGAATTACTATTTGGTTAAAACAATATATTATTTAAAAAAATTTTGATTACAATTTTAATTTCAAGTAAAAAATTTTACAGATTTTTTTTTTAAGATTCTTTTTGTTTATGTAAAGCATAGTATAATAAAATGGGCATCTATAAGAAAACTTGCTGACTTTGAGAAATGTTCTTAACCTCTTTTGGCCGTGCATTAAATTCAAACATCTACCTGGTTTAATACATGAATGTAAAATAATTTCATGCTTTTCTAAGATATAAGATATTTCTAAACATTTTTTCTTGAAAACTTTGTTTTACAATTAATAGTTACGATATGTAACATAAAAAATTGACAATGTCTAAGGAAATGCACATCCAGGTATGCAAAAGACATCATCTGCATAACAATATTATCATTGTTACTTCACTATTACAATTATATATACAGATATTGATGTTTGGGATGTGACATCACAAGTGGTCAACAGTCTTGCTACATGGATGATAGAACATCCCCAGGAGGCTGAGGTAGTCGGGCCACCAAGTGAGCCTGGTCCTTCACACAGATCTTCAACCCCTTCTGATGGAGCAACCGCTGCAAAAAGGTTGAACAGGTTAGCTAAATGTTGATTTCTAACATTCAAGAAAGGTAACTTTATACAGTGCATCAATTAGTTTTTATCTTTGATTGAATATATAGTTACTAGTATAATACAAATTATGGATTCTTGTATCATTAGCTAATTATTCAGTTCTTTTATATAATTTATTTAAATTGTCAATTTAAGTGTTTTATATGTTGAAATGTGTTGTAAACCATTGGTGTTTGTTTACTCTTTCTTATTTTTATTGAGATTAGAGAATATAAGGAAAAGATAAACAAAAAACTTACAAACAGGTTGACCCAAAATGCTATGTTTACAAAAATCATAAAAAAAAATTCATACTAGATAATGTTCAGATATATTTGTATTCACTTTCAATACCAAATCATTGTACTCTAATGCCATAACAGTCAGTGTAAAGCATCCTTAATTTGCAGCTTATGATCTTTTCAATTGTGTACAATTGTAAAGAACTTATTTTTTCTGCCATTTACATTTAATAGTTTTTCCAATGGTATAAGTGATGAATGTCTACTGGTAGGGAGTAATATATTTTAGAGGTCATTTTGTTTTTTTGGAACATTTTAGAGAGAGTTTAGATGACGGTCCTGAGATGTTAATAGAGGAAACAGAGAGCGATGATCCTGGTTTTGTTAGGAGACCTCGGAGAATGACAAGATCTCGACATCTTGACATACGCAGCTTCCTCTCAACCTTTGGTAATTTCCTTCATGATAATGAAATATAAGTGCGATGTCACACTCACACTGTAATTGTCATATTGGGACTTTCCAGCTGTCTTGTGGCGGAGGACCTTGGGTGCCTCTTCATGCATTATTTCAGGCATTAGTTGTATCTGTGTAGTACATATTATAAGCTAGTTGAATAGCTAGTTGGTCACCTATTATGGACTGACACAATTTCTCTACATTTTCAGTTCTGATTTTTCATGCAGGCCTTTAAGAATGAAAACAATTTTACAAGTAAGCAATTTACTTATGATTGTAATCCTTACATTTACAATTGTACTGTGAAATAAAATACCAAATCTTTAAGTGTTGATTAAAAGAATTATTATAGAGATAATGCCAAATATCATGAATGATATGGTTTTATTTGATGAATATAGGGGAGGAGAGAGGGCCAGAAAGACCTGAAAGAAATAGCCAAGAGCTGTCTGGTGAGGCTCGGTCCCTGGTTGACCTGTATGATGAGGTACTGGACCTTCAGGAGGAGTTGTACAGTGATATGGCATCAGATGATATCTTCAGTTTTAATAACAGAGAGGCCCTGGACTTATTCTCTGCTTTGGTTTGTGATATATCTTTTTCATTTTAGTGATAGTTAACTTGTATGAATGATGCCAGTTTTTTTAGGTTTTTTTTAATAGTTTTGATTTATGGATACTTTTCTTGAAATTTATTATGTCCCTCTTCTAAGAAAAGGCATCATATTGTTTTTTGGAATAATGTTGGACAATCCATCCATCCCATGTTGTTTCTAATCAATAACTTGAATAAATGTTGGTTTCCGACCGATTACTTAACAATACTTGGACCCTCAGACCTCAAATTTTAAGGTGCATTATGTGAGAAAAAAAGCATATGAAAAGCTTATATATTGCATGAAAATTATAACCTGGTACTTAAGCAGCTTCTCATTGAATCTTTTCGTTGAATAGTTTAATATTCATCAAAGTTTCTGAGACTGTTTCTGGATAACTTTAAATGTTAACATAACATTTTATTATTTAAAATGTTTTTACTATAGAGAAGAGATATTGAGGAGGACATTTCTGTAACATGTGAGTTGTGTGGGGAAGTCACCGTGGCATTCAATAGACACATGAGGTCCAAGCATCCTGGCTGTGGAGGTAGGTGGATAATTCCTTTTTCAGACAAATAAAGTGTCCGCCCTTTATTGACCTCTTGAATCATGCAATGTGAGGGGGAATTCATTTCACTGATGTCAAATGTTTATCATTTTATTGAGAAGACAATGTTTGGATCCCACATTTCTGACATACATCTTTAATGAGACCACAGTCAAAGAGTATATCCATAAGATCAACGCCTGAATCCATTAAAGGATATTACACCTGTGATTCTTTAGCCAACATATTCATATTAAAAGGGGCACTGAATTTTCTCAATTTTAAATATAACACAATATCTAGCCAAACTGATTATACTATATTGTGTAATTTCATTAAATATTACAACCAAAATGGTGATATCAGGTGAGCAAAGAAACTAACAGTAACATCTGGAAATTTGCAATAATTTTTTATCCCACTCATATTCTTTAAAATACAATTTTCCTGCTGCCGACTACTATTTAAATACTTTCTTGTTGTTGTATGAAACAGGAAGCTGTGATAACCATGGTTACAGGAGCACAGGAAGTTACTGTGGAGGTTGGTTTGGAGGTCAGTGTGGCACAGGCCACCCATTCTACCTCATGTGTCCAAGTTGTAGACAACAGTATATGAATCAACCAAGCACACCAGTTAGAGGATTGGACAACTGTCAAAATGAGATGTCTACCAAGCCAACAGAGTTTCAGGACAATGATGAATCTCTACCTTTGTCAGGTACTCCATTCCCCATGTATTTTAGGAATATACTCAGAAATAAATTGAAAATCATATTTGTGTGCATTTCTTAGCCCAATTTGTGTGAAAAGCATTGCACCACACTTTTCAGTTTTGGATTGTTTTTCTCAGTTAAAAGAATTATTCTGGATAAACAGAGTGAGAGGTTGACATGAAATTTTGCACACAAGTTATTGGTCTAAACCTTCATCAAAATAGAATATTAATCTCGAAAAATTATTGTCCTGAGTCGCGTCATAACAGAAAACCTCATTGGAGTCCCTTTAACACTTTGTAAAAGTTTTTTGCATGTAACTAATCATATCATGTTATTTACTTAAGACATATCCTAGAAACTTCACACAGGTCATTATATCCATCACTAAAGGTCTCTGTGTAAAACCAATATATGAAGCTTGGATTTTGACTTTATTAAAACTGATGTGAACAAAGAAAACATAGCTGTAATCCAAAAGCTATGGCACTTGGTAATGACAGACTGGTGTACTAACTTTATATAAACTTGATATTTGGTATAGAATTTTCTGCACCTTGAAATAAGTTTGTGTACCAGAAATAGTGTAACATAGAAGGTTGTGCTCCTTATTGTATTAAATCATATCTGATAATAAAAAATAACAAATTTTGACCTGACAAGGTAAATGATCAGTAAGTCTTCTGAAAAACCTGCTCATGCTGATGCAAGAAATATTGTAAAGAATGATACCCTGGGTGTTTCTTTGATGCAATATATGACCTAATATAGTGTTAAAATGACAAAAGAAAAGTATTAACTCCATCCAAATCCGTTTCATCTCCACCTACTGAAACAAAAACCCTAAAATACTTAATTACTGAAAATAGATGTTACTTTATGGAACAAGTTCTTTTTATTATTAATAATGCTCCAAGAATAGAACTTCAGGGGATATTCATTTGTAATAAGGTTGAGTTGAGTTATCATAATAATGATTTGTACATTTTTACAGAGGGCAGCACATACATGAGAGAGATTGAGGGATGGTTACCGTGCCTAGATAACCCAGAGAAACTATACCAGTACCTTGGCTTGTCAGACAAGAAACCTATACCAGATCCTGTGAAGTTTCAGCAAGCTGACCCACTGGGAGCTTCATATATATGTCCCGCTCAACAAGACAAAGCCTCCAATAATGAAGGTCAGTGTTTAAAAGTCTTTTTTTTTTTTTGAGAAAGAGAAAGCTTGATATTTTTAGATTTTAGATTTCAACCCTGTTATTAGCAGAGTAAGAGGAATTTCTGTATATTATCAAGTTATACTGTCTGTGGAAAGTAAGCTGTAATAAAATTACTTAATTTGTGCATTTGACTACACTTACTTTATTTTGTTGTCAAGGCCATGGTGACTTAAATGTTTTAATAATTAGCATAAATCTGAAGGCTTGCTGCTTTAATTATAAGTTTAACACAGAAGTTAAAGGATAAGGTCCTTTGGACCTCTGAGTTTAAATCTTGGGCAGAGCATATGTTGCTGGTTTCTTTTCTTGGACAAGTCTTAAAGCCTTTAGCCCTTTATTGCTGGTTTTTGTTGAGATTTTGCATTCTCTTACTAAGATGTAGGTCAATACTTGTTCAAATTCCAGAACACGCATTTTTCAAGCAAACAATTTTTGATGTAAATTTGTCATGCCATTCTAGCAACAACCCAAACAAATAGAAAAACTTAATCTCTTAATAAAATAAAATATTTTTTCCAAAAAGTAGGACAGGTTTTCAGATCATCAACAAAAACTGATGAAAAAACCCAGAAAAGTTTACCGGAGCAGATCATGAACTTTCAAACTAGTTTGGACAGACAGATGGCTTTACATCGTACAACAATGGCTTCACAGATATCTATAGCTAGATCTGTTATACTGCAGGCACTGGCTGTCCTGTCAGGGAGGTGAGTACCATACAATAATAAAATTTGCTAGTTGATGACTGGTGCAATATAAAAAATTGGCTAGTTGATGACCGATGCAAGAAAGATTACTGAAAAGAAAGATGTATTCTGTTAAGCATAAAAGCTTTTTTAAATACGTCATTGACATAAGAATCACTTGCTCAGTTGTGGGTGGCTAGAATTTGTTGTGGAGTGAATAAGGTCAACAAATGCAAATCACCTGGCTGTCACCACTATAGGTTTGAGTCAATGGTTCTACTCAGTTGCCCATTTGTGCCTGAAATAATTTGCAGAGGGGCACCGGAGGTCTTCCTCCACCATTAAAGGTAGAAAGTCGCCATATGACCTATACTGTGTTAGTGCGATGTAAAACCAAACAAACATAAAAAAAGAAGACAAAAAAAAGATATTTTGTAGGTATTTAATATTATAAAAAACATGTTTTTACCTATCAGTGGAACATCATGCAGCCTCCCTGCAGCCCTGGATAAGATGGGATTGTCGGAAATTATGATGATAGTAAAGCTGATGTGTTTATGTGCCTCTGGAAAGATAACTCCGTCATGTGACTACGCCATCGGAACTGGACAGACCAGTCTTAATCATCTTACAACAGCTATAGGGTCACTAGTAACAGAGAATACCAAATCACAAAATCAACTTCTTCAGTTGTGTACAAAGGTATTGTATTAAAAATTGTGTATATTAAGTTGTCAAAAATTAATAAAATAAGGTCATTTGTGAACAGACTCATTAAGGGCAAAATTTTCATTTCTTCGTTTTGGTTAGAGCGTTAAGATTTCATAATAGTTATCACAGTGAACTCTGATTATGTTAAAGAACATGTTAAATGTATGACTTAGACACTTCTTTCAATCATACTATATCCATAATATCTGTTATTGTAACTTCCAGGATTTGTTCAATACACATGAATTGTTATACCCCCACCACAAAATGTGGGGGGGGGGGGCTATAATGGATTCGCTTTGTCGCGTCGGTCGGTCGGTCCCGCCGTCTCCATTTTTGTGTCCGCTCTATAACTCCTACACTAATTGAAAGATTTTCTTCAAACTTGGCTCAAATGTTCACCTCAACAAGGGGATGTGCAGAACCCATGTTGCCCATGTGTCAGCTCAAGGTCAAGGTCACAATTGAAGGTCAAATATCAAACAATCAAATATTACACAGTATGTCGTGTCCGCTCTATAAATCCTATACTAATGGAAGAGATTTCTTCAAACTTTACTCAAATGATCACCTCATTAAGGTTATGTGCAGAATCCATATCACCCTTTTGCTGGCTTAAGGTCAAGGTCACACTTGAATGTCAAAAATTGACTTAGAAAATATTCTTAAATTTTAACGTTTATTTGAATATTTCTAAATCTAGAAAAGGTAATTGCTTGAAACTTAAAAGATATATGAGGTGTCACAAATAAGATATGCAGGTCAAGTTTCATAACTCTGTATTGCATTTTGACAAAGTTATGCCCCTTTTTAAGTCTTTAAATTTACATACAATCAATACTAGACAATATGTTGTGTCCGCTCTATAAATTCTATACTAATGGAAGGATTTTCTTCAAACTTTACTCAAATGTTCACCCCAACTGGGCGATGTGCAAAACCCATCTTACCCTTGTGCCAGCTTAAGGTCAAGGCCACACTTGAAGGTCAAAAATTGACTTATAAAATGTTTAGTACATTGGGAAAATGAAAGGTTATTTGTAACTGTTTCGAACATGATTTGATAATATATATTTATACTATTACCTGTACAATTAGTCTTTTTTTCACCAGAGATAATTTCTTTTTATGTATTTGTGCCACTTAAGTTATTCCTTTAACCACCTTTCCAAGTCTCCTTCTGTCAAGGACATTGGTGGGGGTATGAATCGCATTCAGCAATAGTTCTAGTTTTAATACTACTTTGTGATTCTGTCGGCGTCTAAATTTCGTTCAACATATATAGATAAATTCACGCTTCAAACCCAAAATATATAGAATTTATACAGAAATTCATGCTAGGACTTAAAAAAAATGTCATTTAGGATGAATTGAGTACATAAGATCATTTTAATATTTTTGTCATTAATTTGCATGAGTATCCCTTTAATTTAACTCGTATTTCTCAGTTCTGATTGATTCCAGGAACGGATGCGACAGTGTGTCTATAAGCTTACTGCTTCCTACTTAGTCAAACTAAAATAAATTCTATATGAACTTACATGATTCTTAATTAGGTCAAAACATACTATTTTGATAGAAATAACTTTCATTACGCACAAAACTAGCTCCTTACAGATGAGGAGAACGTGATTTGATAATCAATGATTGCACCTTCAATGTTATTTGAATATGTAATTTACTGAATATTCAAATATCATCAAGAAAAATAGATAATGTGTTGAAAGGATTAGATTTTGTTTTATTGTTGTGATCTTCTTTGTGATAAAAAGCAATGAAGATAATGTTCATTTCCTAAAGAATAACACACATGCGTGATAGAAATAATATCTCATTTATAGACCAATATATCACGTTTGCATATATAGAAAACAATATAACACTTATGGAGCAAATTTGACGGCTAGATATCCAATTTCACTTCAGTTGCCTAGGCAGTCATTCGTTTTGTTACTTATTTTTCACAGCTTTTAACCTATATCAAATGCTTGTGGACCATGTTGGAAGAGTAGTTTTTTTACAAGAAAGATTGACTTAAAATCCTGGAGTTTTTTATGTTTTACAAAACATGAGTATAATCTTATAGAACTGGTAGATGTAACACAGGGTAACCTCTGTAGAGTGACCCCTCTGTAGAGCAATAACCTCTTAGATCTTCTAGAACCACACCTCTCAACAACACCCAAAATCTTTGCCTCAAAAACAATGTTGCTCTGCAAAGATAGTATTGTACATTTAAGTCAATCAGGGTTTTCATTGCTTCATAGTGATGATGTTGATTGTATATATACAGAAAAATCACACCTAGAACTCCAGCCATGGGTCTCTGGATTGCCGGTCTAATGTGCTAACCACTACACCACAGCAGCTGTTGTTTTTTCGTACTTATTGATGTTATATGTTTTAGTTATTTTTAATTTTAAATATTGTGATATCATCACTTTTATTACAATGGTAGTGAGCCAAATTGCTACTTTTACCGAAGTTGGCTGACTTGGTCACAGTTTGCCATAAGATATTTTTAATAAGAAAAAACTCAAGTGCAAAACTTGGTGTACAGACATAAATTATATGATTATGTCAAACCACATGGAATCATTTGCAAATTTTATTTTTTATTTAGAAAACCTGGTTAAAAGTCTAATAATTGGCTAAAGATAGAATTGCTGTGTTGAATTTAAATAAGTCTACCGACACAATAAAAAGGAATCCACTGAGGTTTTATGATAGAACTGGAAATATTTTTGGAAGATTTATATTCCATTTGATGTAGATCTGGATAAAAATTTTAGTTCATTTGCTCACTCAATTTTCTCAGAATAATTATTTCAGTTATGTCAGTACACAAGTTTTGTGCTTTTGTCTGTATGGAACTTCTACATTTCTCATAGGATTTTAAACCCTGTTTCACAAAACTATTGTCATCTAGTGCCCAGTCACCGTTCTTTTTGGTTTGGACATGGCAAGATTTCAATATATATGTAGTTTCTCACAAGTATACATCATTTATCCAAAACCCATTGAATTCTTAAATTCCAAATGCCATTTTTTAGATGGTCCATTATCACATTTGGGATATTAAGATGAAAGTTTACTTAGCCAAAAGTATCAAGCCTGATCAGACAGCGTGGCTGTGCAGGCTAGCTTGGCTCTATTCTGGTTGCATAGTCTTAATTACTTGTGGTTCCAGCAGATTTTTAGTCAATGACTTGTAAATAGGATAAAATATAAAACAAAATCTGAATGTACATTTTTTTTAATAAAGAAGCACAACAATATAGTCAAAATAAAAAGAGAGGAGATGAAAAGAAATTATTTACACAAAAAAGCACAAAATGTTAGCCTGTATTTTTTATGTATCAAAAGGTTGTTTGTTTGTTTTTTCATCTTTTTTTTTTCTAATAGAGTTTATCCCAATTTTCTTTACAATACAATGTATATAAAGTGATTCATTTTTATTGTCCAGAGGAGGTATTCTATTTTGTTCTTTTTATTTTCAAGTTTAAATTTTTACATTATACTTGGCTCCTCTTACTTCATGGTGCATAATGCTTTAAAACAAGAAGAAAAACAAAAATTTGTTATGACTTATTATGTTTTAGTATTTTCTGCTGTATGACAGCATGATTTTATTTAAAATATCAAATTGCTTTAAGAAGTCAGAAATTTAGAGGTAATACTCATACTTCCCAAATATACAATTTTTCTCAAAATCTGAATACATGTAATTGCTCTTCCCTATTATAGCAGATTCAACTTTCCGAGGCAGATTCAACTTTCAGAGATACTCGAATACTTTTCTTGTAGCTTCTTGAAAACATTTTTGTACATTTTAAAGATACGCTTGTTTAACAAGAAAGACCACATGAGAAAAAATCCCTGGCCACCATTCAGGATGATAAATAGGTATTCAAATACCCATATTTTTGTGGCTTCATATATGTAACCGAATGTCCAGTAAAATCCTGTAATGGTTGATAGTTTTAAGAAAACTACTACACGCTCTTTCACGTCTGTCTCGTGTGTCATCATTTTTGAAATTTTTGACGTAATGCAAAGAAACATGACAAAATTAATGAGCAGGTCCAGGGCAATGGGTAAAGCAAATGTGAACAATCTCATTTCTGCTGTATTTATGTAGCAAAACTTACCCCCGTAGCCGTAGTGATCGTCATGATACATTAGATGGGAGAATATGATATTTGTTAGAACACAGACCACGGACATGCTGTAGCAGTAGGAGGTATACTTAACAACCAGATAGTTTGACCTACTTTGTATCATATAACGGTTCTTGGCACCGAGGGGGTCCTTAATGTTCTTCAGCATGTGCCAAAGACATGAAGTCATGAGAAATATGGTAGCAGTCCACAGCATGTGTATACAGACTCCGACAAGCTGACACCAGATATTGTCAACACCAAGATTAAAACCGAAGCTGTAGAAACCTTGTGCAAGAAGGAGGTTGAAGCACAAGACCATGAACAGTTTACCAGGAATGAAACGAAGCTCGGAAAACATGGTATAGGTGATGAGAACAAATACAATTGAAAGCATGGATATTATGGTACTAAGCATGCTCAGAGTGGATGTTAGTGTGTTTTGATTGGGATCTTTCCCAGTTGTAGATGATTTGGTATAGGTATCCTGTAACCATTGTTGAAGATAATCTATATAGCAAACTGGTATTTGTTCATTATTCATTGCACTCATAGATGGAGTTTTAGATGATTTTAGTTTGCCCTTTTCAACTAATTTCCTAAACTGGGATGCGGAAAGGAGAACTCTCGGATATTGGAAATATTTCTCAAGCCATATCTCATATGAAGGAGGCATTTGTTTCAGTGGAATTTCAATGTCATGGTTCTGAATGTTTCTGAAAGCCAAAGTAATATTGAACATTATTTCATTTCTAGAATGCTGCTGTAGCACATCATTGCTGGCCAAATGAACAGATATATTTATGTTACCATCATCAATTTCGGAATAAA